AACCAAATAATTACTCGCTGTACAGATCCACATATGACCATGAGGGATAGGAACTAATTTGCTTGGGTTACAATCAGAATTAGATAACAAGCAAGCTGCGGGAGCCATGAGCATTAACTAGTTAGTATAAGAATATTTAAGACGCAGTGTTGTCGGCCAGATCTCTCAAGCTAGACAATGGGACTTATACTACTTTTCTTCTTGTCCCTTCCCGGCTGTATCTAGAGGCATCTGCTCTAAAGAGACAGCCTTTGACTCTATAAGTTCCATATTCCAGCGTCTTTTCCTTGTCATGTAGTTGGAGCAAGGCTCCTCAATGGAGTGCACATCAAAAAGGTGACACTAAAAATCTAGGATGCTGCTGTATTCCTTCCCAGAGTAACAGGGATGAGGGCAAGAAACTGGATTTCCTGGTGGCAGCAGGGAGAGATGCTCATTAATATGATTCAAGAGGGTGGCCTTGTTTAGCCATTGCTTAAAACGCTCATCCGGTCTCTTATTGCCATCCCCTAGACAGAAGGGGCAGAATCCAGGAGCAACCAAGGTGTAGCGGAATGTTAACAGCCCACACCTGGGTTTCAGATTAGCCAGATGAATAGCACAGTGCTGACTCCAGTCTTCTTTACTGTATGATAGCTGTGCGCATAAGTAACAGAACTGCACGAAGTTTCATTAGACACGGCGGTGAGCTCTCTTGCCATTCTTATAGCACTATTAATAAGGAGCAGCATTTAATGCCTTTCTCTGGTATTATAGAATATGCTTTGCACGATCTTGCAGTTGCTAGGTGACACTAGTAACTTATCAATACCAGTAGCTTTAAAAGCAAAGCGGGTGCAAACCTTTCCATGGGTTTTTGACAGATTGGACATCGCCCATCAATAGGGGCCAATCCAGGATAGTACGCAACTCTCTCAGTTGACATACAAAGGCTGACCATGTCCTGCAGGCATTGTCTTCCCACCTCGCTATCAATAGGTACCTCTTTGAACAGATTTTCGCGTAAGTAAGTCCTAGCTGGTATATATTTGGCATAGATCTTGAATAGGTTTGTTGTGTCACGCTCAGTAAACTCCTTTCTAGAGATGTATTTGTTATAGCACTCATTCCACCACTGTGAAATATACTCAGATTGCTTTGCCCAAAGCTTTTTTGCTTTCTTAGTGTACAGCCTAGATCATTCTTCTGCCAGTGATTTGTGAATACTAGGCTGGCCCGCAATTCTTTGAGAAAGTTCGGCGATCCTTGCATTAATATCAACGATTTCCTCATCATGTTTAAATTCAATGAGAGCCGCAGCATCAAGGTGAAGAGGGACATTTAAGTCATAATAGTGCGCTAAGCTCTGTTCCATATCCCAGCACTTATAATCTGGTTCCATGCCGTACATCAGAGCTTGCATATCTAATGCCTTGAGCGGAGCCTGATATTTGAGAAATGTGTTATGATCTTGATGGTCAAGTGCTTGGCTGCGCGTTGCTTCTGAGGCTTTGGCTATATAGGATCAATCAGCACCATAGAGGCATTAATGGGGAATTCAAAGAGTGGGAAATCATCAGAAAGGCAAAGAGAAGGAGGAAGGAATGTATTGGGCGGTGCCAGCTTATGATCTACCCTATTCGCGAGCTCTGCTCTGATCCCATGGACGCGTAGTGGGTCCTTAAAACCATCTCTTTGCGCTAGACTCGTGAAATTGTGTCTTAATGAGGAGAATGTCACTCCCTTGTCCGCTCTTGGTCTGTTTGGAGTGACCATTTGAAAAAAAGGGAGATCCCTAGCAGTCTCAGTCCACTGCAGAGTCCATGATTCTCTTCCCTTCGGAGGTCTTTGGGCCAGTAACTCCTCGACAGAGGATATGCTCTTAAATGCACGATCTGCAATACTGTGGATGATGACCCAAAAGACAAAATTCATTCCAAGGACTGGATGCTCCCTGAACCAAGTCTTAGGCCTAGTAGCACGGTAAGCCCAGATTGAATAATAGTAGTCTTTAGAGCGGGGTGCGTAGGGGATGAAATGAGGGGAAACAGCCTACAAAGTTCCATCATCTCGGTAGCGCCATCCTTTAAGGAACTTAGGATCGATTGTCACCCATCGTTTCACTGTCCTACCCTGGTTGCTCCATTTTATATGAAACAAGAGATGCTTTGCACAAGAGTCAGAGAACTAAACATTTGAACAGACGCCACAGGGACTGACCTTGTAATAGAGGCACTTATTTGTATTTTGATAAGAACTTGATTCTACAATTGCACCAGCTCTAGACTCTGAACCTCCAAAGAGAGCAAGCGCACTTCCAGTTTGGACTTGTGTCTGTTCATGCACATAGTCATGCGTATCGTCACCGAATAAACAGCGAAGCAGGTATTTAATATCCTTGGCTGTAACAAGGAAGCGTTCCCTTGGTTCTGTTGGAAGGCCATACTTGATAGTTAGTTCATTCCGTATGCACTAAGGAGAACCACGTCAGTGTTGAATGTAATAACAGGATGTGCTTGAGTCATATACATTAAGAATATCTTTCTTTACTTCCAAAGGGAGACTTCTGGATGTCTCACGCTCCCATCTTGAGATGAAGCCGGTAAAAAAATTGCATACTGTCTTCTGCGAGGGTACTACATTCTTTTGTCGTGTGGAAATGTAAAACTCCACAAAAAGCTTTAGAATTTGTGGAGAGGGATCTGGTTTGTCCTTAGAGAAGTTTTTTATTCTACTCTCCTTGCGAGAAAGTCTCCATCTGATGAACAGTTAAAAAGTTACCTGTAACTCTGTAGACTTAATGGAAGTGAATACTCACAAATCCCAGTGGGCTACTGCTCGTTCATACTTTTCGCAGGTCGCTGGCGCTAGTTTGGGGTAACTCTTAATGTTTTCTTTCTTTTCTTGCTTGTTTTGATATTCGAGAGTAAAGCCACGTGACTCTGCAAGTTCTATGAGCTCCTTTAGCTTTTTTTGCAACTTAGCGTCTTCGGAAGCCATGGTCATATGATGTCACATGCAATCACACAGGGGAAGCTGAGAGAGGATTAATCTTGTATGAATTCGATGAGTATAACCATCAACTTTGTCTTTTCTACCCTCAGGACGTAGAACGCGTTTAATAGCAGCTGAATCACTGGTTTCTCGTACGGTGGGCTGCTGATGTCGCCCCTCATCAGCCCCCGGAGCCATCATCACCGCCCCGGAGCCCTCATCGCCAGCACTCATACTAAAAGCATCACGCCGCTGATTTAGGGGTAAAAGGGCTCTCTGAGGATTGACCGCGTTCTACATGTGGCTTAAGTACGGCTGAGCGGACGGGAAGCCCTGTTTTCCACACCCTATGGTCGTATGTGCTAGATTTGTCTAGAGAGGAAACTATATGGTGTTTCATCAATAGCCATTCGCACTATCCCAATATCATCCTGATGATGTGCTTGACCCTCCATTCTTTTTGAGAGGAGCGTTGGCGGGAGAGGAATGCCTATGGCTTTGCGAAGGGCTCGGTGCCGCAGAAACTGTCGAAGGTAGACAGAGAGTCGCGTAATACGATGAAAGGCTTCAATATTTGACACTCCCCTCCATGTCAGCTTGGACTCAATGTTCGAGATTTGTGATGACACCATGATTTCAGACTTGTATGACTATGCTAGCCAGACCCATGTCATATGGTTGGCCATCCAATATCACAGCAGCCTTACCACAGTCGCCAACTGGACGATACTGGTAATGGCAGTCCTCGTCAGGACGTTAGAGAAGCAAAGCACGGCTTGTGAGTGTGTGGATGTCGCTTGCAGACATTCAATGGAAACATGCCTATTGCTGTAAATCTATGACCTTGAGGCAGCCCCAGTTGCGAACCAGTTTGGACTGGAAGGAAGATAATGACAGTGTCAGTGGCTGTATTTGTGCACGCAGTCGCTATAACTAAAGATACCAGCTTAGTAATGCAGGATCCCCGTGGAATAGGAAACCCCTAATCCATTATAGGAGAGGGTCCATATTGGCTTTATCAATTGACAGCAAGGAATCGACCCTATTCTAAACGACCGAGTTTTAGCTCATGGGTGCCATTGGCTCATGACGATATGAGTTCCTCTATTGACGAAGTTAGTCCTGAGTCGCAAGAACCGGCTGAATAGCGCCCTAACAGTGCAACGCTAGGGATGTGCAGAAGAAGATAGTCAAGGCTAAGCCCGTCAGCCTCAATTAAATCACAGTAAACCCCACTCATGCGGGTTGCAGATGACTGGGAAGGATGACGTCCGAGAAACCCTCGTTGTTTATGTGGTTACCCCAGTCGTATTCAGCATGAGCGGGGGATCCCACATTTCACTTATCGGTGTCTTCGTGAGATGTGGATTTAACAAATGGGGTTGTCAATCGGGGTTCTCGTCGTCGCTATGCAACACAGACATTCTGTTCCCCGCATATTGGAAGGAAGAAGCGACCAATCACTGTGATGCTACTGCCCAGTACTTCATACTGAGATGAGACTTGAGGATGTATCCATCGGATTTCCTTCCTGTGACTACCCACCGCATTCTAAATGATCCTCACAATTTGGAAGCGATGACTACCCTTGCCGGTCGGATGGATATCAATGCCTCTAGGGTTCCTCCCCGCCAAATAAAGTTAGAGTTCGATTGTCGCCCTGTTTCTGGGGCTTCAGCTGCCTCTGATTGGTCGCGCTTCAATCGATGCTCTTGTTCTCCCCGCCCAGTCTGTAGATCTTCCCCGCCCCCGCTTTTCCCCGTGGGGTCACTTGCTCTTTCTGAAAGACATGCAATCATCATGCAAAGTTGATCAATACTCAGTGAGTCTATTTACCATATACTGCACCATCCTGATAAGCAAAGTCGCACCCGAGGCGCTTCCGATCGGATCCCCGCATCGGATGTCAGGAATGTTAGCCGACAAGTTGTACTACTACCTTCAAGCATATAAGACGCCAAGGATCCCATGGTATCATTGAACTATTACTGCACATTAATCAAGCTGGATTCTCTCTCAGGGTCAGCATGGGAGTTTTAGCGCTATTATCGTCACTCAAGGCATACGCCGCATACCTCGTAATTGCCGTCCTGGTACTTCGTCTAATCACCAATCGTTTTCGAAGGGGGCTCGCAGGGATCCCCGGACCTGCAATCGCCAAATGGACTCGTCTCTGGAAGTTGCACAGTGTGTGGAAGGGCGATCATCACAATACCGCGATTGACCTGCATCGCAAGCATGGACCGCTGGTACGCATTGGTCCGAAGCACATATCTGTTGGAGATCCCAATGCTATTCCGATCATATATGGTCTCAACAAGGGCTTCACAAAGGTGAGAGGGGAAGTCTGGAGGAGACGTTGATGAACGGGCTGACAGCCAGCAGACAGGATTCTATCCCATCCAGTGCATATCATGGAACAAAAAGCCCCAGATGAACCTCTTCTCCACCCGCGACGAGATGTTCCATCGTGAGCAAAAGCGGCCGGTGGCAAATGCCTACAGTATGACCTCGCTCCTCGAGCTTGAATCCGCAGTGGACTCCTGCAGCGAGATATTTATCAATCAGTTGGGGCGATTTGCGAATAACAAAAAACCCGTCGACCTGGGAATATGGCTGCAATACTACGCCTTTGACGTGGTAGGCGAATTCACCTTTGCCAAGAAACTGGGCTTTCTGGAGGAGGGAAAGGATGTCGATGGCATGATTGAAGCTATTCAGGGGATGCTAGTTTATGCTAGTTTGTGTGGCCAGATCCCCGAGGCTCACCCACTGCTCCTGGGAAATCCTCTTTTCCCGCTGTTCATCCCCAGCATGGAGACATGAAATCAGGTATTGAATTTCACGCTCAAGGCCATCAATTCGCGCGCATCGCTGCACCGAGACGGCGAGCTGGATTCGGGAGAGAAGCCGGAAGCAGGAAAGGACATGCTTTCCAGGTGGATGGCCATCCATGCCTCTGATCCCGAGAAGCTTTCCACTCGGGATGTCATCGTCCATCTTTCGACGAATGTTTTTGCTGGTTCAGACACCACTGCCATCGCTCTGCGGGCCGTCTTCTATCTCCTTCTTCGTAATCCGTCGGTCATGGCCAAGCTGAACGCCGAGATCGATGATGCCAGCCGCGAGGGGAAACTAAGCAATCCGATTTCCTATCGAGAATCCATGACTCACCTGCCTTATCTGCAGGCGGTTCTCAAGGAGGCAATGCGACTACATCCATCCGTTGGGTTGATCCTGGAGCGTGAAGTGCCCAAGGGAGGCGTCACCGTCTGTGACAAGCATATTCCTGCTGGAACAGTGGTTGGCATCAATGCATGGGTTCTACACCGAGATGCTCGGGTCTTCCCAGACCCCGACGCGTTCATTCCCGAGCGTTGGATCGACAGCGACCCGCAGCAGTTGAAGAAGATGGAACAGAGCTTCTTCACCTTTGGTTCGGGGTCACGGACTTGCATTGGCAAGAATATCTCGCTTATCGAGATGCATAAGATTATCCCCCAGCTTTTGCGTGAGTTTGAAATCCGACTGCGCAGCCCAGAGAAGGAATGGAAGACGAAGAATGTATGGTTTGTGCAGCAGGAGGGATTGATATGTGACCTTGTACGCAAGAGGGACGTAAAGTAGGTGATCATTAATGTGTATGATGCTCTATCAGACTGAGTATGGATTACATCTTATGAGTACACGGGCATGGGAACATACTACTTTACCTTACATAGTACCTGTTTCGCATCTTCACTCCGTAGGATGTAAATCAGCGATCCATTGTTCAGCTATGGAAGGATCTTGAAGGAACGACCACAAAGTCAGCAGAGTGAAAGCGACGAATGTTGGATTCATCCCAAGGGATCCCACCGCCTCTAATGGGGATTCCTCAGGCTGTTAATAAGACTGAAAACGGAGAAAGACAGAACTCTTGCCCTGGTTATGAATCTGTCATCTTCAGGCTTGGTATCCTTTGGCTGCCTTCTGTATTCGTGCCTCGCCTTGCCTTCATCTCGGATCCCACCTGTCAATCGTAGGTCGTATGGCTTGCATTTCGGAATCGGCCTTTGTTTTCTGACTGCTGCCACGAATTTATAGGAGCAATTAAATAGATGTAAACCTTCTACCAATTGACCGGTTATACCAGCGGCCGCTAGCATTGATTTCATGCAATTCAGCCTTGAACTCAGTTCTCACTTCGATAGCTTCACATTAGTCGACAGCTCTCTTCACATCCACACTATGGCACTAGAGCCCTTCTTCTCATCGGCTCCGGCCCTGGTTTCGGCGTCGCTGTTGCATCTCTGGTCCAGCGATAATGTTGCTCTCTTCGCCTGAAACCCGATCCAGTTAGAGACAGACCGAGGGACCGTACTCGCCTTTGCAGCGAGCGTCAACCACTTTGTTACCTGCAGATTTGGCGGGTTGACAATACATTCACCAAGGTAGCCCAATTCGGGGACTTGGAATGCGTGTATTACAGTGTAGCGTGGGTAGCAACCAGCCAATTCTTTGATTTTCCGAGATCGGGGATTGTGGTGAATTCGAGGCATTCGTCCTGTTCTTATTAAGTAAATTCATTGTAAACTATAATAGAATGGTTGTGGCATCAAGGCTCTCTAGCTAATCAGGCATACCTTCAAGACAACCACAATGAAAATGCATACAAATGCTACAGTGCTTATTCCTTGCTCAATTTCGACTCTGTACACACGGATTTAACGTCCACAATGAGTCACCCAGGGAAGAAAACTCGGACGAAGTGGGGTTTGACGCACGAACTGATTGATAAGATGAGCACACGGCAGATTCATCATCCGGATGGGGTCAGAGAAGATTCTGCTCACCGAGTCCACAGTGTAAAAGCGTCTAGGAGACATGAACTAGTCCCACTGTCACCTGCGCCAAGTCATTGAGTTATCAGATCAAAACAGGGAGAGAATTTCCGACGCTAGTATCATGGCCCATATTGTGTAAAATACACGTATGGGCTAATATTCTACTAGCCTGTATTTCCCTCAAAACTGGTCGTTACCAACTTACTAGTGGTGGGGTTTCTGATAACAACAGTCTGTAACACTCAAAATTCAAGACTAGGAGTGATATTTTGATACAACAAGAAGAATACCTCTTTGATCAGATAACGGTGCCAAGATGCCAAGGGAAATGCCAAGGATTCGAGCTTGAGGCGACAGAATTTTCCCATCACTTGATCATGGTGAACTATCAGGAGGTAGGATTATCTATGGTTCTTCTATCCGGAGATTCTTGGGAAATTCAGATAATGTCAGAGACATCTATACCTTTTCCAGTGGCATCATGCATGAGTGTATGGTGGGCTATTCGAGCATGTAGAGAACTGAGCTCAATGCAAATATTCCATCTGCAGTCGCAATCTCAACCTGGTATGTGTTGAAGATTGATTGTTTCAGAGATGAAGGCCTCTAAGTAAAAGGACATACACCGGTGTCGCGTGGAAAATATGCTCAAGAAAAGCATTAGGGTATTGGAAGCAACTGATAAAACATTAAATTATATTCCTGCATAATCACTCTTCAGCTTCTTTTGACCATCGTTCTCATCTCACATCACTTGTATCCCTGTTTATCCTATATCGATAACAATCATAATGGACATGATCAAGTCCTAAGACTCAAAGTTCCAAACCCCCAAGCTCATGCCCGAGGCAGGCAAACAACAAATCCTCGGAACTAAAACAAAACTCCCTTGGTCTGCGTTTTGGTAAGCTTGATATCCCTGATGACAAACATCCAAATGAGCGAAAGAGCCATGATGGCAGTTCCCGCAATCAACATCTTGCTCTGCGTACTGGCATAAGCAAGGGCAATGGCCTGCCGGGCCGGCGTGCCTCTCTCATAGCTGAGCTGCACCTCCAGGGAATCATAGATCGTCTCCCAATCCGCCTTGACAGACTCGGGAAGCAGACGCTTCAGCGCACCAGGCAGCGTGTGCGTCCAGATGGCACCGGAGATACTACTTCCAACGGCGCCTCCCATCGTGCCGAAAACGTTCAGGAAGGCCAGGGCGGAAGCCGCGTGGTCGTGGTCCGACGCCGCCAGTACAGCCACCTGCTGGCAGATAATCATGGTACCGCCCGCGAACGCGATGAAGATCTGGCACATGATCATGTACCCGACGGACCAGCTCGGTTTGCGGAAGTAGATCATCAGACCGACACCGAGGATGTAGAGGGGGACGGCGATGAAGAGCAGCCAGCGGAAACGGTTTGTTTTCTTGATCAGGAACCCCACGACGAACAGCCAGACTCCGGAGACCACGTCGAAGATGCTGCTGATGTATCCCGCGGTTGTGATGCTGGTGCCGTACACGACCTGGAGGTATGAAGTGTAGTAGTTGTACCAGCAGTAGTAGGCAATCTGATAGCAGACGTCCACCATGCAGGCACCGAGGACTGTTCTCGAGGCCAAGAGAGCCCAGGGAAGGAAGGGGACCGGAGCGACGAAGCGTTCGACTAGCGCGAAGACAAGAAGGCAAACGATACCGATCACGAGCATGGTGATGATGGAGGCCGACTTCCAATCATTCTCCGTGGAGCCGGCGATGGTAAAAGGCAGGAGGAAAAGCACAAGGCCGGCAGCTAGGAAAAAGACACCGAGCACTAGCAACATTAACATGCAATTTCAGAATACTGCGAAAAACACTTACTGTCAAACTCGATGATATAGTGCCTGATACTCTGCATCCACGTTCTGCCACTGCTGGGCTTGGCCTTCAAAAGGCCACTCTTTTTTGCTTTGTGCCGGTTCCAACGCAGCAGGAAAAACATGGGCAGGGCAACGACGGGCAAAACGATTGAGAAACAACCATATGCCCATCGCCAGTTCGAGTCGTAAAAGTGCTCGGCCGCAGCAGGGCCCCCAAACGCAGTGATGATATAGGGAGAGGAAGTAAAGGCGTAGGCGAGACCTCGGTCGCGCAGCGTCGATGTATCGGTCGTAATGACATCGACGCTAAAAATGATACCGGCGAAGCCGATGCTGTAGAAAACCTTCGGAGCGGTCAGTCTGTGTCATACTGAGAATAGCAGGCGGACCTACCTGTGCGGCACAGTAGGTTCCAATGTCGTGACACGTCGCAGACAAGATCAGTCCCAGAGTGGCAAAAGCCACCATTAGCAGGAAACCAATAGATCTGTCCCAGAGATTCAGGATCTTTGCCAGCGGCATGTAGGTTGCCGACGACATGACGCTGGAGACGATGGAGATGACCGGGATCAGCGAGTGGGATTCGAACCCGCTCGTCACGTAGGCAGCGATATTGCCGGTGATGGAGGCCTGAAGGCCATTGACAAGGTACAAGAGCCACATGCTGTTGGTTGAACGTACATCAGCGGTTATCCTCGAGACATCAGATTGTGTTTGGCTCACAGGAAATAGGCAGCTCCCAAAGATGTCTTGGACCATGTCAGGGTAATCGCTTCCGCTTGAGTGACACCATCTTGAGCCTTCTCATCTGGCAGCGATTCACTTGCATCATGATTGACGACTTCAGAAGGGATCTTGGTATCCGGATAGGTGACCGTCTCTGGGTTAGCCACCCCATCGTCCCTAGGAGTGGCACTATCCGCAGCTGGAGGGGTCTCCGGAGACTGGAAGAACTTCTTCTGCCACGACGACAGCATTTTGTGAAGCGATCGAAGAATGGGCTCTCTACCGCCAGGGGAAAGAAGAAGGAGAAGTTAGCGATTGACACGAAAGTCGCAAGATCAGCATGGGCCGAGCGTCTTCCTCGTGCTTTTCAACTTGAACTTCCTCGCGTCTTGGCATTCTGCCAAGACAACGCAAGATGACCATGCTGGGATGCACTCAGGCGATGCCCACCGTTTAGGACTATTAGGCGCAGTGGCTAGCGAAAGATCGCGTAGGAGACTCCTCTAAGGGCCGATACGCGGCAGGGGACGTTGACAGGCAGTTACTAGTTGAGACGGTGGTATGGCATCTCTCCATACAGAATACAGAGAGAGTTTGCCCTTGATGGCTCTCAACCCACTATGCATGGTACGAGGGTATGCGTGGGAGTGGATTCTGTAGGATGACAGACAAAAGGCACCTTACCATCATGATACAGGTAATACAATGGAACATCCTATACAGATGGATCTTACCGAACATAAATTACTGTAATGTATGCGCTAGTAATCTGATGGCATGGTAAAGTTTTATCAATCAGTGGAGACCAGCACTCCGTAAATCTCCGAGTCTTCTGATTCGACTTCACGGATCAGATAAGTTTTACGTAACAATACCACGAATCTGTGTCCACCTTAGGTATCAGAACAGCCGAGTAGAATCACTAAAGGAGGGTACTTCTCACATGACGAATCTGCTTCCCTTCTCAATGTCATTGACGAGCTAGTCCCGCGTGTCCAATGAGGCCCAGCACCGTTGCACAGCTCATACACGCGACAGCGACAGCAGCAGCGACAATCTCGAGGTTGCAAGCAGGCATCATCAACCCCGAGTCCTCATGAAGCTCGTCCAGAAACTATCGGGCTATCCCCGCCTACTTCTGGCCGGCAATCCCTCCAAGGTTGATCTATGTCGACTCCTGTTGGGTATTGTCAGCGCAGCCGCCTCTGGTGTCCCGTTCCCCTTGATTGGGATTCTGTTCGGTCAGCTCCTCGACGACTTTAATGCAGTGACCTGCGGCGAGTCAGAATCGTCAGACTCCGACTCCGACTATCAACATGACATCAACGGCAAGATTCTGATCATCGTGTATCTGGCTATCGCTCAGTTTGTTCTGATCTACGTTCACCTCTCATGCTGGAGTCTGAACGGCGCTCGACTGGCGCAACGCCTGCGGGAAACCTATCTGCAAAACCTCCTCCGACAAGAACCATCGTACTTTGATAAACTGCCCCCCGGTGAGATCGCATCGCGGCTTAATGGCGACATACAGGCAATTCGGTCCGGCACATCGGAGAAAGTGGGAATATGTTTATCAAGTCTGTCCTTTTTTATCACCGCATACATCGTGGCCTTCATCAAAGATACCAAGCTGGCCGGAATGCTCGTCTCGTTAATCCCGGCGTACTTCCTGATGTCGTTCGTCGGAAGCCATTATATTGAGAAATACACCGGGCGCGTGTCGGATTACGCTGCGAGTGCCGCGTCCATCGCTTCCGAGGCACTTTCCAACACCGTCGTGGTGCAGGCCTTTAGTGCCAATGCGCGGCTGGAGGACAAATTCGCCAAGGCACTCAAGGCTGCGGAGACTGAAGGATTGAAGAAGGTGACGGCGGTTGGCATACAGTCCGGAGTGTTATATTTTATTGCATATTCCGCCAATGGTCTGGCGTTCTGGCAAGGGAGCAGACGGATTGCCGAGTCAGTGAGTGATGACTCTCACGGTGCCACGGTGGGTGCTACCTTTACTGTGATTTTCATTCTTGTTGAAGGTGAGGTCCATTCCGTCCTTGATAGCGAGCCATACTGACACGGGGACAGCCACCTTGCTCCTGAGTCAAGTCGCACCCTTCCTGCACCTGTTCGTCGCAGCCGTCGCCTCGTTCCAGAAGCTGCGTGAAGATATCGACCGCGAGCCGGTGATTGACAGTACGAGCGATTCCGGTCTTCGCCTTAGCCAGGCTGAGGGCGGGTTTGAGTTCAAGGATGTTTCCTTCACCTATCCCTCGCGCCCCGAGATCATCGTTCTCGACAACATCAGTCTCAGCATCCCGGCCAACAAGCATACCGCTATTGTCGGTCTATCGGGTAGTGGCAAGTCGACCATTGCGGGTTTGGTCACAAGACTCTACGATCCCACAAAAGGTCAGATTCTTTTCGACGGCCAGGACCTGCGTGATGTCAATACTCGTGACTTGAGGGGCTTTCTGAGCCTGGTTCAGCAGGAGCCCTCTCTCCTTGACCGATCACTTCTTGAAAACATTGCTCATGGGTTGATCAACTCGAGCAATCCAAATCATGCACACTTGAAGACGACCCTGTTGAGTACCGACCTGGCCGAGCTCGCCAGTGAACTCAGGGACGGCAAGGATTTGACCGCTGCAGCAGAGGCGCGGGGTCCAGGCGTCGTTGAAATCGTTGGTTTGGTCAAAAAGGCTGCGTCGCTTGCGGATGCGGACGCCTTCATCAGTGCGCTGCAACATGGGTACGGTACAGTTGTGGGCTCCAGTGGCCGGTTGATTAGCGGTGGCCAGAAACAGCGAATTGCGCTTGCCAGAGCTCTGGTCAAGGACCCTGCAGTGCTCATACTAGATGAAGCTACGGCGTCTCTGGATTCACGAAGCGAACAGCGCATCCAGCGGGCCATCTCCAACATTGCCACCGGCAGGACTATAATCACGATTGCCCATCGGTTATCGACAATCACCAGCGCGGACAACATCATCGTCATGCACAAGGGTCATATCGTGGAAGAAGGCAATCACGCGACACTCATGGCTAAGAATGGTGCCTACGCTGATCTCGTCAAATTGCAGACTCTATCTGCGACAGGGAAGCATGAAACCACAGTCAACATCGAGAACGTCAGCAGATCTGATCAGGCGTCTTCAAGCGAGGCTGATATTGAGAAGAGCACTCTTTTCCTCGACGACTTTGGTGGTGCCGAGAAAACTCCAGTCTCAACGACCGAAAGGCCAGTTGCCGACTCCCCAGAGGAACCAGAAGAGCCTGAGACTCCCAAAAAGTCCCTCTGGGCGCTTGCCAAAGGATACGCGCCAGCATTACGACCTCATCTGCTTTTCATTTTTCTTGCACTTCTTGGTTCGAGTGTTGTTGGCGGCGCCTTTTCTGGAGAGGCTGTGATCTTCGGAAACACCGTTGGCAGTCTGAATCCCTGCCACAGCGCAGAGAGCATCCGGTCAAGAGGAAACTTCTTTGGCTTGATGTTCTTCATCCTCGCTATCATTGAATTCTTCGCCAACGTGGTCAGCTGGTCTGGCTTTGGCTGGGTCTCCGAGAAGATTGTCTACGCGGTTCGCGTCTTGTCGTTCCGGTCACTCTTCGAGCAGGACCTGCAATGGCATCAGTCCGAGGGCCGGACGCCAGCTTTGCTTCTGTCCTATATCACCAGAGATGGCAATGCCCTGGCTGGCTTGAGCGGCTCGGTCATCGGCACTCTGTTCTCGATCACTGTCAACCTCATCGCGGCGATTATTCTGACCCACATTATCGCCTGGAGGATCGCATTGGTCTGCCTGGCGCTGGTCCCACTGCTGCTTGGAGCTGGGCTGATGGAGCTACATGTGCTCGGCAAATTCGAGGAGCGTCACGAGAACGCATACACAAAGTCTGTCGATATCGGCGTCGAGGCCATCACATCCATCAAGACCATCGCATCCCTGTCTCTCGAAGAAGAGACTCTCCAAACCTACCGGCGATCGCTGAAGGGACCCCGCAAAGAGACATTCAAGGTCACCGTGCACGCAAGTCTCTGGCAGGCAATGACCTACTTCCTCGGCAACCTGGTGAACGCGCTGGCATACTGGTGGGGTGCCAAACAGATCATCGCAGGCAACTACACCCAGACGCAGTTCCTGATCGTGGTCTTCTCCCTGCTGGTCAGTGCTCTGCTCTGGAGTCAAATGTTCGCCCTCGCGCCGGAGCTCTCCAGCGCCCGCGCCGCAATGGCCCGAATCCTCAGTCTCATCGAGATCGGCTCGGACAAGATGCAGGGACACGTCCGCAGCCCTACGACGACGGCCTCGAACGACCCCGAGGCAACAGCCGAGCCCAAGCCCATCGCATCAAACAGCCAAGCCTCAAGCGTGCAGCTCCGCGACGTGCACTTCGCATACCCCGCGCGACCCGATATCAGAGTCCTCAACGGCCTCAACATCGATATCCGGCCAGGCCAGTTCTGCGCACTGGTGGGACCCAGCGGCGCGGGAAAATCCACCATCATCTCCCTCGTCGAACGGCTCTACACCCCCGAGTCCGGCGCCATCGTCGTCGACGGCGTCGACATCACCAAGCACCGGGACGTCTCCTTCCGCGACACCATGGCGCTGGTCCCACAGGAGAGCGTGCTCTTCGAGGGCAGCATCGAGTTCAACATCGGCCTCGGCGCGCGACCCGACCACGAAGCGACCATGGACGAAATCGTTGAGGCGTGCAAGCTGGCCAACATCCACGACGTGATCCAGGCCTTGCCGGAGGGGTACCAGACGCTCTGCGGACCCAACGGGAGCCAGTTCTCCGGTGGCCAGAAGCAGCGGCTGTCCATTGCCCGGGCGCTGGTTCGCAAACCCAAGCTGTTGATCCTGGATGAGTCGACGAGTGCTTTGGATGCGGAGTCGGAGAAGCTGCTGCAGGATGGGTTGGAGAAGGCCGCGAAGGGGATCACGGTCATTGCGATTGCGCATCGGTTGCATACGATTCGCAAGGCGGATGTGATCTTCTTGATTGAGGCGGGTCGGTGCGTGGATCGGGGGACGCATGAGGAACTGCTGCAGAGGTCGGAGAGTTATAGGGCGAATGTCATGCATCAGACTGTGGCGGAGTAAGGTGCATTTGATGGATTTCTCATTCCTTTATATATTTAATCCTTAGCATTTTTCATAGACTCGATTCATGTTCAATAGACCGGTGTTCTCTACTGTTTGAGTGGTCTAGCAATTCTGAATCAAATCGCAGATATATATATGATATATTCAATGAATCAAGCATAAACATCTAACTACCACGTCAACCATGCATAAGAACCACAAATCTAGAACAACTGACTATCAAGCAACACCTTCCCCGTCTGGGCACCCAACTCCTCAACCGCAGCGACCAATTCCCCCAGAACAGCATCCACAAACACCACATCCCTCTCACTGCCAACCACACCAACATGTATCTTCCCCCCCTTCACAAACGAAACAGCCTTGATCGGGTACGCCGCATCCCCATGCGGGTTAGCGATCTCAACCCGACAAGAGCCCCCCGCAAAGGGCATACTATCGAAATCGTCCCAGTCCTGATGATGCACAATGGAGTCGAAGAGTTTGCGTTCGGGAGACCACCCCGCCAGCTCGGCTATCTCCTCGAAACCCAGGAAGTCGTGCGCCGCAGACTCGGCAGCCTGCGCCTGCACGAAGCGCAGCAGGTCCGACGCGGTCCAGTGGGGCTTGAAGGGGACCCGGATGGTGGTGAGCTGGTAGCAGGGGCCCATGACGTTCTCGGCGTTGGGGATGTCGAGGGTGCGGCCGGAGGTGACGCCGCCGAATGTGACGTCTGCTGTTTGGAGCCGGCGAGCGAGGACCAGGGCCCAGGCTGCTGTGAGGAGGTTTGCGGTGGTGATTTCCTCGAGGGATTGAGTGTTGGCGGGTCGGGTGTGGAAGACTGCTTTGTCGGTCGGGTGGGACGAGGGGCCGTCGAGGATCGAGAGCGAGGAGTTGGAGAGGAGATTGCGCCAGTAGGTCATTGCTTTGCTTCGGATGTGCTCGTCACTGATCTGGGCCATGTACGACGAGAACGGGGAGAACATGGCGATTTGGGTGCCGGTGTACAAGGAGTCCAGATCCTCGAGTAGTTTGGGCAGGGAGACGCCGTCGTATTGGGCGTGAGATAGGCCAATGATGAGACAGTCTCTGCCATTGTTTCCTTCGACGTGGAAGAGTTTGAGGAACGGAGATCCTAGCAGGAAGTTGGATTCGATGTCCTCCCTGCAGATGTTGGTGACATAGTGATCAAGATCCTTGTCAGTCCTGTGCGTGCTCACAGGAATTTCCAGCTCGTGCAGGACAACTTGCAAGAAGCTGGATTCATGTGCAATGAAGACGGTCCGGAGAATCTCGTGCGTCTTAACAAGGTCGCTGCACGCACGGAATAATCGGTCCTTGTCAACGCCGCCGTCAAAGTACAGCATTGTATACTGGATTGACGTCCTCGGCGGCTGAATGGTTGCTCTGATATCCAGAGCCTGCGAGTCGGTCACCGACAACACATCTCGAACGGGCCAGCTTGGATCGCCAAGCCGTGGTCGGACAATCTCAGACAGGAACTGCTCAACATCTACTAAGCTCAGTGTCGAAAACGGCCGGTACATGTTGACCTTCTCTTTTGCACGGTGGTCCACCTTCAACACTCTGGCAGCGTCGCCGAGACGCATGTGCCGGAAGATATCAGCCACGGATAAACTGTGGCCTTGCGCGCGAAGACTTGACACGAGCTTCATTGCAAGAACGGAATCCCCGCCGAGCCGGAAGAAATTGTCGTCTACGTCAATCTGCTCCGGATCGACACGAAGGATTTTGGCCCATGCAGACCGCAGGATGCTTTCTGAAGCTGACAGATGGCTGTGAACGGTAGCCTTGGTCCGAATTTCCCTGAAGCCATCACGAACCTGGTTAAAGATTTGAGGAGGAATCTGAGAGGCGATTTCATTGAGCAAACTGTGGTCAATATGGTCCATCGTCATGGGCAGTTTGTCTACCACGATGTAGGCGGACGGAACCATATACGATGGAAGCGAGTCTCGCATGAATTTGTCGAGCTTCTTCAACGCTGCAGCAAGACTGTCAGGAATCATGGCGCAAATTGTGGTCTGGAAGGCTTGACCTGACGAGTCGCAGGCTATCTCATGCTTCTCCGACAGGAGCTCAACACAGTCTTCCTCGTCAGCCGGTTGCTCAATGAATAAAACCAGCTCCTGGTCGGATGAGGATTGCGCTACAGCAGCAGCGGCACGGATTGTCGGTGCAAGATGTCCTGTGAGGTGACTTTCAATCTCTGTAATATCCACTGCATACCCATGAACAGGAACAACATTCTCCTTCCGACCAACGAACACCAAAGTGCCGTCTTCTCGCAACTGGACCATGTCGCTGGTTGCTTGCAGTCTGCCCGTTCGACCTGCACAGGTAGAGCTTCCGGCCATGAGCCAGGCGAGGTTATCAACTGTGTAGCCAGATAGAAAGTCTCCTTCGAGCCAGAGCTCACCGACGCAGCCGATGGGCGAGAGCAGGGATGGGTTTCGAGGGTTGCAAACCCAAGGAACTACCGCAGGAGGATAGCTTGAACCGGGCTTGATGTTTGCATCGGCACGCAGCCTACTCGATGATTCGTCCACAGACAAAGGTGGAATCTTATTCCATTGCCAGATTTGGTTCAGTTCCGCCTCGGGCAGACAGGAAATCTCGTCAACCCTTCGGGAAAGACCTTTACTCAACTGCAAGCAAGCGGTCTCCAGTTGCGCAAGCATCCGTTCCATTTGCTTGATCTCAATTAAGCTGCTGTCGAAGCTCGCGCAAACCCGGAAGCCGCCCTTGCGAATACCGCAAGCCAGCATCAGCGGATACGGGTTGAAATGAAGCGCTTCACGGACGACGTCCCCGCTCTCAACGCCGAGTTCGCTGCCGACGTATTCTGGTTCCGGCTGAATGACCAGACCCGTGCCAGTTTCGCATGCGTGTTGCGCATCTTCGCTGACCTTGCGGATGTTTTGCATGCCCATGTGCTGGTATGGGGTACGGGCCAAGACGCCTTGCTGCACAGCTTGTAGGTAGGATTCCACGGTACTTGCCCGGTGAACGCGCACGCGGACGGGGACGGTTGCAATTAACGGGCCAACAATGCTTTCGACTCCAGGTAGTGGGATGTCGCGACCTGTGAGGGTCTCGCCGAAAACGACATCGTCGCTTCCGGTGTATTGGGACGCGACGAGGGCCCAGGCGCCACGGATTAGTGTTGCCATGGTGAAGGGCGATCCGGCACTGGCCTCGAGGGAGACCTGATACTCGACCAGGGCGTCCGGGGTGGGCACGAAGTCTCTTGATGGTAGACGCGGGAATTGAGGCCCGACCGCACCTTTGAGCTCCCGTCGCCAGAATTCCTGCACGGCGGCGTCATCCGAGTCGCGCACGTATTTGACGAAGTCTCGCATCTGCGTCTTGACCTCGACCGGCTGCCCTTGCAGGGCGTCGCTGACTTGTTTGAGGATGATCGGCTCTGACCATCCATCGTAAAGGACGTGGTGAATAGTCCAAACCATGTATCGCTTGCCATCGATTGAATCGTCAACAATGGCGTAACGAGCCAGACTCTGTCCGAGATTCATCTTTTCGGTCCGATCGTTCTCCAGGTATGCCGATAGATTTGAAGCCTGCGTCCAGGAAACACTTTCCTTGAGAACAACCTGCTGAAGCCCAGGTTCTTGCAGCTGGGCCACTCGTGTCCGCAGAATGGGGATTGCGGCTACCACCTCCTTCCATGCCTTCCGCCAGGCGTCGAGGTCGATTTGCGACGGGATACATGCGACTCTCTGCGCCACGTACGGCTTGATTGATTTAAGCGAGAAGGTGAACAGGGACTCCTGTGTGGGCGTACAGGGGTAGATATCCTCGATATCAGCTGGACCAACGCCGCAGGCCTCGGCTGCTTCTACGCAGACGCTCTCGACATCTGAGGTAATCATTGAGAATGCCGGGACTTCCGCTTGCATTTCGACGTCGCAAATACGAGCGACGCTGGCCATGGCTGAGAGGGTAGGATTGCTAAACGTGTTGGTGACACTAAGGTTGAGACCTTGAGACCGACAGACAGAGACCAGTTTCATTGCTGTGAGGGAGTCTCCACCCAGAGCGAAGAAGTTGTCTTCGAGGCGGATAGAGTCGACTTGGAGCTTCAACGTCTGGCTCCAGGCCTGTCGCAAATCTCGCTCCAGATCACTCAACTCCCGGGTTGTGGTCTTTGTCTCTCCCTGGTCCAGCTGGCGCAGGTCGACGGTAGCGCCGAACTGCCGCAGTCTCTTGCGGTCCGTTTTACCAGAGATCAATGTAGGAATATGGTTGACGGGGATATACGCAGTTGGCACCATGTATCGAGGCAAAACCTTCGCCAGCTCAGCGTCGGCTTCTGACAGCACTATTCGCAGCTCGTTAGGAAGTTCTGCCGCCTCGAGTCCCGCATGGTCATGTCCTTTTGTCGTCTGCGCTGCCAAAAATGCCACCAACGTCGGTTGTCCCCCAGACCCTTGGGGTACAATCACCTCAGCGATCACGGTCGTCTCCGAAGGCAGTCGGGCTCTCAATTGGCTCTCGATCTCCCCGAGCTCGACTCGTTGTCCTCGCAACTTGACTTGGGTATCCTTGCGTCCCACGAAGACAATACCCCCCGACCCATCCGGGTCATATCGACCCAGATCACCAGTCTTGTACAGACGGCCCCGACGACCGGCGTAGCCGTTGTGACCCGCAATCAACCACGAGGGATCCTCAATAAACGATGCTGCAGTTTTCTCCGGGTCATTCAGGTAGCCCTGTCCCACTATGGGACCTTCGACCAGCAACTCTCCCACCGCGCCGACGGGTACGAGGGATTCATGGTCATTAGGGTCGACAATCCAAATGGCTGCCCCATTACCGGGACCGATGGAGATATAGTCTCTTCCCGTGGCGGCGCTACTGTTCACCGTACACCCAATCGTGCATTCGCAGGGACCGTAGCCGATAATAATCCTGGTATCCCGACCCCAGAGCGTGACATCTCTCGCCGAGACTGCCTCTCCTCCGAGGCCGAGGCCACTGAGCGAGGATATCACATCCGCGTCCAGAATACGGGCCACCGAGGGCGTCAGACCCGCATAGTTGACTTTCATCCGCCGGATCACTCCGTTGATGTCGTTCAGGCGGTCCTCTTCGGATGGAATGCAAAGACAACCACCGTTGCCCAGGGTCAGAAACATGCTGTCGATGCTGACGTCGAAGGCGTAGGAGGCAAAGTCAAGAACACGCGAGTCCTCCGTGTAGCCGACCGCCTTGGCTCGGGGGATGGCACTACTGGTGTAGGTCTCGTGGGAGATCTTGACGCCTTTCGGAGTACCTGTGCTGCCGGACGTGAAGATCATGTACATCAGGGCGGACGAGGGAACCGTCGGTAGCAGTCCGATGTTTTGTTTGATGGACAGACTGCTGAACGCGTTCTCCTCCACGACGAAGACTTTTGCACTGGGTATGATCTCAGTCGCCAGGTCGTGCTGGTCCCGAGATGATACCATCATCTTGGCGCCGACCTGTTGGGCCATGTTCTGCAGTCGCGCAAGCGGCAGCGTTGGGTCCATTAGTACAAAAGTCGCGCCGGCTTTCATTACTGCCAGAACCGCGACGATGGTCCATCTGGACTTCTCAAAGCAGACCGGTAAGACGTCATGCAAGTCCACTCCCATATCCTTGAGCGAGCGCGCAGCGAATGTGGAGTACTGATCAATCTGGCTGTATGTCAGGCTGCCGTCCCAGGATGCAATTGCTTCTTTATCAGGGAACTTTCGAGCCTGTTCGGAGATCATTTCATGCATGCAAAAGTTGTAAGTGGGTGGCAGGTTGTGATTCCAACGCCATATCTCGTCCAGATCGTATGTGGTAGGTCGAAGGCAGTCTTGGATGGACACCTCAGGATTAGAAATGCAGCATCTGACCGTGTCGATGAGGGTCCTGATGTATCGCGTCACTGTGAATGCCAGCATATTCTCGGAGTGCCATGTCGGACGAATCTGGAGCAGACCATTCTCGAAACAGGCTTCCAGGTGGAGTAACCCCTTGTTGGCCGCAGTCAGCTAAGCTGGTATTCCACATCCGCGCAATTACTCACTTCATCTTTCGCTTCTTCTGACGTATGCGAAAGCGAGCTGGTACTCAAAAGCAAAGAAGCAGACACCGACTGACTCGGTGCATTTGCGACAAGATACCGAGAGACAGCTGCGGCAGTTTCCTTGATGCTACTTTGTAACCCCGCCACTACTTCATTCATGGCCAGACATCTGGGTACCGGCTCCTCTTCTGGATGTCTGTATGCCCAATCGTATCGAACTTGGCTGCCTTCTCGTGTCCGCAGGAGCACAATGAGCCATGATAAAAGCACGACTTCGTCTCTCATGCCTGTCGGACTAGAGCCCTGGTCGGAAGCAAGGCCTGCAGCCTCAAACGACTCGACGCCGCTGCCATTTAAGCCACCGAACTCATTGCTGCGGTGTTTCTGATTGTGAATATCATCATGTTGAATCGAACCCATTGTACCGGCAGTCCAGCTGTTCTAGTCTTGGGATCCTGACGCGGTATCTTCCTGGGAACGGGAGGTGCTGGCGGCGGATGACTAAAATGATGTGACATGTGTTATATAATTTGGAAGCCCATATTATTTGCAATGGTCTCACCGATGAACGGCCATAGACACAATGCAAGGCACTGCGTACCAATCTACCGAGATCGCCGTGGCTGAGACTCGACGGATGCCCACATTGTCTTCTGTGCTGAGAGGGGCAGGAGGGGCATGTATTCCATTGTGTAAACAATTAGACTGGACCCAGATTGAACCAGGCAATGGCATCTACTAATCCACCGAGTACAGAAATACAATGACAGCTTACGATTTGAGGAAGCGCAGTTCAGGTTCTTTTGGTCTTTTTAGACCAGTGGAGCTGAATATTTCGTCTTGGGCCGACACTGGCCTTGCAGGACCGAGGGGTAACTTTTATTTGATGACACTAAAACATTCTCTGCCCATACAGAGGAGTTAGTTTTGGTTCATCTAATATGGAGCCATTCAGCATTCAGAAGAAGGCCTGGCTTGCTCAATACTTCTGTATCTGACTCAGATGATGTTTATTTGTATTACAGGTAGACCTAGTTTCATACATACAATGATACTGAAATACATGATACACACTGAGCATTACGGCCGGTATAAAACACTAGTACAATACATCTAGTACTCTGTATTCATGGTCGAATATTCCCTACTCTACGTCCCTTTGATTCATAATGTAGTCCTATACAGGTAGAGAGGCTTGTGGAAATCATATCAATAAAGGAGTTCTACATCTTATTATCAAGTGGGCCTGTGTAAATGGCGCATTTAGCTGTATTCATCCATCCTGTCGAGAAACTGATTGATATCAGACTCCCATATCTCTGTCTCATAACTTGGACGGCCTCCACTGTGGCTTTCGCTTCTCCACAAATGCTCGTACTCCCTCGTGGAAATTTTCGCCTGCCATGAGCTTGGAGTACCACTGGTCGACCAGCGCACTGCTAGCCTCTTCCACACTGGCCATTTCCCACCCGTAATGCAGCCCCTCCATCGTGACAAGCACGCTGTCTGGACTATTCCTGGAGATGGCGAGCGCCATCTCCACCGCCGTCGCCAGCAACCGGCCGTGCTCCACCACGCGATTCACCAGCCCCCAACGCTCCAGCTGGGATGCAGGAAAGGTCAGGCCACTCAGGGCTATCTCGGCGGCTCGCTGTTTACCCAGCACCCGGACCAGCCGAGGTAGAGAGCCTGCGACAGCGGCGATTCCTCGTTGCACTTCGGGGAGACCAAAGGTGGCCTTCTCGCTGGCAACGACGATATCGCAGTTGGCCACCATCTCGAATCCGCCTCCTAGACAGTATCCGTTGACGGCGGCGATGATGGGTTTCCTGCCTCGGCGGCGAGGTAGACCGGCTAACCCGGGGGCTGTCATTTCGTTTGTGATACCGCGCGCGTTGAGGTCGTTCCATTCTATGTCATGGTATTGTGAGCTTGGTTTCACTCGAACGAGCCAGAGAGGAGTGTACCCTTGAGGTCAGCGCCCGCACAAAAGGACTCGCCCGTGCCGGTAATAATGGCCACATGTAGAGCAGGTTGTGTATCGAACCATGTCCATAGTCGTTGTATCTCGGCGCTCGTCGCGAGGGATATGCAATTCCGTTGCTCTGGGCGGTTGAGTGTGAGGAGAAGAATGTGAGGGGTTGGGAATGAGACGAGGCATCCTTGGACTGATGGGTGTGCTTCTATTGACATTGCTGGCTGGTGTCCGAAGAATCCGAGATATAGATCACGCCGGAAGTGTGGTCTGAAGCCCGCAGCTTTATGGCAATGAAGCACTCCTTTAACGGTTCTCAATGTAGACTAGCGTCTCATATGGCCCGCTTCACATGAATCAAGTTGATCCAAGTCATAGATTGAGGCTGAATTTATAATATCATACCGGCTGGTCTGTATCGTCTAGACTGCCGTCTCCACTCTCTACCGCGGTCTCTGATTATTCCTCGGCCATGTCTTATCTATATGTACCTGTCCTACGTCTTCCTGCTGGGAGAATAGATATTTTACTCTCACAGACTCAATTCCCCGATGACGACGCAAAGCAGCGTTGAGATTCCCCTCAAGATCAAGATGGCCGCTGCCGAACCAACGTCTGCCAACAAGCAGACATATCCCTGGGTCAAACTTCCTCACCCGTATCTCACCACCTACAAGATCGATGTCGTTTCTGAATCCACGCCCCGGGTGCTTCGACTGCGACTACATGATGATCAGGCCGGACAGCCGCTCCCGGAGCCTCTGCACTCAGCCTCATTGACCTACACAGACATTGCGTTTGACGAGACCGCCCAGGAAATCCCAGATAACGACAACAGTCCCTGGGCGCGCAGTCGAAGAGCACCCGGCACCTCGTTTCACTGGACCGGTCCGGAGCCACCTACCCTGGGACAGATCTGGAATGTCATACATGCCCTCTTCCTGACATATCCGCACCACGAGATTGTCCGCCTAGATCTGAATGGATCGCATAAGGATATCATCCGCGAGGAATGCCTGCGCACGGGGCTGACAATTCCCTTCCCTGCCCCGCGAGTCCCCTTTGGTACCGAAAACAAACCCTCCGAAATCGACACCCTCATCTTACTACGCTCCGCATTCTGGCAGGGAGCCGGCTCACCGGTTGGACCACGTCCCATCTGGGCCGTCGATCAAGGGACTCACGGCCTGCTCCGGCGATCAGGAAGCGCGTACCCCCCTCTCGCTCAAAACTACGAGTTCTCCATGAAGTTCCCCAGCGAGAGAATCTACACACGGCACCCGATCCGCCCCCAGAAACCTACCCCGGGCTCGCTAGTCTACAGTCGCTACATCCCGCACCTGGACCAGCATTTCTCGCTCATGGTGGTGGACTGGCAGAACGAAGAGCACTTGCAGCTCTTTCACAAATGGCAGAACGACCCCCGCGTCGCCAAGGGGTGGAACGAGACCGGCGACCTGGAGCACCACCGCAAGTACCTGCGGCAGCTGCACGAAGACAAGCACGTCCTCTGCCTGTTTGGACGATTCGACGAGTTCAAATTCGCGTATTTTGAAGTATATTGGGCCAAGGTACGTCATTCTCGAAAATCCGTGGTATCCTCACCTAACATCGGATTGTCCGTAGGAGGACCACTACGGAGCACACTACGACGCCGGCGACTACGATCGGGGCCGCCATTCGCTCGTCGGGGAGGCCACCGTCCGCGGCGCATACAGAGTCAACACGTGGTGGTCGAGTGTAATCCACTATATTTTCCTGGACGAGCCGCGGACCATGTGTGTTGTCGGTGAGCCCAAGGCGACAAATACAACGGTGCTCTCGTACGAGAATGCGCACGGCCTGACGGTCCAGAAATACGTGGATCTGGGCCATAAGCGATCCGTCCATGTCTATTGCAGCCGGGAGAAATGGTTCCAGCTGTGTCCACTCTTCTGGGATGGGAGGGAAAGACCGCTGGAGAGTTCGGATCGGATGGCGTGGGATGCAAAGCTGTAATTATCATTGGTGTCTAGGATTAATGTCTTTTTAATATTTCGAACAAGACAACTAGAATTGTGGAAGATACTCCAGGGTAGAAACCAGAATCCATGATAAGACATCGCTTCGGACTCAAACACCACCAATAGACTGATCTTGTTATTGTCTTCCAGACCATACCTTTGTATCAGTCTAATCAGATGTTTTAGCCAAGTCCACTAGCACAATCATCTGATGTCCACGATTTACAAGAATCAACCGATCCTGCCGATAGAAATTTCACCCCCACCTTTCTCTATTTGGATGTCTATGCAGTGAACCATGTCTCAGTTACTTGAGTAGATTATCTTATCACATATTCTATTGCAGAAGAGTGCAAGCACATTCCCTGCGTCAGTTGAAGTGCAAAGTTATCTGATCCGAGGCCAGTGGGCCATGCACCAAAACTGTCTGATGGTGATACACTCAGAAAATAGCGCATAGTACACTATTTTCTACAGGAGCCCTACCTTGGTTGCGTACGTAGTAGTCGGATCAGATATGGATTTTGGTGTGACATCCCTGAGTTTTTGGTACATTACACTATGGTATGGTAAGATTACTTCTGTGGTTTACAGAATAATACAGTATATTAACTCAAATAATGTGTGTTAGATACAGGGATACTCATCTGTTGTCTGCACCTTAACTGACCAGCTGAAGTCACAAGCTAAGCTAAGATTAAGAAGCTCATGACTGATGCTGCGTTGCATGTGCCTGTAATTTCTGCTTTTCAGCCAGTACTGCTCGGAATCAACCATCTCCACTGCACCTCCTTGCTTCAGAGACCTCAAGTCGTCACGAAACCATGACGCCTCAGGCGCCTGACCTCTGCATTTCCTCTGTATATCCACTCATAAAAACTTTCGACAAATCCACCTGCCTTCATCCCTCGACAAAGGCAATGGGGGGAAGTTTTCATCATGCGAAACTGGCTTGGAATTTTTTCTTGAGTCTAGCCCGAATCAGGGCTTGTAGCCGAAGAACAATCTAATCAGATCCACTAGGTTTTGTGCCAAGAAATCTAATCAATCTAGTCCTTATGGCCCCTGTTAGCGAGCCGAGCGTACGTAAGTAGGAGTCCTTCCTAGCTAAACTCCACTCAGAGTCTGTTGTATGACCGGTGGATGAGGTATTAGACTAGTTGTATCTTACAACATGTATCAGTATGGTGTATGAACAGGCCCCACTGGGTATTGTCTGTTAGATTGATAATGGGCTTTTCAGCTCAGTTCCATGAGACTGCGAGCTAGATGAGACACTGGGACAGAATGTAGACCCACAGCGCCGATCTCGGACATTTCTCATATTGGACGAGGTGGGATGTGGTGGGATATGGTGGCTTTCTATTTTCGATCTGATAAGAGTTCAATTTGAGGAGGGCGCATGGCACCATAATGCATTGCTAGATACACTCTTTACTGTTCACCACACATTTCCTTTCAATCTCAGCCTCAATTGCAATCTCCAATTGCCTACTCAATATACATTCAATATGTACTCAAAGTTCTGGCCTAAGGGCGGTCTGCCGGGCATTCTACACCACTACGTATGTTCCCTCACTCAAGCACAGCATGCTGATGAGCTAACCGACTCCAATCTTAGACAGAAACCCTCGTCACATTCGAATACACCACAAACACCATCCGCAAACCACACAGTCTCCTCTTCGTCGGCGGTCTCGGAGACGGCATGGCAACAACATCCTACATGGCCGATCTGGCCCACGCCCTACAACCGACCGAATGGTCCCTCTTCACCCTGAACCTCACATCGTCCTATCAAGCCTGGGGGCTGGGACACCTCGACAGAGACACCAACGAGATCGCGCAGTGTCTGAACTACATCAAGGAGTACAAGACGGAGCGATTCGGCGGCGGCAAGATCGTCCTCATGGGCCATTCAACGGGGAGCCAGTGCGTCGTGCACTACCTCTCCCGACCGAATCCGCACACGGGCACCCCCGCCTTCGACCCTTACCTCGAGCATATCACGCGGATGCCGCTCGACGGGGCGATCATGCAGGCGCCCGTGTCTGACCGGGAAGCGATCCAGTGGGTCCTTGCCGAGGGGATTGGAGAGAGGACGCCGGCTGAGATCCGGCCTGTCTTCGAGAAGCTAGCGGCGATGGCGAGGGAGGCGGTTTGCGACGCGCAGGCCGGGACTGATGTGCTGCTGCCGTTGTCGATGACCTCGCTGGTCTACCCGGCTCACACGCCGCTTAGCGCACGGAGGTTTCTGAGTCTTACGAGTCCCGAGAGTCCGCAGTCGCCGAGTGAGGATGATCTGTTCAGTTCGGATTTGAGCGATGAGCAGCTGGGGAGGACCTTCGGGATGATCGGAGAGCAGGGGCTGCTGCGGGGGAAATTGATGGTGTTGTTTTCTGGGGCGGACCAGTCGGTGCCCAGTTGGGTTGACAAGGAGAGGTTACTATCGCGGTGGAGGAAGGCCACGGATCATGATGGGGAAGCCAAGATCTGGGATGAAAAGCACAGCGCTATAATACCGAATGCATCCCACGCGTTGAGTAATGATGATCAGGCTGAGCCTCGGAAATTTCTTGTTGAGAAGGTGATGGGATATCTATCGGCGGTAGTGAGGGCTTAGGCGATAAATGTCGAATGTATATAAGCAGAATATAAGACATGCAAGACATCCAAAAGTCAGGAACCCCTGCATCATATCTACCAATCCCTTATAAACGGCAATGACTTCGTCCACTGAGCGTAAGCCTGCCGGATTCCAAATCCAGCATCGTAGACTGAAGAGAGGAGTCAGTTTGTGGTTCCAATTGATGCGACGCCACATTGGAAATTGATCCAAAATACTGTAGCTATCACCAATGCATTGGATAATGAAGAACCACCTCCACGCCGAGCAAGTGCATCAACCATAGCTATGGGTGCCTCTGGCAACTAGATATGCCTCCATCAAAAAATTCCGAATACAGACGTAGGTCAGGGCGCAAATCCAAATGGTGCTTGTGTGCTAAAGAGAGAAACCAGCGAACAGAAGGGTTGCTCACCAGGCCTGGGAATGACGGTCAACCGATCTCTTAAGCACATCAACAATATCCTTGATTCATTCTTTGAGCGAATTCTATCTATCGCAGTGGAAATATACCTACCTTCCATATAGGATGGCGCTAGCTAGGTCCATAACTCTAATGTATATGAACCATATTTCGTATCCAGCATCAAACTTTGTATAAATCCCTTCCAGGAATCAGAGATAGACCACCCATGGCGGAAAGTCGACGCTGTCTTCTGGAGTAACAAATAGGATGTATGACTTGATGTCTTCCTTCATGCGAACAGCCTTAGACACCACAAGTAAGCCGCTTGCCTTTCTCGCGAGTCACCGTGCAGCCAGATCGGAGTATAATGGCGCTTGCTTACCAGTTCAACACATAGAGTACACACCAGACCCGGCTCTGCATTTCCTCCTCGAAATCACCGGCGGGCTGGGCTGGTCTGGTATCATGAAGGTCAAGCTCTTGGGCTTCGTGTATTGCTGAGGCCAGATTGTGCCAGGCTTTGACCAGCTGCGCATCGCCCTTGAGCCAGGAAACAGTGAGAAACAGTTGCTGGACCTGGATTAGACCTCCCTCCCCTGGTTCGAGGGAGCTGCTGAGCGCCTGAGCCGCAAGGTGATACCGCTCCGAAAGATTTTTTACACTTTCTCCGAGATCATACTGTAGCTTCTGATGCAAGGGGGCAGAGGGGAATTGTGTGGAACATGCACAGATGCGCAATAGCAGACAGGTAACCAGAAGATCGGGCTGCTGCGCCGAAGCTCGATTCTCCCACCACTCTACGTAAATTTCAAGTAATGAGGGGGAATGTATCACATAGTAATGGTAGTTGGGTGCACTCAAGAAATGCTGTATCAATGCATCTATATTGAGTGTAAGACTGTATCACAGGGCCAAAGAGAAGAAAGAAAAAAGGCCTCTACTTGTCTAACTCACCCATGTACGGTCGAGGAGGCAACACATGCAGAGCACGGGCCATATCATCAATAACCGCCGCCGAGGAAGAGCTGGACGAATTTCCAATCTCAGATGGCTGACATGCTCGCCAGTGCTGTTTATATCTTCCCGGGATAACTCATGCTCGAACCTTGGCATCACTCATGCCAAACTGTTTGCTGCCATGCAGGTATCCCACTGCGCGGAACCTATCATCGCCGATACATGGACTTGAACCACTCTCCGATGTGGCGTCTTTCCGAGTTTTGGGGCTTGCATGGCACCCAGAGAATTGTGGTTGAAAGCTCTCTCCACCGGTTAAAGTGGAGGAGATGAAGTCTACCAGTTGACTAAGCCTTCCTCAATTTCCTACCTTAGTTCCACGCTTGACCTATCTTCGTCTTCGAGTTCCAAATTCAGGCTGCCTTAGAACCTTGCGCGGGCATAAGGAAGGCTTACAGGCAATGGTCACTTAATCTATGCACTTTCTCACGAATCCAAGTATTTTTAATTAAGTGAATATGGCACAATATGGAATGGTGTAGCGAATGCGTAAGGATGATACCACTAGATGCTGATAGTCATTTGCTCTCGACGTCTCATACAATAAGGCTCCATGGATAGCTTAGTCAAGAACTCGAGACAAATTTTAAATCGAACAAAATGTAGAAGTCTGTCAGAAGGTTCATAGCCAGCAACAATCAGACTGCCGATCTAATAACTCGAGCAGGACTTCCCACCGCGATACTGTATGGTGGGATATCTCTCTTAACCACCGAGCCAGCACCGATGGAGCACCCTGATCCAATCGTCACCCCAGCCAAAATAGTCACATTTGCTCCAATCCAGCAATCGTCACCGATCATGACTTCTCTCGTAAACTCCATTCCCCGATGTGCGCGACGTGCTTCGATTTTAGTCTCATGCTCGCCCGTGATGATGTTTACATTCGGGCCAATCTCCACATTGTTTCCAATGGTGACCAGTCTGCAGTCCAGTACAGTCAGACTGTTCTATAAGCCTACCTTCTAAGCATCGTTTGTCAGGAACATGACTTACTTGAAATTTGCATAGAAACCATCTCCAGCACTGATGTTGCAGCCATAGTCCACAAAGAGGGGAGGCTCGATATAGATTCCCCTTCCTGCACGGCCCAACAACTTCCTTAATATCGCCTCTCTCTGCGCAACGGTTTCAGAGAACGGCACATCGGGTTGAAGAGGAGCATTGAACTCCGACATCAGGAAACGCGCTTTGGTGCGACCCTCTATGAGCTCTGATGCGAGGGGACTATATCTGCACAGCGTCTTAGCAGTGGTTCGGTGTTCTGAGCGACGCACTTACAGTATTCCCGATATCATCTTCTCATATTCCTCGCCCCAGCAGACACCTTGAAGGCTCTTGGCCTTTTCGATAATCTGGTTTTCTTTCTCGGTCTGGGGGATCATTGTGTGTGTTCGAGATGGCAGTGTGACTTTGGGGTCCTGAGAGATGTCGGTTTGCGCTGGATTCATCAGGATTTATATACCAAGGTCGTCGTCATTGTCTGTATAAGTTTGACATGGGCTCGTCCGGTGACCTACGCCTCATGCTGTGATGTACTTGTCGGTTTAAACTACAGCGAGAAGTAAGATATATACACCAATAAAATTCCTTCTGGGGGGTGCTGGAATACGAACACATGAAGCTCATCCTTTCATGGCTGGGATGTCGGCCCTATATTCCGGAGAAACATAGACATACTCGGTCCATTAAAGGAGAATGCTGCAATTTCATCATAATATCCACCAGTAATGGAACGAAGGTATTGACGCAGGCAAATGTGTCAAAAGCCGAAGTATAGCCGGAGCAAAATATATATACATGAACTCAGAATAGGATGTGGCATATAAGCAGCACAGTGAGCCAAAAGGACTCATTCAAGGTACGTGGAACGACATATATATAATAAAATATCCACGAGATTCAGACAAACATTATTTCCTTATAATCGACACAGTGTAATGTTGATTGTTGTCTGACTAAATTGCTTTATATATCCAAAATATCGCGATCGGCAGCAAGAAATCCTCGATGGTCTAACGGTCATGATTTCCGCTTGTCACTCCTGGAGAACGAGCGCGGGAGACCAGGGTTCGACTCCCTGTCGGGGAGATTTCTTTTTCTTTAATTTTATTTTTGATTTCCCCCTTTTTTTGGTCTCCACCTTCCAAACCACAAGGGCGCCACACATTGTCTTAATTTTTATCCTTTCTTTATTTTGTTTCTATTACAGTACATCTTTGATGATCACTCAACAGAGCAGGTGCAGACCAAATATGTGAGGAAACAAGATACAGCATCACGATATCATGTATGTATTCTTCGATGTAAAAGCGGCACATGGGTCATGTCCGGTTGACCCAGTTGGTCCCTGATTTCTAAGGCTTGAGGCTGAAAGTCCCTGGGATTTTGCACGGCCGATCTAAAATTAGCAGGTCTAAACTGGATCAGAGACGGAGACGCCGAGGCCGAAATGCCGTTGGTCCCTGAATGTATGCGTCCTCTTTCCAGGGGATTTCGAATAAGGGTCCTGACTTGGATGCTGTATGATCCATGAGGACCATGATATATCATATATCCACGATGATTTATCAGGTTCCGGTCGAATGCTTCTCTCCAAGCCTATACAGAATAGGTTGTTTCATCTATCCCGTAGAGTTTCAGCTCCAGTCGTCCATTGCTAAAGTGGCCCAGAGGCCCGAGACTTTTAAGCCTAAACTCAGTTTTCAATAGCCCCAAGTCTAGATCAGAGCTGCAAATTGCCTAGCCATATAATGCGAGTCAATTCCCTCGTCCTGTCAACATCACCTCAACTTCTCCCTCCAACGCAACCTGTCCTTCCATTAATTTCAGTCATTCGTTTAAACTAGTCACTCGTTAATGTACTACACCGTCAATTCAATCTCTAGTCAACGCTACTAACCCCATCCAGCAAGATGAAATTCCTCCCACTCCTTCTGGCGACAACCCTCGCCTCCACCGTCTACGCCCGCACCGACCTGGAGGGCTGCATCTCCTCCTCAACCCGCAACCAATGGAACGAAGCCAGCATGATCTGGTACGTCCCCGGAACAGGCGAAATCTGCGACATCCCCGACTGCGGCGGCGGCCGCGCGCCACCCAAACATGACAATCCCGCCTGCCCCGGCCAGTACACCGGCACCGCAAGCTACGAGCCGAGCTATCTCCCCGGGTACGGGCCCGGCGCGGCGGCGTCCACGAGTACGCTCGCTGCGACGGCGAGTGCGTCGACTACGGCGGATGTGATGACGACAAAGTCGAGCGAGGCGACTGCGACGGCGTCGGCGGCGACGGGTAGTGTGGTGATTACCTCTGCGCCGAGTATGGCTGCCAGTGCTACGGCGACGATGAAGACGAGTGCCAAGGCGGGAAACTCGTCCAGCGCGGCTTCGACTACGAGTGGTTCTGCTGGTGCTCTTGAGACTGGGAACGGTGCGGAGATGCTCAAGTTGAATGTGGTTGGGGCTGTGGCTGCTGCTGCTTTGGCAGTCGCGGCTTTGTAATTATTATGATCGGGGATAAGGGGTATATAATGCTTTCAGATCCTCTGGGAGCAGTCTTGCATTATTGTATCTAATCAAATCTGAGAGGTCGTCTAATTTTTGGATGAAAAGTTGGTGATAAAGGCGACCTGGACAGCTGCAAAACTGTATATGTTCATTTGATCAGCAGTGTTCGTGCAATGGTAAGAATGAAACTCACGCCACTGAAGCTGCAAAAATCTCGACTCGTCTAGCCCTTGTCATAAGACCAACAAGCACCGAGAACAGCACATTATACACAATAATCACCACTAATCTGGCCGCCATGCTGTTCAGAACGTATAGAACCAGCATCGAGCTCGCCGGAAACACAGACGAGAACACAGTACTAACGATCCTCGTCCCGCGAATGATCTGGTCATCGTCGTAGTAAACAGTACCAGTTTCGATATCATCGGGCTAAGCAACCATTTAGCTCATCGTCTTGTCAAGAGAAATGGTGGCTTTACTTTGATGCGCTCCCCGATGACCCGGTCGAACCAGGGAATGGCAACCCTAAACACCCACCGGGTCAAATGGTCGACATTCTCATATCGTCCCGACAGCGCGATGAGATCCTTCTCGTCCTTCCATTGATCCTGTTCCAGCCTAGTGGAGCAAACATAATTACCGCCCTTCTTTGACCCCACCCAATCTTTGAACGTTTCGAGGTCTCGAGAATGCGGAGAATTGAATCGCAGGAGTTGAGCTTGCTGGATCAATGCATTATCTGGAGCTGACCATCAGTTCCGACTGCTCAGGAATAGCATAATGGCTGTTGCACCGACTGTACTCATTCAGCAACCTTCTCAGCTCAAGAAACCTCGCCCATTGAAGTGACGGTGTGTTCTTCAGATACCAAACGGAGGTGGAGTATCTCTTGACCTTTGCATCTTCAGACTTTTGGTCCTCGTCAATAATTTCCTGGAGATCCTCTGCGACGGTGATGATTTCCGCTTGCAGGTATAAAAGGTTCTTTGCGTTGAGCCTGGCAAAGCGACGGTATATGGATAGTCCTCGGTCGGAGGCTATCCATGCGGCGAGTTTGTCATAGCCATCTGTTTTACTCGCTCTGCTAGTTGATGCTTGATTGTCGCTGGGAGCATGATTCATCTTTGGCAGACTTATTGTGTCTAGGTATACATTAGTAGAGCCGGAGCCGTTGCGCTTCATCGTCTGATGACAGGGACAAGGCATGTTGATATTTGCGCCAGGCATTCTCAGTACTTCTAGATATAGTCCAGCTCCAGCTGTTTAGATGTGAGCCTCTTTACAGCCGTATCAGTATCTACGCATGAGCCTCAAAGGCGCCATTTGCGGGGCACCCTCACAGAAACATAGTCTTGCGTCACTTTGCCTGGGTGTAATTGCACGGCTGTGAGCTGGCCAGCGTTACACAGGCACGGAAGCGACATGAGCTTACCAGGGTATGAGTGGACGATATGCAGGTGAATCACAACCCCTCAATGACAAATATTGGTGGAAAACGACAGGTTACTACAGAGTATTTGGGATGCCTACGCCAGCTCAGCGCAGTCATTCTGAGATAAGAGATATTTTCTTTTGAAAGAGAGCATGCAATGAGATCATGACCAATCCATCACGACCGTTCTCTTCAGATATTGAGACTAGACTCGTCGCTTACAAACTACATCTTGACTCCTTTCTTTCCTCCCCCGAAAGCCTTAGCTGACTGATTGATGTTCGTCCCAGCACCAGATCATACCGTCTATCCCTGACTACATGGAACCTCGTATTGTGAACCCTCCGGCACCTGTATATCTGCCACTTTATCTCTATCACCCCCACCGATTTCACAGTGCATCCATCAGGAAGCTGTATCTCAGCTCCGTAGCCCTTCTCCACTGGTGTGCCCAGTAGATGCGCAATATCATCTGATATAATATCGGTTTCAAGGGTAGCATCGAGCAACAGACGGCGGTAGAATCTTTCGTCGTTTGGAGTGAAAAGTACTGCATCGTGTATGATAGGTGCGTCGGAAAGCTGGACGCGTTCTCGATTGAAGGTGTTTTGGATATCGTATTCGAGCGGTTGTGTGTGTCCATGTATATCCCATTCTATATCTAGGTTCTGGCTTTGTTCGACGGGTTCATATGGAGGAGGCGCGGGTGTCGTCGAAGCCTGCGCCGATGCCTTCGCCTCTGCGCATCTTGAAGGACAGCCTTTGCTAGATTGAGTTTGATGAGTGTCGCTTCGATCGCATGCGACAATGATCTTTCGAAGCGTATTCCTGAGAATTCGGAGACGGGGCATTCTGGAAGTCTAACACTTGTCAGTGGCGAAGGCGCTTAATTGATAAGTCTGCTTGTTCTCAAGGCAACCGATACCTTTGCAGTTCCAGTAGTCAAATTGTGCGTATGTTTCCTGTAGGTCCCAGTGTTGCGATGCATATGTTCTTCTGTTTCAATTATTGACATGGTGAACGGCTCCCTATGTTTGCCTTAATTGTTGAGACCAGCGCTTATAGATTGTCGAGATCTTGGTTGTTTGGATGGTAAAGCCTTTTTATTTCACATGTTCAGCAGGCAACTCCAAAAATACCAAAAAGCATGATATTGGATAGCAAAAATGAGGCTCTGTGAATTAAGTGACCGTGCTTGTACTTGGCTGGGGCTCAACCTGGGTCTATTGGAGAAGATGCTAGTGAAAGAGTAGCCAGCCTGTCTTATGGGATGGGTGGTGTGGGTAAGAGGCATCATATGCTGTGAATTTTAGGCGGCTGATTTGAAGATGATAGGTTACGTTTGCTAACTATTGATGTGAAGGACAAGGCTGAAATGAAAGCAACCTAAGTAAGTTGGGGGCACTGTAAGCTACGGCAAATATGATTGGTGGTTTGGTCTATTATTTTGTATCTCGCCAGCTGACGCAAGGGGCAAGGCTGAAAGAAAATGTGTTCATCTGTGAGATTGCCGGAGAAACTTCCCTTCTCTTAGTCTCAGTGCATGAATCCATCACTCTCAAAAGGCTACAAAGCATACCATCCTAACCATATAGCCTTCTCATTGGCCTGTAAGCCCCTTTAGGATAGTCGAGATTACAAGAAAAAGCAAAATATGTAGCCATGAATAGCTAGACGCAAGTTGTCTGACGGGAAGATTCTACATCATTTTTCTGAGTCCCAGTCTGTATTGACTTGAGGTACCTCATGTATCCAGGTAGAAGACACCCGGTGATCAATGATAATCAGAGATAAGCTTCATCTCGAGCCCTGCAAGAGCCTCTCTCTTTCTCGCGCATTTCTCTCTCGATTTTTTCTCTTCATCTCCTCATCACCCTGCTGCCCCCGCGCAACAATCTCTCGCCGGTTCCGTTCTTCTTCCTGCTTTGTCCGCTCGTCTGCATGATACTGTAGCTTAGCTAGTCTGATGCTATAAACCTAGCGAAGAAGAAAACTGACCTTTCGGATGGCGATCTCCTCGATAAATGGTCGGAGCAGCACGGTAGCCGTTCGACCCCTTATCCTCAAACTTTTCCTTCCACCTTCTTCCCAATATAACGTCGTAGGAGTCAGAGGGCTCTAGCCTATCCTCGCTGGAGACAAAGAACCAGTCTTGCTCCGTATCTGCGGCGCCACTTTTGCTGACCACTAACTCGACCTGCTCAATCACGGTGTGCAAGATTCCATTGGAGTCCGGGATCTGGCGTCCCGGTTGGAGAGGGAATGAGTGAAAGGGAAATCTCGAAAGGATTCTTCGACATCTCTGTGATATAATGTTTGCATCGAGACGATAGTCAATGATGGCCTGAAGAGGAGGCTCGTCTTCTGTTTGAAAGATCGCTTTGATGAAGTGAATAGTTTGCTCTGGATTGGCCTGAAGGACTCATACTCAGTTAGACTCCGCTGTAGATCCAACTCTGCTTGTTCTATAATCCTATTGAAGAGGTCTGTACATACCATGGCTAGTATTCAATCAACAGCGACAGGCCTGATGGCAATGGGAGAAAGTTGCACCCCCATGCCTCCGAAGACGACCGTCGCCAGCGCTATAAATCCCAAGCGTCAGCAGGATAATTGTGTTGAGCCTCAAAAAGCTGTATAGAAACCCAACATCTGTAGATATGCATCTATATTGCTTTTGGTGTCCTCGTGGATGGGTGTTTGTGTGTTGTATCTGCGATCTGCATCATCTGCAAGGCTGGAGCGGGGTTATCAACTTGATGACAGGGAATTTCTCTGGCAAATAGTGATGGAGATAGAGATCCATGATTAAATCGATTGACCACAGTCCAGGTTTTCGGATCTCGGATTCGATATTAGTGGTGGGACACTCAACCAGAGTGATGTGTTGGGTATGCACAAAGTGGAATGAACAGATCGAAGTCGGGAACTTGGGAGGGAAAGTGCGAATCAGACTACAATCCACAACTGTCTCTGACATGAAATAGTGCATTCACCCCAGTTCTTTAATGTTTGCTGAGATAAACGAGCGACTCTGGCCTGACAACCCAACAACATACACAAAGGACTGACAAACAGAACACGAACTCCCCCGCAGTCTTTAATCAACTCCATCTATTCCCGAATAAGCAAATCCAGAAACAGGATTAGGCGCTCGAGCATAATCATATCGTATACCCCCAGCCCCCCAGCCTCCCAGCCCTCTATTTTCCGTCTTCATTTACTTCGCTACTTTTCCATCTCCTCTGTAGCGCTTTGCTGACCTTCAGACCGTCTGAACTCTAGACCGGCGAAACGACAGATCACCACTCAACGAGAGTAGATTCTCCCTCTGGATCGTCTCGTGGCCAATCAGCAAGTCAAAGCACTCCATTTCAATCACCAGAAAGTCGTCATCATAGGTACGAGGGCCTCTCCATAAGTGCCACCTGACATGGCGAGCTATGCCTAGGACAGGCACTGGCGCAGAGTCCAAAGGTAAGACGACAGAGTTGCAGGGTTCCCACGTGAGCTGTCGACCGTCGGCGAGCCTATCCCAAATCCGACGAGACATGAGATTGCACTGGCACTGTGTATCGAGCGACGCTTGCATGTATCTTCTTCGGCTGATGTCGTCATGGGAAAGACGGGCTTGGACAGCGTATGTGAAGGGCGGTCTGTGTCCAGTCCTGGCATTGAGGAAGGAAAACGGGACACTAAATGATCGAGGGGGGAAAGGCTCAATCCTGCTGATTTGAGGTGTTTCGGAGGACGATTCGAGGAGAGATCCAGCTGCGTTATCGTGCTGCGACGGATTGCATCTCTCACGGCCGGAACGATCTTTTGACGACCGTTGGAGTCGTTGTCTAAGGCGCTGGACGGCATTCCGAATCGAGTGGGATAAGTTCCTAAAGGGTAAGCCAGAGAGCGAGCGGAGGGACCATTCGCGAAAGGACTCTGAACTTGATTGATCTGGTTGCGGGTTAATATCTTGATCAGTGCCATGAGAGATCGTCTCAGACCCCGACTCGTCGGTACTTACTCCTCATCAATCAAGACGCGGTTTTATACGGTTAATTTCATACTATACGTACGTTGACTCGGATGAACTAGAAGCGATAGGGATCTCCGCTGCTGGTAGGGAGGTGATAGAAAGAGACTGAGAGTAGGACAAAAGATGAGTAAGTCCAGTATCTCAAGAATTTGATGAAGGAAGAAAGTGCTCAGATACTGGACATGGGGACGGAGAGCTGATGTTGAGGAAAAGTACCTAGGCCCACAGCGGACTAAACCCCGAAGCAGCAATGAGACAGAGATGATAGAGACAGACGACAGAGACGACAGAGACGGAACGACCACCACCAGCCACGCTAACAATAATCAGCCACGACTGTCGTCCCATCAAATACCCGACTAAACCAACGTCTATGGGGTATAGTAGAATTTGGAACGGGTGAGCGGGCGCAGTAGCACCCAAACTCTCGACCTCTTTTCTCTGTTGCCGAGGGGCTGAGCGAAGTAAATCTACAATGTCTACAGTGACAGGTCAATTCCTACGTAGCTTGGCCAATCTTGAAAGGAAGCTAGAGCATGGAGTGAATAATGTTTGGATTGTTGCCTGTGTGTGTTCAGTTCCCAGAGCGTAATAGAAAAGATACTCAGGGCAGATTACTACCTAGGTTCAGGCGAGCTACAGTGTTAGAGCTCCTATCTCTTTTTGGATACTGGGGAAATTATCTAGTCCCATTAATCTTTCCTGCAATGCTGCAGAACCATTCGCTAAGGTAGATGGTACCTATCTACTCCGTATGTAGGTAGTCATGATATTATTGCATAGCCTGGGCCATTCATGATCGCCCAAGGCGCTCTTCACCCCTGATGCCTAATCAAGGCACTCCCAGGTGGTATGCACATAGACAACTGACATCATAGACGTTTAGGTCCAGAAAAAAATGTAGGAAAGGCAGAAGGTTGAATGCTACACATGTACATGCAGGTGCTATTTCTCGCACACCGCATGATCTCTAAGTTGGCTAAACCAGAGTCCCTATGCCCCTGGATGGCTCATTAAAGCACGCTGTTAGAAACGCGTGAGGGCCTTTGGTCCAGATCAACCCAGGAGATAGATGAATCAACCCTGCTTACTGTGTCTATCACACCCAAACATGCAGCTACATGTGTGACCAATGAAGACTACCTTTATCCTCGAATGTTGACTCCTCCCTGTATAATTAATGGCCCTCTCAAAATGGCAGTCTTTGTATTGGAAGTTATTTATTTATTTATTCACCTTTTTTCTTTATTGCGCTGCTTGTGTCATGGTCTAGCAATAGATTCGCCCAATGACTTTGTTGACCTGCGAGTGGCAATTATGTACGATCTTATATCCTAGAGTAGGATCTGTCGCCTAGTGGGAGCCTCAGGCATCGAGGCACTGGTTGTTGCCTAGGGCTCGTAGAGAAGGAAAGGCTTCTTCTAGCTACCTAGCCTTGTAAGAATATATCTCCTACAATACCCATGAAACAGATAACAGAACAATGCAATCTGAACATATCTACTGGCTTCTATCTACATCAGCACCGTAACATAGTTTTCAACAGGCCCTTCTGAGCTGTGTCTATCGGAAAGATCCAGTGTTTCTGGGTCACAACTTCGAGTGTTCCCTTACATTTGACACACACACCAACGGCGGAGATTATGCAGGAGTTCCTCATCTATTTGCATCATGCATTGCAGAACGAAAATACGACTCTCCGATATCGTAGGTCTCGTAGCGCAGCTGTGTTCATGGGTCTGGTCTTGACTATGTGTCCGGAGGATACTCGAGTGGAGGTTGGGAATGAGGCGCTTCAGCAGGGACAAAGAGAGTCAGTCATCTTCTGGGTTCATAATGACGAAGATGATAATACTCAAAATTTTCCTCGAGTCTAAAGCTTCCAAGAATGCTTCATTCGGATGTAGGAATTGGATACTACCTGTAACTAGCACATCAAACTCGACTGGGAAGGTCATTTGACGGGGCATCTTAAAATCGCCCTTTGAACAGGGGCGCTCAAACGATGCCTAACTCGTTCCTGCCACTTCAACAGGCCATCGCCCACCTACCTGATCGCTTATGTCGCAGAGACGTCCACAGCCGAGGACTGGTGTAGTAGTGTCTTGCCCAATTCTTCTGGTGACAACCGCACCGTCAAAATAGCATCTCGTCCGTCTCCACCTCCGCCGCAGTGAGCATCCCGTCTGTAAGCGAGTAAAATCTAATATATTTCTTGGTAGGACTCTGGGTTGAAGCTTTTGGTGTATACCCCCAAGACGACCAATATGTCCTCCAGAATCCCACGCGACGGTCTCACTCGGATTCATCGACGAAGATGATCTGCGCTGGATGCAAACGCGACAGCTCCTGTAGGTACGCCTGACGCAAGTGCTCGCTCTCTTCCTTTGCGGCTTGTAACCCCAATTTTCTGGTCCACTCGATATCGGTCAACGCTCGGTTTATCTCCAAAGAAGAAATGAGAGTATGGAATCCGTCCCACACGAACACGAGGAGTTCTTCATGGGAGGCGTGCGGTCGCCCGACCAGGTGTTGGCAGAGTGATTCATGCATGGCTGGAGTGACGGTTCGAGGGTGTCGCGTCCGAATCCTGAGCCTTTCTGTGGAGGATGAATGGTGCCGTACTTGCGCAAGTTGTTGCGAATGGATATGATGGTTGTTTTACTGCAGCCGGTGGCGGCGGCCATTTGTTTGGTGGTAAGATGTGTGTGTGGTGGAGGATCATGTCATGGATGAGCGCTGGGACGGTTCCAGAATTCGAGTCATTGTTGTGGACCTCAGTGTTCTTGAGATTTGCGCTGGACGAAGGGACCTGGTGATGGTGTTGGATGATTAATATATTCGTGTTGATCCCAGCAAGTGACGGATCATCTTGTCTGCTCCTCCTCCAACCCAGCCACTCCATCGACAACACGCTCTTATTGGTCGCATATACGAAGAGAAAGGCACGAGATCATCTCAAGGTACTCTCTATTAGACAAAGGAAGATCATCAACTTTTATTCTTTGGACAACTATTGAGCATTGGTCAAGATCGAAACGATGCTAGAACATCACCTACGGACGCCTCCGCATCCTCCATCACCTTCGCCAACATCTTCTCAATCACTTGTGTCTCATTCTGTACTTGTTCCTTCTCATATATACCTCTGTCAAAGGCGAACTTGAGCTTATACTCGTTCACATCCGCTGTCTTGACAACCTCAAATACGACCGCGTATGGCTGCGGCATCGTCACCTCGGACTTGGCCATCACCACCCACTTCTGGTACTGCTTCCCTGTCGCGATGACCGGCTCAAATGGCTGGAAGAGGAAGAGGGTCTTGTTCGAGAATCCTTCACGCGTTGTTTCACAGGCTTCGTGAATCTCGTCCATACCCACGGTACTATTTTCGGTGTACTGCCAGAATTCATCCTGAGTTCGACGAAGGAACTCTGACACAGGCATTGACGCATCGACCTTCGACCGCATGGGAAGGAAGTTTGCACAGGTGCCGTTGATGGTTTGAGGGTCAGGTAGATCAACGTTGCGACCGGTGTAGAGGTAGTCGAAGGCGACGTCGCGTTGGTTGCTGCGCAGCGCCAGCCAGAGCTGGAAGACGGACTGGAAGATGATGGAGACAGTGGCCCCGGTGGACTTGGCGAATGCATCAAACTCAAGGTTGATGGTGTGTACAAACACGGAGTTGATGCGTGGTTCGGTAGCATTGCCGCTGGGGAATTCGAAGGCAATGGGGCGTTTCTCGGATTGCTTCCAGAACGACAGCGTGCGGGACTTGTCCATCTGCCAGATGTGGAATGCAAAGTCTTTGAATGAAGTAAAGCGTTCCAACGCGACATTGCGCTGGTAAGCCTCAAAGTGCTCACCAAAGATGCGAAGAAGCGTTCCGTCGTACAGGCCATGGTCGAGCTTGGTGACAATCTCTGTCTCGCCCGTCGACAGATGGAGAATGGCGTAGCGAATGAAGGGCTTGCCAAACACAAACCGATAATGGTCAAGAGTCTTGATGATCTGCTTTCTCTGCTCCTCATCGCTGACAGTTTCATAGATCTCGACCACGGGGTTTGCGTCGCGGAGAACAACTCCATACCACTTTCCATGACAGCGAGTGAAGGTCGTGCGTAGAATGTCATTGGTCGTCGTCAGCTGTCGAACCAGGTCAATCCATTGTCTTGGTTCAAACTCATTGCCGACCTTCCGGACGGTCATCAGACTCCACAACGCCTCAGGATGCGCACCTTGGGTCAGGAATTCGGCCTGTCCCGGAGGGCAAGGATAGATGTACTCATACTCAGTCGCCTGCAGACCAGTGGCAGATATAGCAGCATCAACCTCTGAGGGAGGAGTGAAAGTCTTCTGTTGCACCTGGTGTGCGTCGTCTGACTCGCCCTTGAGCTGGTCGGCCATTGCCCCAAGACCAGGGTATTTGAGCACATCTCGCACGGAGATCTTGAGCTGTTTGCGTCTGAGCCAGCTGACGAGGTTGATGGCGGCAATGGAATCGCCGCCGAGGCTGAGGAAGTCGGCTTCCAAACCAAATTCGTCGTCGGCAAGCTGCAGAGTTTCGATCCATCCTTGTTGCAGTACCTTCTGGGTCTCAGTTACCAGAGGGATAAACGCCCCCTTTGACTGCGCAGTGCCGATCTTGTCAAATGAGAATTTGGTCAGTTCACCCTGACTCAGCGAGTGCACCATCGCCTTGAGCTGTTTGCGGTTGGCCTTGCCGGAGGGTAGTCTCGGCAGCGACGATAGAGGCACAATTGCCTTTGGAATCATGTACGGGGTTAGTCCAGTGAGCTTGGCTCGGACATGCTGCACATTTTCAACAAAACTCTCCAGGGGAAGAATCTCGCCCAGTTTCTCAGCAGTAGCACCATCGAAAACGGCAACCGCGACAAGATGCGCAGTGCTGTTCTGCTTCCAGACCGTCAGCACGCAGTCCTTGACCTCACCCGTTCGCAAGAAGGCCTGTTCTATCTCTCCCAGTTCGATTCGGTGTCCGTTGATCTTGACCTGGTCGTCTTTGCGGCCTAAACACTCAATGTCTCCGTTGGGAAGATATCGGGCCAAGTCTCCACTGCGGTATAAGCGTTGGCCCTTGAGCACTTCACTATCGATAAAAGCGGCACTGGTGATATCAGGTTTCTTGAAATACCCCTGCGCAAGCTGTGGCCCAAAGAAGCACAGCTCTCCGACAGCGCCGTAAGGGACTGGTCGAACTCCATCTGCTTCCAGGACGATGGCACCCACAGACGCGAGGGGCTTGCCGATATTGCCTCCGATCGTGTCAGTATCGACACCCTTCATCGTCACCAGGACGGAGGCCTCGGTGGGCCCGTAGCCATTGCGAAGTGCCACACGCGATGCCCATGTTGTCACCACGTCACGGGTCAGCTGTTCACCGCCAACCGTCATAGACTCCAGCTTGGGAACATCCTGGGGGCTCAGCAGTCGAGCCACAGTCGGAGTGAGGAAGACGTGGTTGACGTTCATCTCGTTGATAACCTCGGCCAGGTTGTTCAACAGGCGCTCGGAGGGTGCAATGCAGAGAGTGCCGCCGCTGTGCAGTGCTACGAAGACGTCGTACAGCGAGACGTCAAAGACATAGTTTGAGAACTGCAGCATCCTTGACTCCTGGCCCTGTCGATGCTCAAATTCGATAATCGATTGCATGGCAGCTGCGCAAGCGCCATGTGTCACCATGACGCCCTTTGGAAGACCGGTACTTCCCGAGGTGTAGAGGAGATAGGCGAGAGCATCCGGAGAGACAGCGACTGTCTGTGGCTCGGGGCAATATGCGCAAAGTCTGGCCTGATCCAGGAGGATGCTAGGAATATCGCTTTCCGAGGCAAAGTACGATTCATGTTCCTTCTCTGTGAGGACGAACTTGGCGCTGACGTCGCGAGCGATGTACGCGTTCCTTTCCAAGGGATTCTCAGGGCTCAAAGGCACATAAGCTGCGCCGAGCTTGAACAATGCGAGAATGGCCTTGATCATCAATGGCGACTTCTCTAAGAGGAGAGGGACGATGTCACCGGGCACGACCCCGCGCTCGGAGAGATAGTTCGCCATGCGGTTCGCCTGGGTATCCAGTTCAGCGTATGTGAGGAACAGCTCGTTCTGGTAGTTGATGGCTATTCGATCGGGGTATCTCTGGACCGTGGCTTCGAATTGGCCGTGCAATGTGCGAGTGGCACCAGGCAGGGCGTTGTGTGACTGAAGCATGAACTGTAGCTCCGTCTCGCTGACCAGATTCGTTGTCTTGACTGTCTGTCGAGGATTGGATGCGATCAGATTTAGTGCCATGCAGAACTGGTCGAGAATGAACTGCAAACGACGCGCTTCCATGGGCGATGTGAGCGTGACCTCAATACCTGCAACGCCCTCCTCAACGTTCAGTGTCGTGTACTCAGTTCTCCATACTGGTCGCCGACCATACAGCTGGAACACCTCCTTGGAAATATCATCCTTAGCCTTGTCACTGACGAGGATATTGACCATGGTGTCGAAGAGAGTAGTGCTCTGGCGCTCGGCAGCGGCCAGGGCATTACGCACTCCGAACTGGGAGTGCTTGATGACTTTCCAGAGACTGGCGTTGACCGACTGCACCAGCTGCTGAAGTGTCAGCTCCGGATCAATTGCGACGGCGTAAGGGACGACAGCCAGGGTGGGTCCGTTCAGGGCCTCAATCCCTGGAACAGGTAACTCGCGACCGGAAACAGCTGTTGCCATTGTGACAGACTTTGAAGCAATGTGGGATGAGAGAACAAGAGCCCAGGCCGCATGGATAATTGCACTCAGAGGAGCACGCAAAGCCGATGATGCGGCCTTGACATCCTGGCTGACAATGCGCCTGACCGTGGACGTTTTTGCCACAGGAGCATAATTGAGAACTGTTGGAACCGCCTCACAGAGGTGTTCTCTCCAGAAATCCTGGGATGACTTTGTGTCTCGTGCGTGCAGAAGGGCCACGAAAGACTTCCACTCCGGACGCTTCTCGGGACGACGGCCGTAGTACACACGAGCGACATCGTCGAAAAGGAATCTGTGTGACCAGAAGTCGAAGAGCGCATGATGAACCGAGACGACGAGAATGCTTCCGTCCAGGACGGCGACACGCAGGAATGGCTCGCCTAGTGTGACGCCTCTGGTTTTGTCCTCTTCGAGATATTCGGCTAGACTCATGGAGACCTCCGACCAAGGTAGGTTGAAGTCGTTGCGGACGACCTGAACGAAACCCTTGGCTGCGGTGACAAAGGTGGATTTGAGAAGTTTCGTACGCCAGAAGACGACTTGGAATGCCAGCTGCAACCGTACAAGGTCGAGATGGCGAATGTCAAAAATGCGCTGATAGAGATAGTGCTGGTTTCCTTGCAGCGTGCTGGCCAGGATGCCTTCTTGCAGTGCTGTGACAGGATAAGCATCGACAACACGACGGTCGGCCAGGAAGTCCGCCTTGAGCGCTGAGTCGGAGATGTATCCAAACGGCTTAGAGGGCTCATTGATATCGTGAGTTGCAGTCGAGTCCAATTGGGCAGTATCCGCAATTTCCTCGACCGTCTGCGCTTGAAGCATATCCGCCAACTCGACATGGATTCCGCGTTGCTTTAGTTCTCGAATCGCGCGGATTGCGTCAATGGACGTTCCTCCCAATGCGACCAGGGAATCTGTGGGTATGATGGAGGACGCGGGCAGGTTCAAAACTTCAGCCCAAACCTGCGCAATCTCCAAGGCAATCTCGCTGAAGCCAGTCGCCGCACCGCTGTTCGGTAACGTGCTATGGCCCAACATCTGGCTGACCTCAGTTCCTTCGGCAAGTTGACGAATGGCCCGGAAATCCACTTTTCCATTTTGGTTGATGGGAAATTCGGCGCACGACAGCCAATAACTAGGAACCATATACGGCGGGAAAGACTGGCGTGCATGATTGCGCAGCTCCTGCACGAGTCTGCCCCAGTCACTCTCGGGTGAAGGGACGACAGCAGCCACGAGAGACATGCGCTCGTTGATGTAGCATCCCACACACACCAAGCCGGCCACGCCCGTCACCGACGCGAGTTTCGCAGCCACTTCTTCAGGCTCGACTCTCTGACCATGGATTTTGACCTGGTGATCAATACGACCCAGGATTTCAAATGTTCCATTCGCACGCTTGACGGCCAAATCGCCAGTGCGGAACATCATCGTGCCGGGCTTGCCCTCTGGCGCCTTGACAAAGGCAGCTTGGGTTTCCTTCTGTCTTTGGTGGTAGCCATTGGCGATCTGAGGACCATATAGACAGAGCTCGCCCGGCTCATTGACAGGAAGAGGATTGACGGTGCCGGGCTCCAGGACGAGGGCGGTGGTTGTGTCTGCTGGGAGGCCAGGATTGCGGGGGTTATCACCTGGCTGGAGTTGACGGGAGAAGTTCAGTTGAGCACATTCGCTGAGTCCATATGAGACGCGCAGGTGTACTTTGTCTGCCCATGTATCGACAAGAGTCTGGCTGAGGGGCTCGCCGACGGTGGTGATCTGTTGCAAGCATTTGGGTGTCTCGTCGGGAGACAGCAAGGCGAGGGCTGAGGGAGTGATACCCAGGGCATCGATCTGGAGGTTGTTCAACACTTCGGGCAAAGCAGTTGCGAGTCGGTCCCTTCTGGCGAGGCAAAGACAGGCGCCCTTGGACAGGGTGGCAAGAATGGTTCTCTGAGCTGCGGAGAAGATGGGGTTGTAGAAGAGCAGCCATCGCTTGCGGCCGTTGAGTTGGAATTGGTCGATGCCATGAGAGACAGCACGATGGCTGAGGAGGACGCCCTTGGGGGTACCAGTTGAGCCAGAGGTATAGATTAAGTATGCCAGGTCGAATGGACTGATCGAAGGAGGGTTAAGTTGTACATGGGCCTGTTCAGTCGACCGGATACTCTCGATGGTGACGCTGTGATCAAACAGGGAAGCATACTTTTCATGGACGACGACAGCTTCCGTACCGCAATCCGCCGCAATAACGCGGTTACGTTGCGCAGAACCTTCCGGGTCGAGAATGACATAGGCAGATCCGGACCAGAGGATGGCCAGCACGGTAGCCACAAACTCGACTGACGGGTCCATACAGAGGGGTATAATACGACCGGAGCGGAATTGTGCCGCTGTTGCAATGTGCTCGACGAGTTGCCAGAGCTTGGCATAGCTGTACGGTTGCTCCTGCTCGCATTGAACAGCGGGAGCATCAGGATTCGACTCGACTTGGTATCTGATGTAGTCTGTAACGAGACAGGGAGGATATGGAGGGCTGAGAAGAGGGATTGAGCGAGGTTTGGTCGAGACCATCTCGGTGCCCTGGAGCTCAGGGCTTTCCGCGATATCTCGAAGAGCGACTGGAGCCATGCTGATGGTGTAGCAAGCTCAACAAGAGAGAAAACAGGATTTTTATGCGTAATAAGACTTGGCTGCCTCTTTTTGAGGTCTGCTTTTTGATTTCGATGATAGTTTGGAGGGCGAGACGAAGCTATTTATGTCTAGTGTCGAAGAAGGCTCAATGAGGATCTCACGTTGAGCTTCATCAAACCAAACGCCCTCTCTGGCAGCAACGGCATCTTGGGGGCTGAGTACAACATCCATGCCAACAATGAGGTCTTTTCCTGCTCACTCTTTCCCCCGACGCGGAGAATCCCGTCTCTTCACCTTCGATCCTGAAACTCGCCATCTACTCATCTGCACAGCAATCAGCACGAGGAGCGCAACAAGACTCCACCTTCGGCTGGAATGGGCTCTGCCAGTGATGAGATGTGAAAAAGTGCATTTCCATCCAATCCTTCAATCACATTGAGTACTAGATGTTTCGATCGAGTCAAAGCGTGGTGGTGTCTGCATGTATGGACAGGGGTCTTAGAGACTTCATCGTCTCTGGCCAAAATGCGAGGGCGGAATACGTCAAACACGAGGGATTTGCAGCCGAGCAGATCAAAGGTATTGCACTGCTCATCCTCGTATGAAATTGCATAACTGTCGCCTTCCGAATTGCCTCCGAGAACCGACAGAATGCCGATGACGATATCTGACAGGTACCTTGCGACTCTTCAGGATCTCGATCCTTGATCGACTGAGTGACACATGGCCTATCAGGGAATAGTCAGCAGCCTCCATATCGAATCAGGCCTAGGAGGTTCCGAATCGAACGGATTCATGAAAGTTCCAGGAGTATATCCCGCTGTGGACTAACAAATAAAATGCAGCCTGCAGAAATTGCACAACCGCTGCATAGTCACTTTTCATACCATGTGCCATAGTATCATGGCATGATGTGACGCAAAAGCGAGAGCCACGCTTTGAGCTGTCTTCTTCCGTGCATGTGGTGGCTTGCAGTGTAACCTCGTATTCGATCTGTGTTGCCTGCAGACAAGGATTGAACGCGCCACTAGAAAACGGCTTGCTGTATATCGATCATGTGTAGTCATGATTGGCCACTTTCCGTTACGAAACTAGAAACAGTCAGTGTAATGTGAGGTCAATGAAATTCCTGCAAGGTTGCGACAAGCTCACCCTAAGATGGGATCCGATCTCTTTCCGGAAGAGGAGTATGCTTGGTCTCTCTGGGCGAAAACGTGGCGCAACGCTAGGCCGGATGATTCTCATCTTACTGCTGCTAACGATTCGGAAATATTCTACGATGCTCTCCATATTCTATGCTTTCCGGACGATGGTTCTAGCAGGATCTGTGCGTCGAACTGGCTATAAATGGGCCATACACAACACTCGACATCGGCTAGCATCACCATCGACTTCAGTCTCACAGCCAATCAACTTTCAAGTCAGAGTTCTCTCGTTGAATCCCTTTACATCATCATGGCGGAATCTCTCGTCTTTGCCTACGGCTCTGCGGATCCTGTCAAAGAGATCCGTCTTCTCTCAACCCCTTCGCCCGCGGACTGCGGTCCTAGCCAGGTGGTCGTGGAGTTGCTTTCAGCACCCATCAATCCCCTGGACTTTCTCGTATTGCACGGGAAATACCCTGTCAAGCCACAAAACAACGTCGCCCTGGCCAATGGCGAGCACCGACCCATTCCCGGCTCAGATGGCGCGGCCCGCATCGTCCAGGCGGGATCGGCCGTGACTCAGTTCCACATCGGGGACACGGTCATCCTGCGGACCCACTGCCGAGGGTCCTGGCGGACGCACGCCGTGCTGGACGAGAACGACGTGCTGCGTGTTCCATCGACGCTGGATCCCCGGCTCGCCTGTATCCTGCGCATGGGCGTCGCACCCGCTTACTTCCTGCTGCGGGATTATTCGCCTCTCGAGCCCGGCGACTGGATCATCCAGAACGCGGCGACAGGCACGGTGAGCCATTTCGTGAGTCAATTGGCGCGCCTGCAGGGTGTCAACGTCATCAGCGTGATTCGCGATCGCGGCACAGATGATGAACTCGAGCGCACGAAACTATCGCTGCGCTCGCACGGCGCATCTATTGTCCTGACCGTTGACGAGCTCAAGGCCGCCGGCGCGGAGCTGCTTGCGGGCAAACGCATCAACCTCGCGATCGACTTTGTGTCTGATGACGTACTCGCGCGACTGATGGCATTGTTTTTGGCCCCTGGAGCCACGCTCGTCACTGCTGGCTTCCTGGGAGTCGCGCCGTCGGGCACCGATGGCAGCCTGCGGCAGTTCCTGTGGCAGCGCAACATCACTCTCAAGGCATTTCGACTGAGCGATTGTCTTGGCCAGCGATCGTCGTTCCATCAGACGGCGCTACTGGAATGGTTTGCGCGGTTATTCCAGGACGGGACGCTGAAGGCTCCGGCGCTGGAGTATGTCCGGTGGAAGCGAGGCGACACGGATCTCGAACGCAAGCTGCAGGAGGTGCTGGAGCGCCATGAGAGGGGGGATGTTGGCGAACGCAAGAAGGTTCTAGTGTTTGAACAGTGATTTGCGTGAGACATGTCCAGTCGTTAGTCGTTGGAGCTAGATCAATGCAAGTTGTGAAGAAGATCTGCAGCGGTTATCACTTTCAGCATAAGAATTATGTGAAACGTAAAGTAATAGAAATGCACATTAACTCCTTTAGGAAGATGCTCGGAGGACAGGAATCTCCCTCTACTCTGTGCATGCTGGAGCCTGGCTGACTGGTCAAGACACCTGTGCAAGCCACCAGAGAGAATGATTGAACCACGAGCCAGAGAAGGATTTCGCAGGATCTTTATCCTTGCTGCCAGGCCGGGTGGCGCCGACTTGGGCAAATCTGTAGTTGCATCTAGCGGGCCGAATACGACTTAAGCCGACGCCGATGAGCCAATCTGGCGCGGCGATGGGGGGAGATGCGCCGCGCCGTATCCCTGCATGGAACTAGATAGAAGAGTCATAATAACAAAGGATTATTGCACCATGAAGTGGTAGCGCCGGCTAAGCGGCAGATCGCACCATTGCATTATTAATCGGTTGGCTCGGTGTATCACATTTGCGTTCCGTATGTTCTTTGTGGTCGAGGGCATATAGAGTGCATGTGCTCTTGTCTCTTCACCAGAAAATGACTCAGTCCAACATCAGGCTGGTGTGCTATTCTCTCAATCCAGTTAGTGATCAGTTTCTGATTTCATCATGACTGCTAGTTCGGATTATCGCAGTGAAGCGTCGTCTCCTCCTTCCACTCTCCCTGTTGAGGAGGTCGAAGCAGAGAAAGTCATCCCGGTGCAGGAGACAGCGACTCCTCCTCCCCCTCCGAATGGAGGGCTGGTAGCATGGCTCCAAGTTGTCGGAGCCTTTTTCCTCTTCTTCAACTCCTGGTAAGACATGGAAAGATTCCTGTTTGATTTTCGTACCCAATAACCGATCTTCCAGGGGCGTGGTTAACACCTTTGGCGTGTACCAGACCTACTATGAGACGGACCTGTTGCATGGTCACTCTCCCTCGTCCATATCCTGGATTGGCACTGTCCAGGGCTTTCTCCTGTTCCTGGTTGGAGTCGTTGCCGGTCCCTTCTTTGACAAGGGGTACCTCAAGACCATGATAGCCCTGGGCTCGTTTCTGGTCGTCTTCGGTCTGATGATGACTTCCCTGTCAAGCCAGTACTACCAAGTCTTTCTGGCTCATGGAATTGCCGTCGGAATCGGTTGTGCGTTCCTGTTCCTGCCTAGCATCGCCATCGTGGCCACTTACTTTACCACGCGGCGGGCTGTGGCGACGGGCATCACGGCGTCAGGAGGAAGCATCGGTATGTCCTCGTCCTCCTATCCGACTGCACGTAAACATACTGACGCAAGTTCTAGGCTCCGTGATATACCCCATCATCTTCCGCAAACTCATCGACCCACTCGGCTTTGGCTGGACCACCCGTATCATCGGCTTCATCGCCCTAGGCGGGCTGTGCGTCTCCCTCGCCGTGATGCGCATGCGACTGCCCCCTCCCAAGCAGACCCGATCCCTCCTCGACCTTTCTGCCTTCAAAGAAACCTCCTTCCTGATCTTCAGCTTCGGTCTGTTCTGCGCCTTCGTCGGCCTCTACTTCCCTTTCTTCTACCTCCCCACCTACATGTCCACCGTCGTCCACTCAACCGACAACCTAGCCTTCTACATCATCGCCATCCTCAACGCCACCTCCGTCTTCGGCCGTATCACCCCCGGCCTGGTGGCAGACCGTATCGGCTCCCTCAACACCATCATCCCCATGGCTCTGAGTGCGGCGATCCTCGCGTACGCCTGGATCGGGATCAAGAACATTGCAGGGACGATCGTGTTCGCGTGTCTGTATGGGTTTGCCTCTGGGGCGATTGTCTCGTTGCCGCCGACGATTGTGGCCCGGTTGAGTCCGAATATGAGTATTGTCGGGGCGAGGATGGGGATGTGCTTTACGTTTGCCGGGTTGGGGCTGTTGATTGGGAATCCGATTGCCGGGGCACTGTTGGACCTGGAGAAGGGGGTGTTTTGGAAGGCGGAGCTGTTCAGCGCGGTCATGGTTACGGCGGGTGCGGCTTCTTTTATCTGGTTGAGGATGTTGAAGTGGACGGATGGAGAGAGAGGGAAGTATTAGTGCCGTTCAGGTTCTGTGATGGTCAAGGGTTGGGTGGATGATGGGGAAGATTGGTTAAAAGCTAGCATATCAATGCTTGTTACCTGTTAGACAATTTAATGGAATCGCTCCATGTCAGTGAAAGTGGGCAGTCTCAAAAGTTGGCGAAGCGAATACACATGGGTCAGATCATGTATATTATATCCATAGCTTCCCTGATGCTATATATCTCAGTCATGAAAGGGTTCTTGCTTAGCAGCACTCGGCAAACATGCTATGGCTGCTCTCCAGGTTGTCCCAGTTACCTGGCAGTTTGGATATATAGTCTGACGGTAAACACTGTATATCCATGGAGACCAAACGACTAAGAATTTCGAGCACGGACAATGATTCATATAACTTAAGGGCTCTGATGTGTACAAGGTATGAAATAGATTCTTTGTCAGGCCATTAGGGATGGCTTTATCCTTTAGAATATCTGTCTTTCTGCTCACATTGATTAATGTTCTCGCTGCCCTGCTGTCAGCATCTTCGTAATTGAATAGCGGAAAGACGATGCATTCGCCAAGACCACATTGACATTCTGAACAACACTATGAAATCAAGACAGACAGGAACTCTATCATAAGACTTCCTCAAAAGGCCAATCTTCTTCAACTGTCTTCTGATGAGACTACAGACAGCGTTGGATTGGGGTTAGGGTTCACTGTTCACGTGGCTGGATACTGCCGCTTGCCACCGCTCTCTCTACAGGGACAATAGGCTGCCTCATTTTCTCAGCTCAATTTCATTCTTTTCCAATTGATATTCCCCCGTATTTTACATTTCCATCTACATTATATACAGAAGAGTATATATTCGAGATGGCAAGTACATTGCCAATCAGGGGTCGTCGGTCACATCGCAAATCACGGCATGGCTGCCAGCAATGCAAGGCCAGGAAGATCAAAGTATGGTAGTGCTTTTCAACTTTCATCAGAGCATTAACTAATTCTGGATACAGTGCGATGAAGCCAAGCCAACCTGTAGAAATTGCAACAAACACGCAGTAGACTGCATATATTCCCTCCCAAACGGAGGAAGCCCCGTCTCCCAATCTCAAAGGGCATCTCCGCAGGCCTCAAACCCGAGCAGTTGCGCATCTTCAGACCTAGCAGTGCACGATCTTGAGCTGCTGCACCATTTCTCTACATCCACTGCCTACACATTCTCTCGACACCCAGCACTGCAAACCTTCTGGCGAATCGATGCACCGCAGATCGGATTTGATGCCCACTATACGCTGCGAGCGATGCTAGCCATATCCGCCCTCCACATGGCTTACCTACGACCAGCGCAAAGGCAATTCTACGTGTCTCAGGCAGAACACCATCACAACGTAGCGTTGAAGTTCGTCACGTCGAATATGACACAACTAATGGACGAGAATAGCTCAGCGGTCTTTCTGTTCTCCATCCTCACTAGCTTTTTCTCCTGCGCTAAGCCGCGGAAACTCGACGACCTGCTTCTCTTCCAGCAGGGACGAATCTCCGAGTGGCTGGTCCTCTTCCGCGGAACGGGGACAATAGTCGAATATGCGCAGGAAGAACTCCGCTCGGGACCATTGGCAACGTTGCTGAGTATTCGGCGGCGCCGGTCTGCGTACCGCAACACCCTATCCACCCAGGGGCAAGCCTTCATGGATGATCTGGAGGAGTTAGTCGGAGAAGAGGTCAAAGAGCAGCAGGAGCTACAGGTTTACTTGGGAGCAATACAGGAAATGAAGGTTTCGTTTGCTCTGTGGCCGGACGCGGGGATCTGGGAGACGGGGGATATCTTTGTCTGGCTGCTGCGCGTGTCGGAGGAGTTTCTTACTCTCCTCCGAGAGCAGCGATATGTGGCGCTGGTGATATTTGGTTACTTCTGTCCCTTGCTTCGTCGGTTGGAATGGATGTGGTGGATGGAGGGGTGGAGTGTGCATTTACTCTCTCGGATCCATGGGTTGCTGGACCAGGAGCATCGCACTTGGATCCAGTGGCCGATGGAACAACTTGGGTGGAGGCCTTAATAGCATTGAATACACTAATTTACCCATCTGCTACCATTTTTCAAGTCGAATTACATTACCCTGCTTTAGTCCATAGCATCGAAGACCTTAGTTTAATATCTGACCAAATTTAGTCCGCTTCTGACCGAACATTCGAGTCTTGTAACGATGGAGCAGTGACACATGGAGCAGTGACACATTTAATTTTGATGGAACATAAACCCAATTTCACATATACATATCAATCAAAAAGCACAAACAATAGAATAACCCAGGCCCAATACATCTAAACCCTTCTCTCAGCGTCTCTACCTTGAGACACCAGCATCTCACAATCCACAAGCTCACCTTTCACCCTGCCCAGAACACCAGAAGGATGAAACCCATTCATCACAACCATCAGAACAAACATCAGCGCCGTGTCGAGGACATACATGAAGATCTCATGACCGATCAGATATCCATCGAATCCCTGCGCGAACTCCACCATCCGAAACGCACTTCGGATAAGTATGAGCCCGCTGACCAGGTACAGCACCCAGAGCAGAGCATTCCAGCTCCGCACCCAAGGCGCTTTCCCCGAGGCATTCACGTCAGTACCTGCAGTCTGCGAATTGGAGAATCGAAAGTGGAAGACGCAAGCCACAGAGACAAAGACACCGAAGAAGAGGAGCTGAACAGCAAGACCGGCGATGATGATGTACGTGCCGATGTCCTGGGAGTTTACAGAGCCGCTGGACATGACGCCCCCGCCTGTGGCTGTCAGAAAAGCACATGTAGCAGGAGATCAGAGAGAGTACTAACCGGCCCCCTGCAGGATAAACGAGAGGATATCCCCTGCAACAAAAATCTTGGTCATCCATTTCGCAGGGACCGGACTCAGTCGCTCTGCGTGGAGGAATTGGATCGTCCGGCCGAGGATCATGTAGATCGACGCTGCGTATAACGTCGGGGCCAGCAGGACCAGAAGGGTCTGTATGGCATAGAGTGTGGTCGAAGTCTCAAAGAAGTGCGATGCGGCGCGGCATCCGTAGCCGGTGACTTGGACTGCGTGATGATCAGCCAGTATCAGATATGCCACTGCCGCAGGACTTACAGAATCCACCCACGATGAATGGGTTCATACACGTCGACCCCGACTTGACACGCTGATATAGATGCAGCAGTGTCGTGATACTGAATAAGACAGAAAAGAGAATTGCTGCTGCCAGAGAGGGCTCATAGTGATAGAGGACGAAACCGTTGTTAGATGACATCTTGTCTGTCTGCGAGGATGAGTGCAGAGATTGTGATGAGAGGATAGCTACGAGATGTTTATATATCTATTTTCTATCAACTAGGTACAGCCTACAGCGAGATGTGCGAATTCTTTGCTCTCGCATTCGTACTCGGGTACCAGATGGCATTCCCAACACAGAAATGCATGATGGAAGCCTTGTACTTGGACTATCAAAACCCAATTGATAGGAAGATTCACTCTTTAATTCCGATAGGCTACCAGATATCAATCTCTAGGCAACCTTATTCTCACAGCAGTCAATTGCACGAACAGATTCAACGAGAGAAGTGGGTGTCCTTGTTCCCGATCCGATCTCATTCAAAGTGGCTCCTACAAGGCACAGGATCCGCGGTAATACTGCAGCCTGAAACCCTTGCTGGGTGAATAAAGCTACAAACAAAGTTATTTTAGGTTCTGTGGCTGCTTTCGTCAAAATTGGGGCAGATCCACTGAAGAAAGATCGTCGTTGAGACCACCCGAACCCGAACCCGAACCCGAGATGAAGCTTAATTGGCATTCGAGGTATAGGCACCCACTATCATGAGAAAAAACGCTGGGCACAAATTGAGTTCCCTGATCTTCATAGCCATTGCTTCAATGGCTGAGAGTATAATGATCACGACATACCTGTCAATGCACGGCTTCGGCGTTACAAATGTTCTATAAAAGGCGTTGTTTCTCGGGAGGCTGATCAACCATCAACACAAATCAACCTAGCGATCTTTTATCAGAATGATTCCTCTGCAATTGCTCAGTCTTTCTCTGGCTGCTCTGGTGACAGCTAATTGGAACGTCTCCTTGACGCGAACCCCATGTGCCTGTACACAGCTTGAGTCCTCCTACCCGCACAAGCTCCTCTTCCCATCTTCTGCAAACTACACAGCTGAGGCTACCAGCTACTGGGATATCCGGGATGACCTTCACCCATCCTGCATCTTCCTCCCAACTAGCGCTGATGAAGTTGCGAACGCCGTGAAGATTCTCACCCGCTGTGATGCGCACTTTGCCATCCGCGGCGGTGGACACATGAACGTACGATCCTTGTATCTCTACTAAAAATCCCTCACTTACATGGTTAGTTCCCTGGAGCCAACAATATCGACGATGGTGCCCTCATCGCCTTGTCTGGAATGGACCAATTCACCGTCCATAACGAAACCATCGACGTCGGACCAGGCATGACCTGGTACGACGTCTACTCTGCCCTGGAGCCCTACGGACGCATCGCTATCGGCGGTCGTCTAAAGACCATCGGCGTACCAGGCCTCACTCTTATCGGCGGGGTGCATTACTTCATCAACAAGTACGGATTCGCCATGGACAATGTCGTCCGGTACGAGGTGGTGCTGGGGAACGGGACGCAGGTCGTTGCATCGGCGACCTCGCACCCGGATCTATTCTGGGCGCTGAAAGGCGGCGCGAATAATTTCGGGATCGTGACGAAGTTTACGCTGAAGACGTTTGCAATCCCAAAGATCAGCACCACGGTCCAGAGCTTTAATGAGTGTGGGATCTATGATTATATCACTGCGCTCTGTGACCTAGTCAAGCTCGATGAGCCGAATCCCATCGCGGCAGGGGGCGTCTTCACGATCAATTACAACGCGACGACGAAGGTGTCTTCTGCTTCGCTGATCGGGGTACAGGAAGGCGCTAGCAGTCCTCCCTCTCAATTTGCCAATTTCACTGCCATCCCTGGTGCATCGAAGGTGCACAATGTGACGACTGGGAAACAGTTTGCTTCGGGACTCATCACCCCGAATCAGATGTTCCGGTAAGGGAAGCATTCCTCGTTAGATCTTCAATGCTGACGCCGATAGTGTCATGTTCTCTCATCACACCGTGCGGCCCGACCCCGAGACCCTCTACTCCATGTATCAAGCCTGGAAGAAAGCGGTCGATGAGATAGCCGACGTGCAAGGCCTCTACCCGACCTTCGTTATGAACCTCTCTCCAGCAGGCGCAGCGCGAGTAGGCAAGACCAACGGAATTGGGAATGTGTGGGGTCTGGACGAACAGCCCATGATATGTATGGTCGCTGTTCCTATGCTATGGTAATCGACTAATATCTGTTGTAGGGTGGCAATTTAGCACAGGCTGGGATCTCGCGTCTGACGACATCCGCGTGCAAACCTGGTCACGTCGACTCACGGAGTATCTGCACGCCATAAACAAGAAGAAAGGGATCAGCTCCGAATTTGTCTACATGGGCGATGCGGGTGAGTGGCAGGATCCGTTTGCTGGATTTCCTGCAGCCAATGTGCAGCGGATGAAGGCGGTTCGGGCTGCCTATGATCCTCTCCGGACCTTCTCAAGGCTGAACTGGGGTGGTTTCAAGCTTGGATTTGACTAGTCAATGTTCTGTCGGATTGTGGCAGTTTGTAGGATGGATTTGCTGCTTCAAGCGGATCGTACTGGCTTCATTTTTGGGTTGTTTGTATTCGGAAACATTTCCAATATGGCGATTGTCTTGGGATGATCGACACTCGGGTTCGGGTTCGTGTTCGGGTTCGCGTGTCGATCAATCCTTCTGCTTAATTTAGCTGGAGTATGCTGGAGCTATAGTCAAGATGTTAAATATGCTGCTTGAACGTTATAAAAACATCTCTCTGTCGGTTGACAAAGAAATCTATACACCTGTTCATTCATCATCCAAGCTTCATTCTCGTCGTGCCTATACTATACACAATGTTCGCAGATACAACTCCAATTGACATTTCTCCCTCCGCGAAGCAAGACATACAGACGGATCTCAACTACTGGGGTGGCACATCCAACGACCCGATCATTGTTGATTTCACCAAGCCCGATGGGAAACGGAAATTCGCAGAGGTGGAAAAGCAACAAGAGAAACATTCCGTCCTGATTCACGACATCCGGGGAACCGAGGAACAGTACAACCTAGAAACACATGGATTCCAGTACCTTCACGACGAGATCCCCGAGCTCGATGACTGGACCGACGAGCAGAAGGTCATCGACGCCCTGATCCCAAAGTCGGAGGAGCTCGTCCGCAAACTGTGCGTACTCATTCCTCCCAACAACGCCAGTCTCCTAACACGAACGGACAACAGAACCGGCGCCAAAGAAACAATGACCTTCACCCACCGCATCCGATGCTTCTCCTCCGACGAAGCAAAACTAGCCGACAACCGCGCCCCAGCGCACAGCGTCCACACGGACTTCACCGTTGCAGGTGCGCTGCGCCATCTCGAAACAGAGATCCACGACCCGGAGCGCCTCAAGCGGCTGTTAAAGAGCCGAGCCATGATCATCAACGTCTGGCGGCCACTGAAGACTGTTCATCGAGATCCTCTCGCGGTCTGTGATTGGCGGTCCACCCGCCCGCAGCAGGATATCGTGCCCTATCGAGTGATCTTCCCGCAGGGCTGGAATGAGCTCAGCAAGGTGCAATACAGCCAAGATCATCGGTGGTACTATCTCAGCAAACAGCAGCGTGATGAGCCGCTGGTGTTCAAGCAGTTTGATAGCGGCCAGTCGGAGGGGGGAGGATGTACCGTGGCGCATAGCGCGTTCGAGCATCCTTCCATGACGGATTATGAGCCTCGTCAGAGCATTGAGATCAAGATGTTTGCGTTTCTGTAGATGTATAAGTATGTCCTGTCGTTCTATCTGTCTTTCATCGACGTCTGCTTCACAAATAGTCTATGCGCATAGTGCCTGTCAATAGTTCTGAACCGAGAATTCCAGCCCCTTCGAGTCAGTTATCAGCATGCAATCGATCGACCGGGAATGGGCCAGCTCCGCCACAAGCCAACTGCGGGGACGCCGGGGCTTAGCGCTAGGCTAGCCAGAGCCCATTGCAACCCCCAGGGATACAGGCCAGTGATGACACACGACGCTGTGCTTAATCCTGGGAAGAGTGTTATAATAGAGTATATAGCAGGCAGCCTTAGTGCTTATCTACCTAGACAATAACTAGGAGGTTAGTCTATGCATGCAGCGCCGTTGGTGAGACCAAGTTTGTTTGGGCCGAAAATCCGAACCCAATCCAATTAGCCTTAAGAAGTAGACCTCAGCCGTCACCCCTCACTCGGCAAGGCCATTGAGAAATATATATGACATTGATGTTCATTGAGATACACCGTTCAACAAAACCTACTGATACCACTCCAAAATGAGCTGCAAGGTAAGCAATAGTCCGAGAGAGATGCAGGCAGGCAGCTCTCGGCCACCTTCGAAACCCAGGGCAGTCTCCAGTACACAGAGCTAACACGATGTCTCCCAGATTCTTCCCGACTTTGTGAAACACATGAAGCGTGATTCCTCTGGCAGGGGATTCACCCACCTCGGCAAGGATGGTGTATTGCGTACCATCTCAGGCGACTACAAGGTCCTCGACGCGCGCGGCCTCAACCCCGAACAGATCAAGAATATTTTGGATTTTATGCCCGAGGAGGTTCAAAAAGTGGACTTTCGTGACGTGGATGGCACAAAGGTGACAAGCCACGAAGCATTATTTCATCCAGCGCCGGGAATTCTGCCGACGAAACCGGACGAGAAGGAGGCTGCGGAGAGGCGGAAGTTGGTGAAGCAGAGTCAGGCGGCCTACCTGCAGGCGAAGAGGAAGGAGTACGAACTATGAAGGGACGGGAGGAAGCGATTGAATGGAGGATTTGCTATAGCAGGCGTCATTCAGACAGGAGCTCAAGTCGAACGTACAGTGAGTATTGAACCGTAGTTATTCTGGGGCAAGCTGGAAGAATCACATTCATATTTAGAGCTTCAAGAAATATTATTAAACTACCAAGCTTCTTAAAGTGTTACAATCTAGGTACTCCTTGTAAAACCCACGAACAAGTGGTTCGCCATTCGCATACTCGACCGCCGTCGCCTGGCATTGGGCTAAACCTCATATTTAGATGTATCCCAATCATTATGTTACGACCAAGTACAAATTTATTCACATTGCTTGGAAAAATACCTAAGATACGGCATGACTAGATATAGCCACTGTAGAACTAGAACCAATTATGGATACATAGGGCCTGTTCACGTACTAAACCGCTAGGCAGCTAGGCAGAGACCAAGAATCCAAGTTGCCACTGTATGTACCAGGAACTTGGTGCCTCAGTGCCTGTTAACTAAACAATAACTTGACCAGAAACGTTGCTCAATGGGAACAGAGGACCATAATCTGGTTGGTTTACTTGTGAACTCAGTCAGCCTTAAGTGGCCTGATGTAACGCTACACATGACTGATTAAACATGCCTATTAGAAGCTATGGGCATTCTAGTAAATGCACATTACCTGTAAAATTAGTCTCTTTGTGATGAGGGATATTTGAAACCCTGAGAAGACACTGAGACGACCGACATGCTCAAGTCCAGTTGGAGGACACACTCACTTAATGCTAGCTTAATTCCGCTAGGCGATGTCTTACCCTGTGAAACTAGATATGCACCATGGCTGCGCCGCAAGAACCCAGTACCGACTAACCTTTGCTGAGATGAATCCCTGGCAATGAGCCATAGACTGAGTTTGGTCTGATTTGACCAGCATCAAAATCTCTAGGCCGGCCTTTCAAGGACCATCCAATGGTGAGCTGTGTTTATTGCCCGTCCCAACAACGACCTTCTGCCTAATGAGGAGCTATTCGGTGGTGTTGCCAACTCTTCTAGCGGTACCATAATCAAGGGATCAGATGTGGGAAGTTGTCATATCAGTGTCAATACCTCATATCAAAGGATAGTTCTTCGTCGACGAAGAGCCCGCAGCAAGTTTCACCCCAGTCAGCGTTTCATCAATGACCAGAGAGACTGCAGGTAGCATTCACTTTCCCTCAACCTATGGTTAAAATAGGCATTAGTTGTCTCTGAAGCGTTCTCGTATCTATATGATCCTGAACCAGTGCGAAAGGGCCGCCCAGGCTGAGGGCGGAAAACAAGCAGAAGACAAGCTGTTTAGACCGAGTCTTCGAAAAATGATATTGAGGATAGTCGCCTCAAAGCTCGTGGTCGGGTTACTGTTTTGCCGTATACCTTCTTAGCCCAATCACGCAGCTACTAGGTACTGGACGCACTACTATGGTTAATCAATAATTAGCTGCGCCTGGCATTCCCCCGCTGTTTTTCGAACACTCCGAGACTTACTAGAGGCCAAACGTCCTAATGTTCGACCTTGGGTCTATCCCCCATGTTGGTTTGGAGACAGCTGTATCAGTATGACGAGTGGCATAGGGTATCCTTCCGAGAGGGTTGAGCCAGGGTGGGCGGATTGAATGGAGTAGCGAACAGTGACTGAGCAAGGGGAATATAGCTGTGGATGAAAAAGACCAAAGACGAAAAAACAAAGAGAGTAGGCATGTATGATTTTCAACTAACAGGAAAAGATAACCGGAGATTGTAAGAGGAGATGCAAAGTCAACCCAACGCCGCGCTGTCCGGATATAGTACATGAACCTGACGACAGTCATCATTCAGACCAGACGGATTTTGTTCTCCTCCAAGTACTGCTCAAACCGCTCTGGAAGACCTGACGGTTCTGCAACGGCCACGTACGTATCTGGTCTAATCAGGTACGCTGCGTCTCTCCCAAATCCAACCGCTTGGTACTTCTCGTCCCAGGCGAAGTTTCGCAGAGGCACACGCTTTGCGCGACACCAATCCTCCAACTCCAGCTTCGTATTCCCATATACATGAACCTGCCATGTGATTTCCCTTAGACTTTCGAAGTTATCGACGTCCCCCACAGGCGCCCACGGGATCCGATCGCCGCCCTGTACATAACCCGCAGCACCCGCGGACAAAGCGCTGTCGCGATAATTCAGCATAATTTGCGACACGCCTTGAAACACACGGTGTCTGAACCCGTCGAACCGGGTCAAGATCGGCATGACGGTCGGGACGACCCAGGTTCGGATGAAATTCGCCACGTAACCCTTGGCAACGAGATTGGTGAAGGTCCGGTCGGTAGTATTAACGAGGATACTCGCAAACGCACGGCGCTCAGGATCATAGCTGTCCAGCAGTGACGCATCAGCTTTTCCATGCACCACCGCTGCGATCTTCCAGGCGAGATTGATTGCGTCACCGATGCCCGTGTTCATGCCCTGTCCGCCGACAGGACTATGGATATGCGCTGCATCACCTACGAGGAACGCACGGCCCTTGCGAAAGCTCGCTGCGACGCGATGGTGCACGCGGTAGGTGGTGAACCAGTTGACTTTGTCGATCTGCAGGCCCATGTTCTTGATCGTGGCTGGTGCGACGTCGTCGAGGGTGAGTTCGGCGAGGTCTTTGGTTACGCGTGCTTCGTCCACGGCGCCCGAGAGACGGGCCTTTCGGCCTTGGTCGTATGCGAGAGATAACATGAACTCGGGTCCGTTGAGAGTGACGTGTGCCTCGCCGTTGAGCGTCGGCCCGCTGCCCTCGATATCCGTCACGTAGAAGAGCTGGGGATACGTTGCGCCTTCGAAGTCGATGTTGCAGGCGTGACGGACGGCGGAGTGGGCGCCGTCACAGCCTACGATGTAGGTTGCTTCGCAGAATTCTGCTTTCTCGCCTTTCGTTGGATTCGGCTGCTCGGCTGTATGTTTCAGTTGAGCCGCGATGTACTCGTCATGCTCGGCAAAGTCGACCAATTCCCAGTTCCGTTGCACTGTGACCCCCATCGCATTCAAGCGGTCTTCCAGTAATCTCTCGTGGAAATCTTGAGGATAAATATGAATGAACGGGTATGGAGTCAATCCCTTCCCGACATTACCAATGGGAATATGGGCCCGGTGGGCACCTTCGGCCCAGATATTGGTAGCTTCGATTTTGTGTCCGTTGGCGACCACGTCGTCAGCGAGGCCTAACTGACGGTATAGCTCGAGTGTGCGAGCGTGGATCACCAAAGCGCGAGAAGTGGACGGCTTGGCTTCTTGTCTGTCGATGATGCGCACCTTGATATTCTGGCGGGTGAGCCATAGGGCGAGGACGAGGCCAGTGGGACCTGCCCCGATAATCAGAACTTCGGTACGGGGAATCATAGTACAGAAGAAATTATCGACGGTTGTGATGATGAAATGTCTCTATTGCTCGTGCTATGACGGACAAGCATATGGTGTACCGTGCTCTTATATGAATGAGCTGATTTTGTGTGTTGCTATAATTGCGCTGGTTGTAAGCACTAGACGTCCTGACACTCGGGTTTATTCGGGCTGTGTTGCCGATGCCGAAGATATACACAGCCCGTGAGCACATCACGAGGCTGAAAGAATTTGAGTGACTCATGAACGATACCAGTAAGATCCATTGCCAAAGCTTCATGCATGATGATGTCGCTCGCCGAGCATCAAAATGTGGGTACAGCGCACATTGTGGATGTTTCCGAGTAGTTATACCCGGAAGATGCCGGGCGCATGCCAAGCCTGATGCATAAAAACCAAGTGGTCGAAATTGCTCAATCCTAGCAAGTGAAGAAGTCCAGTTCGAGAGAATACCTCTGGCTCAAGCAGACTATAGACTCGTGTGGGCTCGCGCGTAATTTTAGAGAAGGACAGGCTCTTATTGACTCGCGCGGGAAGTGAATATGTGATCAGTTCTAACACAGTAGGCAGAACCAATTCATGACCTAAAGACCTTAGATTCCGGAAACCCAAGGCAAGTGACATATCAGGAAGAGTACGTAGTGGACGAAATCAAATTTTCAGGAGCGTTGATGCTGGGAAAGATACCATGAGCCCTGGAAGGTTCCGGTGTCCTGAATGTCTTGCGATCTGCTCAATATCACAGTCTAGCCTTTACGAACTGGCGGCAGTCAAGCAGGGAGATGAGGATTGAGATCACTGATGATCCATGAACATGTTCGGCGAAGACGAGGTGACTGAAATATGGGCGTGAGAAATTGAGCGTTCCGCAAACAAGATACAAACTTCCGGTCACGAAGACTTGTGTTTCATCAATATCAGCGGCAGACTTTTTGGCGACGTCGATGGCACCTTCAATTGTCGGCTGAGCTACGCCTTGAACCTCCGGAATCGAAGTCTAGGAAGGCTGTTTCCGGAATCTTGAGCGTTTTGTCTACTCCCATTAGGCCTGTGCTTTCAACTGAAGACATTACTTACCAATCCTTGTAGAACCATCGCTCTTCCATGGTAGGTTGTGAACATAATAAGGTCCGGTTTGACGCCGTCCTCAAAGAGACTCTGTGTGAGACAATGCATGAGATCTATGCTATCACGTTCTTTTGAAAAAAATGGCTGAAGTCAGTCAGTCGTTGATCATCTAACGTAATAGGGCTAACCATTTCTTGTTATATTTGCGAAATCCACTACATTCTACCCGTTCTGGTTGTCATCGTAGAGTTAGTATTTGATTTCTTTACTCTTTCAAATTCTGAGAAAACAATCTAAATTTCAACGAAAGGACACAGGATTAACTTGGAACATCGAAACGGCTTATAAGCAATCTAGTAGAAGGATTGGCAATAGTTGGAAAATTATGCTTCGACAACTCCCCACAAGGACGTAGAACCCGCCTCTAATCGCTTTTCTATCCGAGTACCCATGGTTACCAAAGAGTTGCGTTAGTTGTGCATCCATGATGCTTAGATGAGTGTGCTCTCAATGCTAGCCAGAGTGCCGTTCTCAATGGCACCAGCATGGTGACGAGCAACCAATCCATAAGCGTATTGGTACCTAGGCACAGTTAGAATCATCATTGAGAAAGGCTAAATGGTGTCAACTTACTTGTCCAGGTAGGGCAGAACCTGGTCCAGACCGGGGGTGTTCCTCCAATCGCGCATCAGGTCGGTGACGACGCCAAATGTGCCCATGAGGGTGACGCCGGCCTTCTCCATGCGACGGTTGGCATCGGCCGCCAGCTTGTTGTCAAAGGTACCGCTGGCCTCGGTGTTGGCAAAGACCTCGTATCCCTCGTCGATGAGCGAGAGAGCCAAGAAGGCGGTGCCTATCTCGTCAGTCTCGTCTCTGAAACGGTGTTCGAGGGAAGTGGAAACTTACAAACTTCGGTGACAATGCCGCCGATGATCAACTGCTTCTTGCCGGTGGCCTTGACGGCCGCGCGGAACTCGGCGTTGTCCCAGGCATTCACCTCTCCCTGGCGATGGACAATGGTCACGTTGGGGTTCAAGTCGACGATCTCCTTGATCATCAGTCCGTTGGGGCCCGTGTCGGAGGAAGTGGTCATGACGACGGGCAGGTCGAACAAAGGGCCCAAGGCGGCGTGCGCAAGCATGTTGTTGCGGAAGTCATTGGTGCTGTAGTCGCGGACCAGCTGAGCGAGACCGACCTGGTAGTCGATGACGAGAACAGCCTGGGGGAGGAATTAGCACTGAACAACCTGGGACAGGAACAAATGGATAATACCGCGTTCTCCTTGTCCAGTCTGTTCCAGCCCTTGGCGGTCACGGAGGCCGCCAGGAGAGCAACAGTCTGAAGGGCTCTGATAAAAAGCATCTTATCGGTTTGTTGGTGAGTTGAGATGAGATGAAGGAGTCTTCTGTTGACTGTTTGCTCTGTGGTCTGGAAAGCCAGGAACTGAAGCCGGAAGCAGGTTCCTTTATACACTCGATTTTTGTTGATCAGCTTTCAATTTCGACATGAGGTCCATCTCCGATACCTTCCCGTCGGGTTGATAAGCATGACACATTGTTTGCTAAAGTCCACGCGGATTCTGGAGTACCCATTCGCATTCGAAGTATTCAGCTTTAGCCTGCAGGGGTCTGCAGAAATGGTCGCAACGATGCGTAGTCGATGACCAATGAACAGGAAAGAACATACTTTGCAAGCTCAGCACAGCTCTCCATGTCTCAGAATAATCTCACATAAACTTCTTCAGAGAAGGCAAAGCGATCGAGGTTGCATTTGATGGGATTCGAATGCGGAGTGAGAATCCTGACTCAGGTCATGATAATGATGTGCTAAGACGGCAGGGATCCATAGTGATTGCCGCTAGGAATGGGATTCACTCTGTAATGCAGGTCATGGGTTCGGGGCTTTCACAATGCAGGGACGAGCATATGGGAATGTCTCTTTTACTTCTCTTAGCTGCTCAACTGAACAAGTATAGACAGTAGCAAGTATTCAACGGAGATTCCTCCAAGCATTAGATTCAACTACATAAACATATGTAATGGACATATTCCTGCGTAGTATTCATCTACCGGGAAAGCCATTTGAGTGTATGTCAGCCACTTTTTCTTTCATCAAATCTGAATCTTCCTGGAAATGAGGATCTCAACAGTTTATGTTGGTGACAAAATCATTCGTAAGACTGAGTAAGGGTACTAAAGCTACTTCTCTCCATTCGTAAACCTGTCAAAGCCATCCGTAAGCATTAAGTAATTGGATGGCATTTAAAAGTCCCACTGTTTGACCAATCATATGTGGGATTGCTGTCAGTCCGGGCCGAACCTTTTAAGAGTCCAGACTCCGGAAGACTGGAACTCTATGCATAACAAAATTGACAATTTCTTCCAATGCTCCGATACATGTGTGGACTTTTATGCTACTCTTCCTCTGATGACCAAGTGGATTTGCCTACCTGCATTGTAACTCTACCGTGACTACCCCAAATTAAGGAAAGCTAAATGGAGACGGACGGCTTGCTCAGACTCCCAGGCCATTGTTTATCCCGCACCAGGATCATGCTTAGAGAATTGAGCTTACCATATAACAAAAGGATGGCATAGAGACAGGCGCTATACTGCTCACAATGTGTATTGTGATCTAACCCTGATGTTCAAATTCCAGGGAATAAATGATGAAGTTTGGATTGTGTGCTCATCTCTGGATGATGAGCTACGATCTCTAGACTCTGGCTTACAATATATATAGTTGAGATCAACTCTATGGCAAGTCTTCAGTACCAACGAGGACGTCAGTCTAGTAGAGACATCAGCATCAGAAGAATGATCGAGGTGTGATTTTATGATCAAGGACCAAACACTAAGACGAGATAGATAGCAAGATATGCTTATCTACAGTTGTTATGCTATCAGATATGATGCGATAGCCACATGGCACTGTTATCATGCGGGGTAAGCCTTATAACTAGACATGTTGCGTCAGCAGCACCACCAAAAAAACAAAGCCTTTCGCTGTGAACAGAAAATCCAGGAAACTACCAGAATGTCTGATATACCGCATGTATCAAACTGGGTCAACGGCGCCCATACGCCCCCAACCACCAAGCACATCACCGTGCTCAACCCCGCAACCGAAACCCCCATCGCCACCATCGACGCAACACCGCAAGCAACCGTCCAAGCCATCATCGCAACATCATGGGAAACATTCCACAACGGCCCCTGGTCCCGCGCTGATGCCTCCGACCGCTTCACCGTCCTCTCGAAAGCAGCTACCCTTCTCCGCGCCCGCATCCCCGAAATTGTCGAACTCGAAACCAGACAGACAGGCCGACCAATTCGCGAGATGCGCGCCCAGCTAGCCCGCGTACCGGAATGGCTGGAGTACTTCGCCTCGCTGGCGCGCGTCCATGAAGGCCGCGTGACGCCCTTCAAGGGTCCCGTCGTGAACACCCTCACCCGGCTACCGCTGGGCGTAGTGGCGCAGATAACCCCGTACAACCACCCTCTTCTCATCGCGACAAAGAAGTTAGCAGCTGCACTCGCGGGCGGAAACGTGGTTATTGTCAAGGCGTCGGAGCTCGCGCCGCTATCGGTGCTGAGGCTTGGGGCATTGTTCAAGGAGGCGGGCTTGCCTGATGGCGTGTTGCAGATCGTCAGCGGGTATGGCTATGAGACGGGCAAGTTCCTGTGTGAGAGTCCGCGGCTTGCAAAGATCGATTTGACGGGTGGACTGGCGACGTACAAGGCGATTGCGCCTGCTGCGGCGGCGAATATGATCCCCATCACGGCGGAGCTGGGGGGAAAAGCGCCGGTGTGTTTGTTTCCTAGCCTGGATGTGGAATTGGCGGTTAAGGCGGCGCTGTTTGCCAGTTTCATTGCCAGTGGACAGACGTGTGTGACTGGGAGTAGACTCCTCGTGCATGCTGATCTTTATGATCGATTCAAAGAGCGGTTGGAGAAAAGGGTGAGAGCCTTGCGGGTAGGAGACCCGACGGACGAGCGCACGCAGATTGGATCTGTCATCTCTCGCGCAGCTGTGGAGAGATGCTCTGCTTTTGTGGCGAGGGCACTACAGGATGGAGGCCGTCTACTCTGCGGAGGTAACCCGACAACAAACACAGATGGCAAAGGCTTCTTCTTTGAGCCGACCATCATCGAGACACATGCTGATTCGGATCTCGCTTGTAATGAGGTCTTCGGGCCGGTTATTGCGCTTGTAAGATGCGAATCCGAGGAGGAGATCATTCGCATCGCCAATAGCACGTCATTTGCCCTGGGGGCGTCGGTCTGGACCAACGATTTCAACCAGGCTCATCGTGTTGCAGCAAAGATTGAAGCGGGCATTGTTTGGGTAAACGGACACCACCTGAATGATCCATCTTCACCTTGGGGTGGGTTTAGAGAAAGTGGCATGGGGAAGGAGAATGGCATCGAGGCTTATGAGAGCTACACCAAGGTCAAGAGTACAGTGATCAACTATGGGGTGCAGCCTGTCTGGTTTGATGACGAGCCTGCAAACGCGCGGTATGGCTAGTTTCTACCAGGGGTTCTGGGAATGTCACTGTGGTTATAAACTATTGTACTGAGTCAATCCAACATAGCTGAGTAATGTAAGTATTGCCATGATTCAAAAGTAGTGAACATCCACATCTGAAGTGTCAGAGCTACAGTAAACCGTTTGCGACTGAGAGTAGATGTCTCATTCGGCCCGTGTCTCGGAGAGTCGTACATTACCCAATACGGCAAGTACCCTGTCGATGGCCGTCGCTCTGGATCTCCGAGCAGACGGCGGATTTAAGTAGATGGCTTTCTCTCTTTCAGTAAATCAACAAGAAATAGCACCGGATGCAATCAAACAGAGGGTGCATTTATATGCGTACAAGATGCTATCCTTCGTGCTCCCAATTAGGCTGGGGCTTGAGTCGCTCCCTTGGACTTCATCTCCTACATCTCCTGACCTTACAAGTCCAAAGATTCGTCCTCGAAGACAATATGAGCAACGACATAGGAGCCTCCGAAGCCAACGTTCCCCAAAGGAGGGTTCACGGCTTGGATGACAGTGCTAGCTCGTTGGTGTGTCATGTTCAACACATTCGGATATACGAACGCTTTTGGGTAGGTCTTGTTCTTCGAAAGGATCCAGTATGCTAACATCATGCGTGGAATGGTGTTTATAAGGCGTAATACAAGAATACTTTCCTTGGTGATGAGAGCGACTCCAACATCGCATGAATTGGATCATTGCATCCTATTTCATGTACTACAGTGGACTCGTGTCCGGTCCCTGGGAGATCGATATGGGCCAAGAGTAAGGGTAGCAACCCTAAAAACAGATAATTACTAACTCTTATTTGTTATACTGATGCCCTGCTCAATTACTTTTTGTTGTTTCGGGCATGCTCACCAGTCTTTGCAAAGAGGACTACCAGCCGTTGTAGAAAGTTCCTGCCTCAGGCTTCAAAATCAAACTGGGTGCCTTGAAAATCAGGCTTAAACGGACCGGAGAAACATCAGACCGGGATGTGAGCAGGTATCATCCTGGCGAAATGGTTGCACTCCATGACATGATCAACTAGTTCATCGCTCATCTTGATGAATCAGACTCCAAGAGATCCATCGATATCACGTCTGTCTTGACAAGACAGATCTATCTCAAGCTCGGAGATCACACTGGATTGATCCGATTTATCCGAAGATCGTATTTAGACTTTGGCTAACATTTTTGATTAGTGAACAATGTCCACTATCTGTGCCCGTCCCGAGGTTGCACGTATTCAAGCACCAATCACTTCCAACACAGCTGAGAGGACAGGACCATGATTCGATTGCTGAGAAATCGCAGACGGCTTGGTAAGCACCGATGGATTCCTCCAGAACGGATTCCCCGCCAGGATTCGCCGCCCTGTCGGATGGTCTGGAATTGGCTCTAGTCCGCCCTTGGTGGATCGTAACAGCTGGCCTCCTTTCTTCAGACCATACCATGATATTTACAGTTTGATAACCTCAAGTCCTCAACCCTTCGCTCATCGATAACCTGCGGCCATGTCGGACATGCAGCTTCAGTTCAGTGATCACTTTTGGGCTCGGTCACTCTCAGTTTCGAGTCTCAGCCCTGTGTCTCACGCGCCAGCCATGTCATCAACTGAATCTAACCCCACTTCCTCAACGATCTCTGACGATCATCAGTCTGGAAAAGAAGACAGACCACGGAAGAGAATCAAGGCCAATTCACAGCCAGCAAAGACAAGGGAGCAATCGTCCAAAAAGAGAGGCCGCCCTCAAAAAGTGCAGGATGCTGAGACACCTGCCGAGGTGAGTTATCGCTCTCTTACTCTGAGACTACCTGCTCAAAGCAGTATCAGAGACGCCGGGCTCAGGTCCGTCTGGCACAGCGTGCCTACCGTTCCCGTCAAGAAGCCACTTTGTCGCAGCTGAAGAATCGTATTGCTGAAATGGAATCGGTGATTGAGACCATGACCGAAGCCTTTCTTGCATTTAGTGACAAGCTAATGCAATCGGGCGTTTTAAACGAATCTCCCGATATTGCTCAGTCCCTCAAAGAGGTGACTGCCAAGTATGTCGCACTTTCAAGTCAGATGACCGAAACAGACGGAGATGACGCAACATCGCAAGATAAAGCATTATCCCGACTCACTCCATCAGAACAGTTATCCGCACACCCAGCAAAGCAGACAAGCCAGTTGTCAGACCTCGTGGTTGCAGTCAAATCCGCCCCCACGATTGGTGACCTTGGCGACGCAGGACCTGTCGGCGCAACGATACCGACCGAGACACCGGACATGGCTAATGTCTCTCTTGCTGGAATGACAACTTCGACAAATATCAGATTCCCATCTCCTCACCTTATCAACCTACGAACACCTATGTCGCATCTATACGGTCCGGATAGCCCCTTCTTCGCCCAACGGTTGCATCTGGCCAGCTATAAGCTCGCATATCAATACCTCAAAGATTCCACTGTTCCCGACTTCGCGTTGCTTCGGCACTTTGGTTTTCTGATGTCTCGATGGAGCCGATCCCAACTGATCGCGTATTTGGCCTCTTTCCTGAAGTCTTCCGGGGGGGTTGAAGTTTCCAAGCAATTCAATCCCCCCATGCTCAACTTGGGCGGTGCCGGGTTGCACTATCCACGGAAGCATCCGCTTATTAGCGACCCCAATCTGAATTGGCTTCCCTCGGCTGAAGATATCGCGACAATGTATGCAAATGGGCTGAGTCTTCAAGACTTTGAGGAGCCATGGTTTGACCCGGGGGATGTGGAAGGGTTCCTGGAAGACCGCGGCATAATCCTTTCCAATCGGGATATCCTTCCAGAAAAACTACAGGGTGTTTCATCGGAGATCAATAGGAACCATCGTCAGGATGTGGTTGCGAGAACATTGCAGTCAAGTGTTTCGGACGGCCAAGCGATGTTCTCACGGAGCTCCATGTTGGCTGTCGATGAAGAACAATTGATTGATTGTAAGCCGCGTGGGTTGTGTACCAGTATGACATTGAGCGCTAATTCTGATTCGGCAGGGCTCGCCTATCGCGGCATCTGCCTAGGCCGTTCGCCAGGGTTCCGCAAACGTGACGTGGAGAGGTTCATATCGCAAAATGCTTGGCCCATCGGCATGCCTCAAATGCCTATTCAGGCCATCGCAGTACTCTAACTCTATATTCGCGACAGCGCATTACGTGTTTGCCTTTTTCGCCAAACCCAATTGCTGGTCCATAACCTCCTTGACTATCGGCTCTGCCAATCTCCACTTCATATCCAGCACCTTATCCGCTTCTGCTGTATCACCCGGCAAGGACTGGCCTGAGTTATCCTGCGTGATCTTGGCTTCGCAGTTTGAATAGTGCATCTGCATTATAGCCGCAACATCACCCCCACGATGTCTTCTGGCTTGCGAGGAGGAATTTCGACCCATTGGCACCCTCTTCTCATCCACACTTTCACATGCGCCTCAGCAACATCTTGGATATGCACCGTGGTAATACTGCTCCTTGTATTGCGTTTCATGATAGTCCCGACGAGGAGTCTATTGCTGCCGTTACCGTTCGGCTGTCGTTTGTAGATGATTGTATCCAAATACAGAAGCGGGGGAAGAGAAACGAGCGAGGAACGGGGCTTCTCATTCTCCATAAACTCCCAGCTTGTGTTCTTGGCAACGACTTCTGGTGCATGGTAGAGCTTGAGGGAAATGATATAGTCATCTGAACCTTTGAAGTCGGTTTTGTGTCGACTGTGAGGTCCCAATTGTTGCTTCCTGTGCGCCGTCATCACCTCACCAGTGGTATGCCATCGGAACGGATCGTGAATACCTCTGATTACGCCGCCATCCGGAAACCCCCTCGATAGGCAGAAGGGCCGCGAGGGACGCGGTAATCACAACCCGTCTGACACTCTCCACCTTGGCCGCTTATTTCAGGAGAGCCGTGGTGCCTTCACAGCCGGAAGGAATTCATTCTCTTATCCGGTTCCATGTGGACTAGGCAAGGCAAAATGGAGGACATAATTGACTCCATCAAGCATCCCCGCAATCGCGGAGTCTCGCGTAATGTCTGGGACGATGGCAAACTCGATCTTACCTTCATATTTCGAGCAGCGGTCCTGGAGCTATGTGATCCGAGCTTCCTTGCGTACGCTGATTCGAAGGCCATGGCCCGATTTCAGGGCTTCGAGGGCGATGGCCCTGCCGACGAATCCGGTGGCGCCGGTGATAAAGATGAGGCCGGAGGGCATTTGACGCTCTAACTTTCATGCTCACTGGGTCGGTCATGAGATGCTGGTAGAACTTTTATATCTGGCGAGAAGGGTTTATTTTCCCGCACTTGGCCAAACCTGGAGCCCGAAAGGTACTAAGTACCTTTGGCTCGGCGTAATTGCAATGTTTAGTGATCAATGCGGTGGAGACTGTCAAGTGACTGACCATGCTTTCTCGTATCACTGATTAGTGATATTCGGACAACTGTACGATGTCCAGGACGGGATGATTAGTGTTCACGAGATGCAGTGTGTCACCCTCCAGCCCCCGGTCTCTATAGCTTGCATACCCCAGGGTTCGTGTCTCCCTTAGCAAGTATCCGGACTATATGAGAGTGCCTCATCCTCGACAATCATCCAAACAACAGCCACATATCTCATCCTCATCAACAACAAGAATCCCCGAGAAATAATCAAGATGCCTCGCTGGCTCATCCACCACAGTCCCAACACCCTCACCCCCGAGGAGAAATCTCACCTCGCCCAACAAATCACCCAGGTCTACGTCCGCTACGGCCTCCCGCCCTTCTACGTACAGGTCCACTTCACCGAACAGCCAGCGGGCACATCCTTCATCGGCGGCGAGCAGAACCCCAACTTCGTGGCACTGACCATCTACCACCTGGCACGGACGATGACCACCGAGCAGCAGAGGCAGGGGTTCCTGAAACACATCGACGGTGTTCTGACGCCGATGTTTGAGCCCAAGGGGATCGACTGGGAGTATTTTGTGACCGAGGTGTCGAGGGATCTGTGGAAGATTAACGGGCTTGTGCCGCCACCTGCTGGATCCGAGGAGGAGAAGCTTTGGGTTAGAGAGAATAGGCCTGTGAGGCTTTGATGGATGTGATGCTCACTTTCTGATGGATTGAGTGGAGCACATAGTTTTTAGCTTTCAGATGTCTCATTCAGGGAAATGGATGAATGCAAGATGCTACTGTTTGATATGGAATTATGAAACGATTAACTTCAACTACCAAGCTCACAAGGCTAATCAGATATCACAAGCAAGAGCCCTGTTAAATTATTATACCACTATGACTATGGATCTGTAATCCCACGACTAAGAAGTACTTCGTCCGGACACCTTTCTAGTCTAGCGATATTGTATATTGATAGGCTGCCTGGAAAGATGAGCGCAGAAAGACGGTCTGTTCCATAGGCAGTTTGTGCTTGTCCAACCGACTAGCCCCAGAACTTCCGGCTGTCCATGATGGTTCTTCTCGCAGCTTTTCCCGGCGTGAAGGTTGCACTCGCGTAGGCTCACCCCTGGGACGATTTGTCTGGCGAGACGTCAGCAATGTGAGCATTAAAGAGCCTTCGAACCGAAAGGTATACCAGAGGCAACCCGTAGATTTCATCGCTTCGCGATCGTGGATGAGTGCTGCAAAAAACGGAATCACTGCCGAAGGGATAGCCCGGTACTAGATGCGACTTGATTGTGCAAGCTTGACCTCATTAGAAACCGTGCTCGTTCGTAGGTAGAATAGAAGCCGAACCGACAGTGATGATCGTCCATGTATCGTGCTACTTGTCCTTGACGGGTCAGCATCTCTTGGTACGGCTGGGTACCAAGGAAGTGTTTTTAGGGGAAGCTCTCGAGTTTGGTCCAGTCAGGGTCGTTGCGAAACCATGTTCCAGCTGTTTTCAGTATGGCACCAGATGCTGAAGTATTACTCCTGAGGCCAACCTTGGAAGCATTCCTGGAATCGCTGCCTTAATTGTTGGAATTTGTGTCGGCGATTGGGTACAGGACTGGAGGCCTCATTAGTATCATTGTATGTCCACATCGATGATGATCATTCTATGGTGTTGATGTATATGATGATAAGGTGGATATATCAAAACATATAGAGATGAAATAGCTTTGATAGACTCACCTTGAGAGATCCAAGCAGAGTGATCAATTGGTCAACAAAAACACAGTCACGCCCTCCGGGGCAACCGAAGGCGAAACGAGGACAATGGACTTCTTTCGAGGAGCACAACAGACAACGGCGGGCTCAATAGGCTCTTCTTCTTCTTCTTCGTCATTGCCCTGTTCATCTTCGACGGTCTCAACAGGGGATCCTTGACAACGGTGATGATACGTAGGTCACCACCCTGCAGAACCGTTCCAGTTCAGTCAGCAATGTCATAGTCGACAGGTGCTCAACAACAACATACAACTCGTCCGAGTGATCCCAGCTGCCAGTCTTGCCCAAATGGACCATGCAGCTCGGCCATATGTAGATCGAGTTTTAATTCGTCGAACATCGGTCCAAGCATGTGGCCCACAAGCTGGAGGTCTCGCCCCTGCAGCCCGTTCTCATTTCCAGTGGCGTGAAATTCTTTGGTGATTCGTGGCCTAAAACCCTGGGGGCGTTCTCCAGATACTTTGCCCTTTCCAAGACGTACCGAGGGGACTCCGTCCACCATGAGGTTTGATCTAGTCGCAGTGTATATTTGGATTCGCTCGGATGAGTGGTGTGGCGGTTTGGAAAGACACCTAATGTGGGCAGTGGAAACTATAGGATGTTGCGTCTGGTCGCTGGTAAGGCGTAATTGTGCCATTATGAAGGCTCTGTATCATGATAACGTAGAGCGGCGAATGTATGGTTCTGGATACCAGCAGAAAGTGTTTGATGTAAAGGAGATTACTTGCAGGAGATAGTCAACAAGAGGTCTATCTCAAGTATGTGAGAAGTGAATGCTCTTTATTAGCCTCAAGTGTTGATTCTTCCAGAACAATCTTATGGGCATGACTCCTGCTGCTGTGACTGCTATCCCTCCCCACAGCTTAGAAACTGTGAATAATGGCCATAGGCTAATTAGCTGGTAATAAGGTCAACATGAATAGAATCTGCTAGTCTCAATGATGTATCTATTCTGACCAGTGACTGTAAGGAAAGCTGCTTAATCTATATGTTATCAACTCAGAAATAAATATGGAGATACATTTCAAAGGCAAGATGTAGTTGAGAAAGTTTTATTGAATTCTTTCTACACTAAGATTCTCCTGTATAATAGTATTAATATATAGGGTAGTAATGAATTCATGCACTTAGACTGATTTGTCCTTCTAGATTTCCATACTTATTACCTTTTTTGTCTTTTTAAAGTGCATAAGTAAGACTTGACGCAGCAACGAAAAAGAAATCTGTCGAGCCCTCTAGCTCAACGTGGGAGTGGAGGTCTGTTCTCCCGGTCCCTGTCCTGACCCATGCGCTGCTGGGGACGCTTGGATGAGCCAGAACCTCCAGAACCTGAATTGAATATGTTACCAGACCTCGGGGATGGCGCATTATTGTCAAAGACTCTGTCTCTACCGAAGGGGCCTCCTCAACTTCCAGGCTCAAATTCACCACGGTGCCAGATATCGAATCCGAGGACGTACATGTGATCGATGGTAATGGGTTGTGAACGGGGATCATCGGGGTTCGTGAAGCTCATGTAGCTGAAATCAACGATGTACCTGAGTTTGTCAATATATGGGCGTGATAAGAAAAAATAATCCAGCTTACAGCTTGTCAGTCGCCCTGTCGTACTGAAGGAAATGTGGACTCTGATGAGCCAGAACGAACATTCTCTGGCGCATGTGCCTGGACTGGTCGGAACATGACTTTCCTTTCGGACAGGCGAGTGAACACTTACTCGAGCGTGATGGCGAGCTGCCTTCGAATGCTTTCAAGTTGTTGGTTTGAAAGAGTGAGGAAGATACGGGCCACATTCTCCCCAGGCACCCGCGACATGATGATAAAGTTCACAATACCGTCAGGATAAGGGAACATCTCTCCAGCCCGCTGAGTGACGTGGCTGAGGTATGCAGGTCCGTGGCCAATCTCTTCCACATCCTCGACCAGCTTCACCTCTTCGAGGTAGTCCTCTTGAGCCCGCTCTCGCATTGTCTGCAAATATGCCTGGTCCCTGATATCGAAGCTCTCAGGCCGCAGTCTGAAAGAAACATGGAGTGTCAGGAGGAGAAATGGCTTGGTTAAAGGTGTGCACAGTCAACTCACTCATAGCGGATCTTCAGCATAATTGGCTCGTTAGTATCCTCATAGCGTGCCAGAGTTAGAACCTGTATTTCAGCATATCTCGGATCGGGAACCTCTGTCAGCTGCTCCTCGATCCGGATGGGTCTTCCCCAGATGATCCGAACCCGATTAGTGAGGTCAAACCTCCAGTCAGACATGATGTGAGATGGGCAAGTTGGAATAGAGAGGATTTGCAGTGGACAATGTGGAATGATGGGATCTCAGAGAGATAATAATGGAATAAAGAAGAGACGGGGGAGGGGAGAGAAGATACTCAGAGAGAAGAGTAAAGATTAGAGAGGCTTTGAAAGATTCACTGCTTTAGGAAAAACTATGAGGGGACAATGCATCAAAGAGTGTAAGTATAAGGCATACGTCATCTCTGGTTTTTTTGTACCTGAGGATATAGCGACACCCATTACCCAATCAGGCAGGTAACAGTCATGAGAAACCCCCACTGAGTGAGAATAAAGTGGTATTTGGCATGCTGTTTGTGGTAATCCCAAGCGTTTTCAGCACTGTACTTGCTAGCATAATGGCTAGAGAAGCATTCTCCTTCTGGAAATGTTCTGCTGGCTTGATCTCAACATTGTCAAGCGCAGATACGTCCTGCCCTTTCTTTCAAAGCCTCCATCGCTTGAGGCACTTGCGGTAGTGTAAAGACTGGACATCCTACTTTGAGCATTCCCGCTTTATGCCGTGCTATTTTATCGATTTTATTACCCAGCGTAACCACATGGTCGAGACCGAGTGTGGTGATGCCAGTAGCAGCCGGCTTCGCGACGACATTGGTTGAATATAGTTCACCCATTTCCTTTCGTGCCAGCAACATGAACAATATTGAGCCGGTCGAGATGGCCAATCTAATGTGTCACTGTCGCAGTTTCGCGCGAGAGAGCTGTCGCTTGGAAGCACCTACAGAGTAACCTAGACGTTGTATCCATTTGCGCATCTGGTCAACAGCCGAATCTCTTAAACTGCGATTCAGTCATTTTCGTTCCCTTAGAATTGCAAAACCTGTCCGCGTCGAATTCAACATTCTGATTGCCTCCTATTCCAAGTGAGTCAACAAAATAAAGAAGACGATGTGCGACTGGAAGGTGAGACTTGCAACGTACTTTGGCGCTTTTCCTGTCATCTCCGTCTCCATTGCCTGGCCTGGCACCAAGACTGTGGAGACAGGTTGTTGCGGAAAGCAGGGCAACAAGGTGAGAGTTGTCCCTTTACCGGCTGAGCTGCTTGCTGAATTGGATAGGAAATTCAAAGACCTCTGGTCTTCGTCTGCCACAGCCTCGGTGGGATAGTCGTTAAAAAGGTTTCGAGTTCGCTTTGCATAGGCAAACTGGTCCTAATTTGTCGTAGGCGCTCCTCATTCGGTGTCCGGAAGAACAATCCAAGGTTCAGGATGCAGCCTATGGAATCCTTTTTATGGGTTTGTGGATTGCGTTTCTGTCTACAAGCAGACTAATGATGGATAAGCTACCCCTCACAGCGGGAGCGCTGTTGCAGATACCGGAAAGGTTCTTGCGAACATCATTCACGCCTGCTCTCCATTTCGTCCCGCTCAAGCATTGCTGGGCTCGCTTCGAAAGGATTCCAAAGTACTGTTCGAAATCACCGAAGACTTCGTGGAGAAGGCGGGAAAGCTCCAGATCGTATCCTTATTTGAGATGGAGATGACTAGTTTTGGCATCTTCAAACGCCTTGTACATCACCACCATTATCGCTTATGGAACAAGCCTGACTACATACTTAGGTTGTTGAACAACGCTCGGCACTCCTCAACGTACCGAACGAGATCCCAATTGGGCAGTTTGCGGATCATCGAGATATTGCACGATTCGCTTCTGTTACGGATCGCAACTATAGGCCTGTTATTACGCGGCTTCTGAAATTCAGACAAGATATCGCCAAGGAGCTCGTCGGATTCTCTAACTCCTCTCAGGGGCAATCGGTAACATGGCCTACAGCCCCGAAGCCCAATTCCGATCCCGATCCCATATTTGACGTCCCGTTCGATAGATGCGTCTCGTTTCGGGGAAGACAGAAACTTCTCTCATCCATGGAAGAATACTTCAGCCAGCGTAGCCCCGATCGACCATTAATATATGCTCTGACAGGACTCGGTGCCGCATTCCTCGTTGCCGTTGATCATCTCACACTTCTAACTACTACACAGGTGGATCTGGCAAAACTCACAGCGCCTTGCAATACGCTCTCCGCAACCGATTCAAGTATAAGAGTGGCGTGGTTTACTTCAACGCGAGTTCAAACACTACCTTGCTGGCCGACTTTCACCGTATCTACGATCTCTTAAATTTGGGTGACACGCCAAACAAGGTAGATTTCCTCAGGCAGTGGTTCTCGAATCCCAAGAATTCCAGCTGGCTCATGATCTTCGACGGTGCCGATGATTTAGCATCTGTTCCCCTTTCGAGATACTTCCCCAGTTGTCCTTGGGGCCACATCATCATTACAAGCCGAGATCAAGCCGCTGTTGGGCTGGTCGCCCCCGCCGGGCACTCCGTGGAGCCTCTGGAGGAGCAGGCTGCCATTGGGCTGCTTCTCGAAAGAGCTGCAGTCGGTAACCCTACAGGAGACGATATCAAGCAGGCGAGTGCGATAGTACAGAGCCTGGGATACCTTCCTCTAGCCGTTGACCAAGCAGGGGCTTTCATCCGAAGACGCCAAAAGTCGTTACAAGACTACCGTCGCCTCTTTGAGGAGAAGCAGTACGAGATTCTGAAGGTCACCCCCGGGATAAGCGGCTACGAGAAAACCGTGGCGACTGTTTGGGAATTGAATTTCCGCCAGCTCGAGAGAGATGCCCCTGAAGCTTCGCATCTTCTTGTCCTGTTCTCGTTTCTTGAGGGAAGTAATATCTCCGATGCGATGCTCCGTAGGGGATGGTCAACCAAGAGGATATGGGGTCGTGATGGTGAGATCGCACTTCTTAGTCTCGATGACGCAGGGCTTAATCGCGAATTGACCACCCTTCTTGGCGATGAAATGCAACCCACTCACGCCATTGAGCAGCTCCTTGCATCTTCTTTAATTCAAAGAAACTCCACTGGAGATGAAGGAAGGGCGTTATTGGTCCATCCTCTGGTTCAAAATTGTGCGTCTCATAGAGTCTCCCTGGAAGAATGTCGGGAATGGCAGGTGCAAGCCATATTGCTGGTCGTACATGCGTTCCCATTCAGTGTATATGTGGACGAAGAGTAAGTGACCATCGTTCAGTCCCTAAAACTCCCGTTGACTCTGTTCTAGTTTCGGAGCTCTTGGACGTGAGATGTTTGTGCATATTCCTCAAATCTTAAAGGAGTTTGATCAGCTTACGCCAGACTGCTGTGGTCAATACTCGATTGTCAAACGAGCAGTCACGGTGTTATTACTTTCCGCTGCGAAATTTCGTTTCAATCCGTGGAAGAGTGAGTGCATCCGCAGAATCAAAGATCTTATGAAGGGCGAGCATGATGGTTACTTGAAAGCGTGGGCTACCTTCACCGAGAGCAAAATTCTACGTATGCAGGGCAAAACCGTGGAATCCTACAGGGCCTTAGAAAACCACATCAACCGCACTGTGTTTCCAGGGCTTGAAGAAGGACTAGCCTCTGATGTGAGGTCAAATGCCACAAAAGGTGATCTGGTTGTTGCCTTTCCCGAGACTCTGATCAAAGACAGGGATCTCCTACGCGCACAAGCAGAGTTGGAGCTCTGGCGGCCACTAAATCCAGATTCCCCGTCTCCCATGGAGCAGCTAGTTCTACGAAGTCGTGATGTGACGAAAGGGAGGATTCTTCGAAACCAGGGTCGATTTTGTAAAGCATTGCCGTATTTGGAGGGGCTTCTTCAGAAGCTCTCTGCCGAAGATTACCATGTGAGCACCGGTTGGCAGATGAATTTGGTCTCAAATGTTGCCGACTTGTACTGTGAAGTTGGGAGGCCGAAAGAGGCAGAAATGGTGCTCGAAGAAGCCCTGGAGATCAGCTATAGCCATGGGTGGTATAATATCAGCACAGGAAGACGGTTACGACTTGCCCTCCTAGAGAGCTTTATTCGACGCGGGCTGTTTACAAAGGCCGAGGAGCGCCGGAAAGAGTTAATTCCGATCGTTGAAGCGATTACTGAGCCGGACATCAACCAGATTACGGGCCACTTCCGCGTTTGGGCTGGATTGGCGAGAATAGCGCATCTTCAAGGCAACTGGGAGGTCGCACTCGCCCGATGGCACCGTGCACTTGCAATCGTGGAGATGTCTGGCTGGACTCAGGGATTCAACCACGGGATCGTTCTGTATTCCATTGCTCAGATACTCGCACGGGTTGGGGATAGCGAATGCCAGACCGTCCTTGAAAGAGCTCAAGAGTCTGGCCGCCGAAGAACGAAAGTACTGGATTGTAGGCCTTGGTTCGCACTGGTATGAATTCATTATGACTACACTCGGAAAAGAGGGAAGAAACCCAGTTGTTACATCGGAGTGATACCTGTTTATTCCCTGACGCACGATACTTACTTATCTTCACCCATTATACATACGTTTCGTTCTCTCCTCATGCTTAGTAGATAGAACGCCACCATACATTTCTACATTGAGCTGCTTGTGACTTGTCTTTAGCAGCTGCCCTAGCTGATAGGGCTCTCCCGGTTCACATTCCCTCGCTGTCTATGGCCTTATGGGTAATCACCAGTTGAATATTATTATCTCGTTGAATGTCCCACGTCTCGTTGAAGACCTGAGTCACTGCCAAACGGGGTCCGACAGCCGGAACTTCAGTAGACTTGAAAGCGATTATCGTCCATATATCTTGCAGCTCATCCTTGATGCAGTCAGCTCTCCGGGTACGATTGGCCACCAAGTGTTCTGGAAGAGCACAAACCTGGTATCTGGGCCAAGTAGCCGTCGTCACTCTGGCCCTGTGCTGGACAAAACATCCAGTGCATCTGCATTTTTGCCTACCAGGCAAACGACATTATCTCTGGCACTGACTACTTTTAGGTCAGGCTGCCTCGTACCTGTTTAATTCCTTCCACCGGAAAGTGGAGCGAGTAATAGGCAGCCTGAGTTGATAATCGGCCATATGAAGATCAAGCTTTGATTCGTCAAACATTGACCCAGTGTGTTGCACAGGTCCGTTGAGGTACTCCTGAAGACTGTTTTCATTGCCAATGACATGACGTTCTCCGATGATTCGTGGCCTGAATCCCTGTGGAGCTGTATTCGGTTAAGGGTGTCATGACGGAGAGAAGAGGGAGAGGGGGCAGCTAGGAGGAGAGGCAAGAAGTGTGAGAGGTAGAAGGAGGTGAATATCTTTTAGATATTGGGTGTAGAGTGAATATGTCCAAGGTCAATGAATCAACAATGATAATCATCAAGGCAGCAGGGCGACATTCATGATAATATAAGGCATATTGCACTTGTATCATGAATGCATGGTCTCTGTTGACTCTTATGTCCACAGGAATAGATGCAAAATCGTAATACCCGATTATTATTCATTACCTAAGATGTTCCCTAAGCCTATTGGCCTAACTCAGAATATCTCCCCTCCACTGATCAATGCTTGGACCGTTACCACCCATATGCCTCCTCGAAGTATTCCACATCCTTCTGACCATTGTTGACCACAGTCTTTATAGCGTCTCTGACCGCGTCCGCCATACCAGCAGGTCCACACATGAGAACTGCAGTTCGCTCCGTAGGGCACGCCTCCTCCACATATCTAAAGATCTCATCGCGCACATTAGGTCTGCGGGATATGATCCCCAGATCCTTTGCTTTCTGGGAGATCTCGGCATCCCCAGTAGCGTACAGCACAGTGCTCACGGCGTCGCATCTGAAGACTGGCCCGACCGGGCCGTCAAATGTGTCGACGACATGTTGTGCCTGTCTGACTGCCCACAGCAACTTGATATTCTTCGTTCGAGTCCTGGGCGGGTTAATCGTCGATCGACGCATATGGTCGGTCAGATAGGACGTCGCCACAGAGATACCCGTGCCTCCGATGAGGAAGAGGACGTTGTCGTAGGTGTGCAGCGGCATGGTATGGCCGTATGGCCCCTCGATGAGCAGTTTTGTTTTGAGCGGGAGGTGGGGTTGTTTGAGACACGCGTCCCGGAGAGACCGTGTCCAACCTGAGCACGGACGCACCCAGAAGACCAGTTTGCGTCGCTGCCAGGTTTCTTCAATATCTGAGAGCGTCGTGGTGCTTGGGGGGCCGCTTCGCGCTTGGGTGGAGTAGGGGGACTTTTCGTCTTTCACATACTCGGCCTGACTCTTCCTAGGCACCTGCGCGTGCTCGACGGCTGTCCTCTGAGTCACCGTGGGAGACTCGACAGGCTCCCAGGCAGCTAGGGTGAATGGATGGCTCTCCCAGCCCCTCCATCTGAGAGGCCGGTACAGGAAGTAGTGCTCTCCAGGGCTGGGCGCAAGAGTCTTTCGTTGCGCTGTGACCTCGAGTTGAATGACGTCTGTTTCCTGACTATAGCGGATAGTGGCAAGGGAGTCGAGCATATCGGTAGAGAATCCGAGGCGGAGGTTGTAGTAGCAGAGACGGAGCACCCGGACTGTGCGGTCAAAGGCCCAGATGGCAACCACAGACCACAGATAAGGGTTGTATCTGCCGTTCCAGATGGACGTGTGGCTTTAGAGACTATGTCAGCAACAGAAATACGCCAGGGGGAGTGATACCCACTAAAACACGCCGACGAGAGCGAGTACAGCAAAGGCAATGTGTGCCAGGAGAAAGAATTCATAAAAGTGCTTCCGAAACGGGGAGAAGGAGAATAAGATGATCATGCCAAATGAGCATATAGCCTTTCCGTATCAATATGCATGGACGCATCCTCGAGTCTGAAACGACCAATACTCACAACAACGCCCATTCTCCAGAATAGTTTATGCCAGGCCGGGAAGTATTGCCCGTCGAAATGTCCCATCACCGTCCAACACGAAGCATGCACGACAGCCTCGACGAAGATGATCCGCGCAACATTCCGGTGGAAAATACTGAACGTGGTGTATGACCATCCTGTCAACCACAGAAAGATATTATTACGCCCAGCGAACAACCAAACCCAGGGCAAATTGAAGACTGCCAGTGTAATCACTCGGTTCGCCACTTTCTGCCAAAGCTGGTAAGGAATGGGAAAGCTGCAGAAAAGCAAAGATTAGCAAGGGCCAGAATAGTGGATAGGTGCATGAGGTATACCACTTACCCAGTGTTCGGCCATGTTGCCTCGTGCGATACAGCACCGAGGATGAGGTTCAACGCCCAATAGCAGCAGACGACGATGGTTTCCAGTCGGGTAGGGACGGTGGCAATGCCGAACAGGCGTTGATGGTGCGATCCCATAGTAGCAGGGATGATCAACTTGGCTTTTACCCAGTGATGGATAGCCTTCAGAGGGCCACGGTGGCTAGCAATCTTTTCGCCCTCGACATCGACCACTTGCCGTGCAAGGCGATAGTGGAACATCGTGGAGAGGATATTATTGAGCATCCCCATGAGGAGAACCCCGCCCCAGAAGCCATACAGAGCCCATCTTGCTTGACAATTAGCGTCGTGTCCGCTTGACAATCTGTGGTGAAAACGCACCCGTAGCGGCTCTTGTTTCCCATCTCTCTCTCGTTTATTACCTGTTGACCATCACTATTAGGGTCACCCAAGTTAGAAGATCAATAGCACGCACCTGTGATTGCAATGCAATCGTGTAAAGTTCCGGTGATAGCAGCACAGCAGTATGCCAGAGTTTCCTTTCCTGCAGGTTCTCAAAATTGACAACAGGCAAAGATTGCATATACTCCTCAGTGAGCTGTGGCTCAATCTGAGAATAAGGGACAAGTTCGCCGCCATCACAGTTGCCCAAGAGGTAGGCTGAGCCAGCCCTGATCTCCTCCGGCGAGCAATATGTCTTGGCCGCTGCCCAGAGAGAATGCACAGAAAGATTCCCGGTGCAGGCGGACTCTTCGTTCGGGAACTTGAAGTCAGAAATCGCTTTTTCGATTGCACTCACGCATGAGATTGGACTCCCGAGGGCGAAGACTCCTACCCCACTAACGGATAGAAGAAGACTGGTGAGCCTCATGGTAGCGATCGTTGTTCACAAGACCTTGACCTGGTTCATGCCGCAAGTTTGCGACCAAGACCCGAAATTTATACCACGGAAGCCGCCGTCCGGAGAGCGCAAGATAGTCCACCATCCTGTCTCGCATCCCACCTGCCGCAAATATGGCAGCTGTATAGATTACTGTGGGGTCGCCGTAATACTAAGCAGATGCTGTTTTGTTGGATAATTTCCATGCAGTTCAGCTGACGGTGTCACCGTCTGCAAATGATCCTGGATGCAACGGCCAACTGCGCCGGGCAACTGTGACAAAGACATACATAGCATGCAGCTAGAACTGAGGGCACCATTTCAGATTCTGAATAGTCGACATTGAAGGAAGGAAAAACAAGCTTGGAAGATGCAGGCTGGAACGTCCGTCGGAGGAGCGGGTACTAGCACAAGGGGGCTGCAGATTCGATAGGGATAGAGTATACTTCATGGGAGATGCAGGTAGAACGGTCGTTAATTTCTTCAGCTTACGAAATGCCGCGATCCTCAAACGCTGTTCGACTCAATACTCAGTGAAGATAAGGTGAAGAGTAATCCAGGGCTGGATGACACCAATTAACATGACCTGCTAAGTCACGGCACCTTTACCTTCATTTAACCGCGTTTGCCTCGGAGAGAACATGCAGGCTGAAGTAGCCATGAAGACGATATTACCTAGTCTTCCTGAATAAGAGATTTGTCAGGAATTTAAGGATCTATCATGCAGGGCCACTAGGCCAGAGTTGGCCCTGCAGCTCATGCTGCTTCTGGATTAATGTCTGACTTTGGCCATGGCGTGTCTAACTAAAGCGAATAATGAGTACTTTGCAGGGTGGTATTGCTAGGTTACAATGCATAAGTGCTTATTTCATAGTTAGCTAGTTGGTAGAGTGTTTTCATATCTTATATTGCCAACGAGCTAGTGGTGCGTTCATATGTCCTTCTTATCTTCCGCCTAGGGAAGGCCAAATTTGTTCATTCGTGACTGGATGATTGCAATGGGCTGATAAGTATCTCAAGTGACAGTTATAAAATGCGCTGTGGTTGGTACGATTCATTTCCAGATATCCATAGTTTGGATATGCTGTTGAGGGATTGCGTTGCCTATCCAGCCTCAGACGAGTTGCAGAGCGACCACCATTGTGTGCTTCTGACACCAGCCGAGAGGAACACTACAGATAGACTTAAGCACTTACTGCACACCGATCGAAGATTGACAAGCCTTGTGAGTTGCGCATTCGGTAACATGCTAAGTCCATGGAGTCTTCCCAAAATGATGCGGAAATCATGAGAGTGAGACAACAGAGAGAACTACACTTTTGATTGTCAAGAACACTTTGAGATCAAAGTACCGAGCAGCACAAATCATTACTACCGCTTTGACCTCTGCCGATATTGCTGCCATGTAACGAACATATAGCAGCTGGATATCACTACCCCCAGCCCCGCAAGCCCGACACCCATGTAAAGAGCGCCCCTGTACCCTCTCAATACATCCGTTCCACCGCGATTAACGTGCGACTCCACAGTACCTGCAAATCCAAGACCAAGGGAGATGGAATAGTTGACCGTTGTGCTGACAAGGGAGGCGGCCAGGCCCTGGTGGCGTCGAGGCATGGAGTTGCTGAGAATCAGGATACCTGATGGGAAAGACATGTCCCTGCAATGCCAATCTTCTGTCAGCACGGCCTTCACAACCATGTTTCTAGATTGAGACTCCGGAAGAATGTACAACTTACATCCCCCATGGCGTAATCAAACTCATAACAAATGCCTGCGCCCAATACGTCTGGCTCACTGGAACGGTTGCAAACAGACAGAGGCCCGTTGCAAAAGCTCCCATAGCACAGAACATGATGACACTCGGGGGCAGTCGACCAAGCAGAAATCCCGTCACCATAGATGCCATTGCTCCCGAGATCGCTGCGCCGGAAAACTTGGCGGTCGCCAGAAGACCACTGTCACCTTTGACGACGATCATAAACTGGAAAAAGTAGTAGATCATGATGCCGAAGCTGGACCACCCCGCTGCAATGCAACCGAGCACCCAGCCAAGATCCCCTGTAAACGCCGAGCGCGGAAGCAATGGACATTCGGCGGACCGCTCGATGAAAGCAAAAGCAGTGAGAAAAGCGAACCCGATAATGAGAAGAACGTAGGTGTATGGTGTACTCCATCCCACGAGCGGAGCCTGGTTCCAGGCAAGGTTGATAAGAATCAGCCCGCAGATCCCGGTTGCTGCACCAAGAACGTCCAGCCGTACGATTGGGCTGAGCCGGTCGTTGAACTTTTGTCGTGGAATATGAGGTATCACCAGCAAGCCCAGTCCAGCGAGGACGAAACAACCCATCCCCATAACCCAGTAGCCCCATGGCCACCAGACCCTCTGCGCAAACAGAGATGAGAAGACACCCCCCACAACAAATCCGCCCGGCGCCGCCGCGCCAAATAAACTAAAGACCATTTCCTTTCGACGGCCAGGCTTATACGTCTGTCCCAGTATGGCCACTGCGTTGGGGAAGAGCATAGCTGGCCCGATCCCTTGCAACGCACGACAACAATCGTAGAAGATCCTGTTGGACCAGACACTGAACCCAGCAAGCAGCGACCATATTCCGAACCATAGGAAACCAAGTATGAACATAAACCGGTGGCCGTAGACGTCCCCTAACCGCCCAGACATTAAAATGAATGTCCCGACAGTCAAGCTATAGGCAGCCGGGAACCAGCTCAGTTCACCCGGGTCCTGCGTCCCAAAGCTCGCCCCAATGATATGGCCAGGGGCGATAGCAACAGCTAGACCAGCCTGTGTCATGAACTGCGCCATACAGACCGTCGCCACGAAGGCTGTCTCCTTTCCGAGTGATTTCGGGGGAGAGATGCTCGAATGGGAGGTTTCGAGCCTGGTGAGGGCCTCGGGATCATCGTCGGTTTGCGGTGCTTTCTGTAGGTCTGGGTGAGTATCAGATCCGAACTCTGAGGGTGTTGCTGTTGGTGTCTCCTCTTCGGTGAAATGATCTCGCGATGGGGGACGAGAAGTCATGTTGGACGATCTTTGTTGTCGTCGGTTCTCAGTGGATTATCCTTCGTAGGTTTTTTGAGTCGATGAATATCTTAAGATAAACTATGAAAGTATCATCCTCAGCAACGTTCATTGAATTTTAGGGAACTTGGTAAAACTTCAGGATGGCTCACTTACCACCGACTCCACCGACTCTTCCAGCCTGTCAAAGGAAATTTGATCGAACAAAAACTACTTCTGTTCGACTAAGGATAATTCGAGAATGGAATTCAGAGCCGGCAACACGTGATAAATTCGAGGCTTCTCACTCGTAGTTCTAGACATTGAAGACAAGCATGACATACAAGACATCCGATCTACGGGAAGGCTCACGGCATTCGAGTCCAGCCTGGGCTAGCATGAACATCTAGGTGAAAGACAAGCATCGGTAATTCAACTCGGTAATCTGAAATAATAAACACGAGTTGCTCATCGTATTCAATACTGGTCCTGTTGACGGCCAGACAGCCAGAGCCAAGCACTGTCGATCTGCCCCTGGAGCCACAGCAGACCCACACAATAGGGAGCTTCTTCAAACGACGTGCAACAGCCGAAGCGCCTGATTTGTGTGGCTTTTGTGCCGCTGGGTTTTCCAGGGACAGGCCGCTTAGGCCTCCATAAAGCTTATGTTGCAATGCAAATCAGGGTCTTGAGTGTCACAACGTGCTGCATGTCTTCACACCAACTAGACCCGTGGCTTGTTTGGTCTTGTCTTTTTCTAGATCTTTCGACCACAGGTTGACCTGCAGATCGTCATTTAGAAGTTAGGTACGTACCTTATTGGTGGGTCTTGCTTCATGAACTCTCATCCAAGCCATTTCCCAAAGAGGCTGGCTTATTATGTGTTTTGCACTACACTACTCACCTTTAAAGAGTAGACAGGGAGAAAATCAGCCGGGCTAAGTATCAGAATAGCCGTGGATGGAGCTAGGAGTGTCAGTACCATGATACGCATAGTACTAAGAGCGCTTGTGTTGCCTAGAGCGCAACAGGAAACGACTGTATTTCGCAAATCATAGCTTTACGAACCAGTATTATTACCGAATGATTATGGCAAATTTGCATTTATCTTTTATCATTAGATACTTTTGCATCATGGTTGCCTGACACGCCAGTGGAGACGGGGCCGGAAGCCATGGGATAGCGACTTGATTTCGACATCCCGTGGAGATTCAGAAACGACAGTTGAAATCCCCATTCGATTCAAATTGGACCTTGATTCGAGAGCGGGAGAAGATATAGCCGTCTACGAGGACACTCCTTCAATCAGGGGATGTTGCATGTGTCCAGATTCCTCTACTACGTTTATTCTCTATCGTGACAAGGGCGTATCTACTTTGCCTTGGGCCTATCATATAAACTGGTCGTAGTCCATCTCGAAGCTCCATATATGCTTCCTCTACTCAGACTATTGCCCCAGATCGTTGGACTAGGCTCAAAATGACCAGAACAGTAAAGGACATGAGGATCGCCATCATTGGCGCTGGTCAGTACTCAACCGAATTGCAGTCACCGAGGCCTTTGTAGCTTGCTAATGCTACTGTCCAGGAATGGGTGGTCTCTCTTGCGCACTTGCCCTAGCTAAAGAAGGATTCACCCAGATTGATGTTTTCGAATATGCTTCCGACCTGGGCTTTGTCGGTGCTGGCATTCACTTCGCGCCGAATATGAGCCGTATTCTTGACCGTTTAGGCGTATGGGAAGAGATCAAGAAAGAAGCCGTGGAGGCCGAAGCCACAAGTATTCGAGGTGAGCTCCTCCTCGCAGAGTGCTAGAAAATCCGATTTCACTGAAGCCCTCTGCAGTTGGCGCTACGGACGATGAGCTGGCGAAAGTGCCCCTCGGTTATGTCGAACCCACCTACGGCTACCCCCATATGGTCGGGCACCGTTCGTCACTGGCGAACGGTCTGTTCAACGGCTGCAAGAGAGAAACTGCGATCAAATTCCACTTCTCCAGTAGCGCAATTACCACCTCATTCGGGGCCTGTCCATCCTTGCTGGTGACCCCTCGGGACGACAGTCCTCCATACACCGTGGAAGCCGATATCATCCTCGCCGCCGACGGCATCAAGAGCAAAACCCGCGTCGAGATGCTGAAGAAACTAGGCGTCACAGCCAAGGTGCAGGACACCAACCAAGCCGCCTACCGAATCATGATCCACAGAGACCAGATCGAAGACGACCCCGAGCTCCTCGCCCTCATGGACGGCAACCAGGTAACCCGCTGGATCGGCGAGAAGAGACACATCATCGCCTACCCCATCTCCAACAACACAATCTACAACATGTCCACCACACAACCAGACACTAACTTCGCAGCCGCCACCGACGCCACCTACACAACCCGCGGGTCCAAATCAGCCATGCTGGGCGTCTTCCACGACTTCTGCCCCAAGATCCACCGCCTGCTGAACCTCGTCCCTGACGGCGAGGTCTGCGAGTGGAAGCTGCGCGTTCACGAGCCCATCCCCACCTGGACTCTGGGCTCGGTGGCCCTCGTCGGCGATGCCTGCCATCCGACCCTCCCACACATGGCCCAGGGCGCAGCCCAGGCCATCGAAGACGCCGCCGTGCTCGGGGTCGTCCTGTCGAGACTCCCAGATCCCACACCCGAGTCCATCAGCAGGGCGCTCCGTGTCTACGAGAGAATCCGCAAGGGGCGCGCAGAGGCCCTCGTTGGCCTTGCTGCTGCCACGGGCCGTGCGATGCATCTGGGTGAGGGGGCTGCCAAGGAAGAGCGCGATCGCCAGTTCGCTGCCTTGAGGAAGAGAGGCAGGGGTCCCGTCCCTGATAAATGGGCCGATGCAGAGATACAGGCCGAGGTCTACGGGACGGATTGCACGAAAGATGCGCATCTCATGTTCGACACTCTTTTTGAGCAGATGTGAGCCCTTTTATTTTGATGCATGGTCTTCCGAACTAATGTCTGGATACAGGGGAAGCAATTATGGCCACGAAGCCAACTCTGTCACTGAATTTGCCAGGCTTGCTTAAGGTGACGGGTTCATGCGGTAAGGGTGTTCATGGTGAAGGATAATTGCTAGATGGCTTTCTTCCTTAGTTTCGGTTAGCTACAATCTTTCTCCTTTCACCGAGGTACGTTCTGTATATATGACAAGGCGTTTGATGTGTAGGATCGATGCAATCGGAAGGAATATTGAAATTCAAATTCGCAAACAGCCTAACAGCTTTGCTTCCGCTAAGCTTCGACCGTTCTACCCACTGCGGGTCATCATCAACTCAATAATTTCCGGCGTAAATCATACTGCACGCTAACTGCCGTTGTGGGTCGTCGTCGGTGAGCATCAGAAGCTCGGGTCGCCATTTACGATAGCGGACAGAGCCATCAAACTGTATTTGGCCAAGTGCAGATTGCGTTCGGGTGGCTGACATTGGGTATGCCAAGCGAGGCACGGTAGCGGATGCTCCTACTGTCACATACTACACTATTTGATATTGCATCGAGTCGGATGGTTTGAACCAAACATTGTTCTCTTCATGAAGCATTGCAATCTATAGTATATGTGTAAAACAAAATAACAACATAAATCCACCGTGCTTTTGGCGAGGTTCCTGTCTGTAAAGCCTCCCTTGTCATAGTCAAGCATAGGTAGACAAGGTATCCAGAGCATAGAAGAACAATGAAGAAAAATAATAGACAGACAAAGATACTAGTGGGAGCCATTGACACCGTTCACTCCATTGGCACCATTCAGCTTACCAGCTTTGGCCGCACGTCTGGCGCGCACAGCATCAGCCAGATCATTGAGAACATCAACGGTCATCTCCCAGTTGATGCAAGCGTCAGTGATGCTAACGCCCTTGAGCAAAGCAGCCGGCCCCTCGGCAGGAACCTTCTGGTTCCCCTCGTAGAGGTTCGATTCGATCATTACACCGATGATGGCATCCTGGCCCTCGCGGAGCTGATCCGCGACCTCCCTAGCAACCAGAGGCTGGTTGAGGTGGTTCTTCTTGGAATTGCCGTGGGAGCAGTCCACCATGAGGATCTCGCGCTGCTTCTTAGCACGCAGTGCTTCCCGAGCGGCCTTGATGCTCGCCCGGTCATAGTTTGTCCCTTTGTTTCCGCCTCGCAGGATCACGAAGCCGTGTTCGTTGCCCGAGGTCTTGGTGATGGCGGCCATACCCTGCTTCGTGACGCCCATGAAGCGGTGCGGGTGCGAGGCCGCGCCGATGGCGTCGATGGCGACGCCCAGGTTTCCGTCCGTGCCGTTCTTGTAGCCAATGGGGAAGCTGAGCCCGGACGCGAGCTCGCGGTGGAGCTGGGACTCGGTGGTGCGCGCGCCGATGGCGCCGAGGGAGACAAGGTCGGCCAGGTACTGCGGGGAGATGGTGTCGAGCATCTCGCTGGCGATGGGCATGCCCATGCTGGTGAGGTCGGCGTAGAGTTTGCGGGACACGCGCAGGCCCTTGTTGATGTTGAACGACTGGTTGATGTCGGGGTCGTTGATGAGACCCTTCCATCCGATGGTTGTGCGGGGCTTCTCCAGGTATGCGCGCATGATGATGCAGAGATCGTGGGAGAGTCTGTCGGCGACGTCCTTCAGGCGGCGAGCGTATTCGAGAGCAGTGTCTGGGTCGTGGATGGAGCATGGTCCGACGACGACGAGGAGACGGTCATCTCGTTGCTCGATGATCTCGATTGCTTGGCTTCGCCCGGAGCGGGTCGCTTCGAGGGAACTTTCGGGCTGAATGTCTGTCAGTGCCTGTCCGAAGAGGTTTAGTGGCTTGCATGTCTTACGGCGGGAACCTCGGACTGAAGAAACTGAGGAGAAAGCAGAGGATCGTATCCGAAGACTGTCATGTGGTTAGTATCTGGATTGCCCGTGCTCTAGGTTGTTCAACATACCCCGAGTGTCCTCAGAGATCTCTGTGGTCTTGATTAGAGGCATGGTGTATAGACAGCAGGCTGAGACAAGATAATCAGCGAGACGTATACAAGAGAGGAATTTGTCGATGATAACCGCAGAGAAAGTCGGATTGCTTGAACTGTAGAGGCTCGTTTCCAGCTAGATACCCTTATATAGACCTAATCTGTAGGTGATGCTGCTCAAAACAGTGATCAGGTCATCAGGCTACGTAAAAAGGTACGCACGTGGATTGCAAACGCGGTCGATGTTGACAGACAAACCATCTCCTCTCGACTGCACCATGCCAGATTCATGATGCTCAAGCATTGAGGTGCGGATAATCGGCCGAGCACACCATTCCGTCAACGAAGCTTCACTTCCGTGCCGTGCTGCAAGCCACAGTCAGTCTCGTGTTGCCGGTTTCAATCCCACATACATACTGATGATTAGAAAGCGACGAATGAGTGCCATCACGGTATGCACGCAGTTGGAGATGCTGGGTCTATCTTGACAGAGTCTGATAAGGCGTGACCCTTGCCGTCTGTGAGATTGGCCACGTCCATGTCTCCTCCATGAGCCTTTCCTCGGCGCTATTTGCGGCTCCTCGACAATCCACCCAAGCTTTGGTCAACCCAGAGGAGTCGTTACCGTTCCAGAAAACCAAGTTTCTTCTACCGCTGTCTGATATTGCATGGGGTCCTCCACCAGTCAACGTGTCCAAAGAACTGCGTACGCTATCATGGAGGGGTGGCTCAATCTCGGCCGTAGAGAAGAAACATCAAGTCACCGAAGAGGAAGACCAGTGAGAGGTCGTACCTGGTCGGGGGTTGAGTGGGGTCTATGTCGCTTTAGCTTCGATTGGAGTTTTCTACATCACAATATCTGGGAGTGGTATGGCTCATTTCCGGTGTAGATTGATGCTACTGTACGAGTATAGCCGAAGTTGACCAAGATAGAGCCTTTCGTCTTTCCACTAGGGAACATCAAACCAAGTATTGGGGCTACAGCATTAGAAGAACCGTATAATGAAGGTGTGTCTTTGGCAACAGCATGCGAGTAACATAAACAAAGTAACTTTGAGGATTACTCTATGAATTGGATGCCACGGTCTCAGCTACGATGGCCTGCAGAACCAAAACTCTAACAATACTAGCAATTGAAAGATGGAATGAAAAGTTGTCATCCAGAAAATGCATTTGATACTTTTGATCATGCACTTGAATTGAAATTTTGCAAAACATATTTCCAGCGTCCTATCACAAGCACGGCATCTGTAACCCTTTGCCGCCGTTGCAGCAAGCCGAATGTTCAAGAATATAACCAGTCCCGAAGCTATATTTGCTTTTTAGCCTGATGCAGGGTAGCCAAGCTAAGTACGGAGTATTGCAGATCCCATCATGAGATCAGCAAATCATATATCAGATCGTACCACGTGAATGCCAACTACGTCTGGACTTGGAGACCACTCTGCCGCTGCTTAGATGCCTGTATGCCAATCATCCCGGAGCTTGGAATGATTGGAAGGTAATAGATGGCCTAACATCTTGGTGCTCAGGGCCCTATAGCAGTACCAAGCTCTGGTCCTTCCAAGGTTCCCTGACGCCACATAGGACTGGTAGACCTTCCTGTATTTCATTTGCGGAACTCATATCCCCTGGTAATGAAGAATGCATCGGTTAATCTAGTTTGATCAACTTGATTAGCAAGGCTGCCTGCATGTTTCAACTTTGAATTGCATCCAATTATACGTCTCCTGGACTAGACCTCGCTTATTCAATCCAAATTGGTATGCGGCAGAAGGCCCACATGGTCTGGGAGCAAGTCTAGGCTCCCTCCTGGGTCATTTCTGGAAATACTACGCTAGCACATTCGTATACTTTAGTCACCGAGTAGCTCGATGAAAGCAAGGAACACCATCGATTCCCTCCGAATGAAGGGACTTTAAATGCCGTCTGCCTGTTCCTGGCACCCTGAAAATAGCGGCTGCAGATCCTTAGCGGAGGCGACCCACACGCCCAGAGTTTAGCAGCTCACCTTCTATTCGTCATTTGCAGAAAGTGAAATTGTACTTCGCTCCGGCGATCAATACCCTGTGGACCATCATGACGCCCTCTAGCCCTCTAGAGTCTAGAGACCGTGCCGCAACGAAGATCAGCACAAATCTTGAAACATAAGCTCACGCCACAGTTCAGAGACGACCTTAACTGGGCAGATATCGGAGTGTTTATGACCTCCTCTTACACGTGGCTCATTGGAAGTGAGTGGCCTGGATTTAAGCTTTCGCCTAGGGTCCAGTCTAACGTTCTAGAAAGTGATTGATGTATTGTTTGATATCGATGCATGTCGGCCGCCCCAAGTTTGCTTGAGATGCTTGACAGAGTAAAGCCGAATAATAGACTACGGCGGAATTAGAAGGACGGAAGAAGGCAATATATGATACTACTATTCCCAGAGGAGTGACTAATGAAAGAGGAAAGAAACAAGAGAGTACAACATCCAACTCAACTAGATTGAAAGCAGACGCGACGCAATAGGCTAAATCACAACGACGGTCTCACCATCGACGTCAACTGGCCCGTAAACGAGTCCTTCGTCCCAGTCCGGAAGGGAAACAACCTGATAAGCTTCTCCCAGAAGCTTCCCCTAGACGCATCTGTGCGCAGTCCCAGCGCCGCAACCAGTTTCTTCCACGACTCGATCCCCCTCTTTGCATGTGCATCCGGCACACCGGCATGATCCTCCGCTAGCGTCCGTGAGAATAGCTCAAGGGACACCCAGCCCTCGAATCCCAGATCGAAGAACGCCCTCGCCACGTCAAGGACAGGCAGGTATCCGCCCCGCTCCTCTTCAAAGGCGAACAGCCGTGCATTGCGGGACCAGTTCATGCGCGCTGGCTGGCCAGCAACATAGAACGGATGGGACTCGTCCAGAGGCGCATCGAGACGCTCGCCGTCAACGACCTGCACGTAGAAGATCTTGGTGACGTCGATGCTGGAGCGTAGTCGGGCGATGCTCTCCCGGAGATCCTGCTCTGCGTCCGGGGTCTTCCCCGTCGGCGAGGTCGGGTCCGCGTAGACCCGTCCGGCGATGTTGAATGTGTCAAGGCAGATACCGAAGTTGGCGCGGTCGACTCGCTTCACGACCTCCCAGGAGGCTTCCCACGTGTCGATGTGATTGGACCAGCAGAGGGCCTCGTACACGAACCGGATAGGCCGCGGCTTCTGGAGAGCACCTAGGTCGGCGATCCTCTGCAGGTCTGAGACGATGAGTGACATGTCGCCCGTTGTGCGTGGGGCGCCGGACGGGTCCGGGCGCAGGAAGTTGGCTGGGACTTGGATCAGGTCCGTGTCTAGGACGGGACAGAGAGTGAACCACAGCGCGAGCTTCTCGGTGACTAGCTCTTCTGCCTGGGAGCGGTCCAGTAGGCCTTCGTAGAAGGAGAAGGGTTGCAGGCAGATGATTTCTAGAGATAGTGCATCGCAGAGACGGCGAACGGCGTGTGCCGCTGCAAGGGGATCGCTGTTGAACTGTTCTTTTGCCAGGAAATCGAGGTCGTCGTAGAACAGCTCGATTCCCTCGAAGCCGTAGGCCGCAGCCGCGCGTAGCTTGCTGGGGAGATCGTGCACATATGGGCGACCAAGTGACATGGACGCAATACCTGGTCTGTTGGGCATGATGACTCTTTTCGATACTAGGGTCAAGAAATGCTAGAGGAATAGATTTGTGATGATCACTACGGATTGCTCAAACGCAGAAAGAGGATCAGGCGGGCCTGATCCAGGTCTACCCTGGTGCTTGGAATCGAAGAAACAATAAATATCATGATGACGGATAGAGACGGGTATTTCGAGACCTCGTCACATTCTAACTCGCTATACACGTGTAAAGCAGGGCATTTTTATTGGATCAGGGGCGGATATTGCGAATTCGTCAATGAGATCTTCAGGATGGTCCATGGCGAGAGCCCTGTAGGGGTCAATTCACACAATATCAGATGAAACTGCGAACAATACTCGCCTCTATTGTGGAATTCGTGCCCTTTGCAGTCCTAGACTCAGGATTTGTTACCCTACAGTGCCTGCTTGCTGCAATGGGAGGCAGGGATGGACTCGCCTAGTCCGAGAGATACATACGCAGCTGCCGCTGGAATTTTCCTTGCTTATGATTGACAAAATGTACAATACAGCCTATGCGATTTGCTTTCGTCAAGATCAGCTTCAAGCGAATGATGGATGTATCACTAGATGCATGTCATTGGAAGTCGTTATGCGCACTATTGAAACCATGAAAAGGACAGTTTACTCTTGTGAATTACACAAATGGATGATGAGTTCTCCTAATTGGACTTCATTACATATCTAAGCACATCTCAAGCTAGCATCCTAAACATCCCCAGCCTTGATTAGGTCGGCAGCGCGCTCCGCAACAGCGTACAGGGTACTGGTTAGGTGACCGCAGACCTGGAACGGGAGAACGGAAGCGTCGACAACACGGACGTTGGCAGTACCGTAGACCATGAGATTAGTATCCACGACACCTCCCATGTCCCGGGGCATCATGGCTGCGGTGCCGACGGGGTGGAAGTTGGAGCGAGCTACAGCAGAAATCAGCACCTGCATCGTACAGAATTCATCGCAACAGAAGGAGGACTTACAGACGGAGTTGATCCAGGAAGCCCACTGGGCGTCGGTGGCGTCAGCGGGAAGAGTGGTGTATCCCGGTGTCGATTCGCCAGTGGTATATGCGCTCATGGGAGCAGTGTTGTAGAGGGTGCGGAGAAATTTGCCCGAGCCAATCTGCTGCTGCATGTCCCATTCCAGCATCATGTAGTTGGGGTTGATGGTGGGCTGCTGCAGGGGGTCGGTAGAGGCAATATGGACGTTACCACGAGCAAAGGGGAGCAAGCCCCAGTACTCGGAGTAGTAGTTGGTGCCCTTGGGGGTAACGAGCACCTCGGCGATGGGGGTAGGGTTCTCGAAGATGATGTCGTACTGGATATTAAAGAGGGCGAGCAAGTTGGCAGCGCTCATGGTGCCGTTGCTGGCGGCAGACACTTGGGCAGCGTAGTTGGCAAGGTTGTTCTTGACGTCGTTGGCGACATTGGTTGTATTGCTGCCGAAGATGTCAGAGGCGGTTGGGTGACCGAGATAGGTGCCCGCGCCGGAGTAAGAAACGTTGCTGGTGTAGATGAACTCGGTGTTGACCTGGTCCTGGAGATTCTCGCCGACGGTGGTCAGGTTGACGACGAGAGGGATGCTGTGTTGAGCAAGGACACTGGGGCTTGGATCAGTTTCTGCTAGGATCTGGTGCATTGATGTTGTACTTACGCTGGGTTACCAACGCCGGAGCGCTCCAGAATAGCAGGGGAGATCAGTGATCCGGCTGAGAGGATAACCTCCTTGTTCGCCGTGATGGTTTCGACGGTGCCGTCGCTGAGGGTGACCTCAAGACCGCTGGCAACAGCGGCACTGGAAGTGCTGGTCTGAGGGGCCCAGAGGATGCGGTTTCCAGTGGTGTTGAGCATGGCCGAGAGGTTGGGTCGGGAGTCGAATGGGTAATAGTAGGCGCGAGCTGCATCCTCACGGACGTTTTCAGCACGGTTCACGGTCCGAGGGAACATGGAGTACCCATGCATCTTGCCTCCGTTGACATCTGGAAGGTAGGAGATACCCAGGTTCTGGTAGGTGATGTTCAGCTCGGTGTGGATGCTGCTGTTCTGCATATCATAGGTCCAGCCCACAAGCAGAGGGCCAGACTCGCCGTTATACGAAGGGTTGTAGTTGGCACCTGCGTCATACTGGGCGGGAGTAGGAACCTGAAAGTCCTCGCTCTTCTCGTAGTAAGGGAAGAGGTTCTTCCAGTTCCATCCGTTGTTGCCAATCTGACCCCAGGCATCGATCTGGATGTCCTCAGCACGGGTGTAGGCCATACCGTTGATCGTGCTTGTGCCACCCAGAGCCTTTCCCGCACGCAGGGTCTGGACCTTGTTGCCCGCGTAGGCTTGAGGGACAGACTGATAGGCATAATCGATGGAGGAGCCAAAGGCAGCACCGTAGTCACTGGTGTTGTAAACAAGGGCGTTGTTGAGGACCGAATCACCTCTTTCGACAATCAGAACGGAAACACTCGAGTCTTCGGACAAGCGGTTGGCGATAACCAGGCCAGAGGTACCACCTCCAACGACAATGTAGTCGTACGAGGTAGCGGCCGCCATTGAGGCAAGAGAGAGGAGAGAGATTTTGGCCAGCATGGCTAGCATGGAAGGTAAGCCTGAATTAGCCGTGTGAGAGAGAGATGAGAAGAAGCGATGGTGTCCTGCAGTTTGAGCACTTGTACGTGGGGGCTAAGTCTCTTATAACTTTACAAGATGCCTATTCTCATATAACTGACTGCCAAAATAGATATCCACTGTAAGCGGATATTTCCGAATAAGGTGAATCTCCCGGGATAGTGTTTGAGAATCGAACTGATGCCCCCGGGACAAAGGTTAACAGTTTACATGAAGAACCCATGTGCCTTCACTGTCATGTTCAATTGGATTCACTATGAACATTCTGATTCTAATCAAAATCCCTCCGGGATGTATCCCGACTCCCTTCTTGCCTTTACCGGGACAATCGGGTCTCAGACAGAGTCCTTCAATTAGCTTCCCGACGACGTCCATGCAACTGTACAGGAGACGGCCCGAGTCGGGATCTCTTCTCAAACGCTAGGTCTCGGCTCATTGCTAACCTGCTTGAGCGTCGGTGAGAACCTACTTCCCGCCGAAGCCGAAGTACAGAAAGAATTGCGCTACACTCAATCAAGCACTCAATTTCTCACGAGATTAAAACTAGATATGTACCACACATTGAACTTTCTCAGGGACACAAATTGGCGCTTCCGGAATCGACAAAGGTGGAAAATGATCTGCGTACCAGTATATGTCCTCTAGAAAGCCGTGTGGACCCGTACCGTCCACCACAGTATACCCACGTGTACCAGATTAATTGTTCTGCACGTTTCACCATGCATAATCCTTGTACTTAGCTACTAATTTTTCAAACTGATTGAGACCATTTTGCAGCCGTGTAATTTAGGCAGAGGTCCCAGTCAAAATTGACTTTGCGGCCATTGTTGCTTGACATGCCACCACGGGATCTTGATCTATTGCTCTGCAGGCGTTCCACTTGTGCCAATGATTGTCTGAAAGTCTGCTGTCATATCGCATATCCTGTAAAATCATGTACCTGGCCTCGGAAACTGATACTGAGGCCCTCTCTTCAGTTCGCCTTTTCTCTGCTACGCCTGTGTTTCTCTCCATAGAATACAATCAACTACAATCTTCCCTCACTCTCGACATATATTCCCACGTTTATTCTCAATCCAAACTATCATAATGAATAAACCCACGAAGATCAGCATTCTGGGCTCTGACAGCTTAATCTCTGATTTCGGCCTCTGGCGCGATGGCTACATTGCCCGAGACTTGATCAGCCGCTGTCCGTCGACGACCTACACCATCATCACGGACACCAACATTGGCCCCTTATACGTCCGGCCCTTCCAGAAAATATTCAGAGAAATCGTCAGCTCCGTGTCCCCCTCCCCTCGTCTCCTAGTGTATCAGGTCCCCCCGGGAGAGGGCTCCAAATCTCGCCAGTCGAAAGCCTACATTGAAGACTGGATGCTGAGCCAGAACCCGCCATGCGGCCGGGACACTGTCATCCTGGCACTAGGCGGGGGAGTCATTGGGGACTTGGCGGGATTTGTGGCCGCGACGTATATGCGAGGCGTCCGTTTCGTGCAGGTTCCCACCACCCTGCTGGCCATGGTGGATTCGTCCATTGGGGGGAAGACGGCTGTTGATACGCCGCTTGGGAAGAACCTGATCGGGGCTATCTGGCAGCCTGAGAGGATCTATGTTGACTTGGAGTTCTTGGAGACGCTCCCTGTGCGAGAGTTCATCAACGGGATGGCGGAGGTTATCAAGACAGCTGCTATCTCCAGTGAGGGGGACTTCGCTGCCCTCGAGGAGAATGCTGAAACCATCCTGGCTGCAGTTCACAAAGAAGTTGGCCAGGGCGAACAGCGATTTGAGAATATCCAGAACATCCTCAAGGCAACCATTCTGGCATCTGCGCGATACAAGGCGGACGTCGTCTCCAACGATGAGCGGGAGAGTGGACTTCGCAACCTTCTAAACTGGGGCCATTCCATCGGTCATGCCATCGAAGCTATCCTCACCCCAGAAATCCTTCACGGTGAATGCGTCGCCATTGGCATGGTGCTGGAGGCCAAGTTGGCCAGCCATCTGGGAATACTACCAGGTGCCGATGTTGTCCGGATCGCCAGGTGTATTGCAGCCTATGGCCTGCCAACTGCCCTGGCAGATGTACAGGAGGCTGTACCAAACAAGTATTGTTCTGTGGAGGACTTGTTGTTCTATATGTCACTAGACAAGAAGAATGATGGACCGAACAAGAAGATCGTACTTTTATCAGCCATCGGACAAACATACGAAGCCAAAGCCAGCGTCGTCCCTAATGAGGATATTGCCGCTGTTCTGTCTCTGAACGTTGAGATGGACAGCATGTACACCTCGAACGGCATCGCGCCAGCAACTACTCATGTCGAAAGAGTCTCGGTTACTGTCAATGGTTTGCTTTGATTTGGATATTGTGGGCGTACATATAGAGTTATACTAAATCCATGAAGTAATTATACAGAGCATTCCTTATTTCCCTCTGCCTGGTCCTTATTTGCACGCGCAACGGAGTTATGGCCTTAAGTCCGTTCTACATAAAGTCTCCAGTTCCACCCACGAAATTGATCTTCCATTATTCTTTGGATCTATTTCATTCCTCAAAAAATCACCATTCGACTCCCAACCGATCATCCTGAGCATCGCGGCGATACACATGAAATGGATGACCCCCAAGCGCGGAGAAGAATCCAGAACCGCCTCAACCAGCGTGCCAGCCGTAGGTGACCCAAAAGGATGGAAATTAAAGAGAGGAGACGACTCACGAAACCCACCATAGGCAGGAGGAAAGCTTTATTATCTTCAAACGGTCCCGGGTCTTCCACTAGAAAGTGGACAGTTTACGTCGCCCCATCGCAGATAACAGAGAAATTCCTAACCCCCAACAACAATCTCACGCAAGAAGAGAACACAGCTACAGCTCATTTCTGCTACCTCAGCTTAGAAACCCGCCAGACCATCTTGAATGAACTGGAACACCGCGTCAACAGAGGAATCATCACCCGCGCACTCTCTTCTGAATTACTCCTTCCAGTCACCCAATGGAACATCATCCGCGCCGTGTACACCAACGCCACTACAATGGGCCTAACCATGGAACTTCTAGCAGGAGATATGACCTCCCCATTCAATACTCCTGGACCATCAATAACGAATCTACCACCCAGTTTACAACCAACATACCTGCAGAAATCCATCCTCCATCACCCCTGGATCGACCTATGCGCCGTTTCCTCCGTCCGGGACGCTCTTCTGCGCAATCTGCATCTCTACTCGGAGGATGAACTTTGCCATGATCTCTTCGGTAGCTCCAGTGATTGTACTCAATCGACCGGACTTTTGATCTGGGGTGAGGGGTGGGATCCGTCTGGGTACGAGATATCTGAAAAGATGTTTCGGAAATGGGGGTGGCTATGGAGGGAATGTCCCGAGGTAATTTGGTCTACGAATTACTGGAGGTTGCAGCGGGGAGAGGAGACCCTTGTCATTGCTGATTGAAATCATCACGATGTGCTCCCAAGCAACATCTTCATCAATGAAGCACACCTTTCCCTTACGACACTAAACAACACGATCCTCAGACAGCAAATGCCTCGTGGATTATCTGCTCACTAAGTTGCCACAACTTCGCCTGATTATCCTGATTCAGAATGTGGCTATGCAACTCGTCATCGGCCACTGCATTGTTATGGAGGAAGGCCCCGTTATGTCCTAGCGGATGTAAGTACGTATTCAAATACATGGGACAGGTTGCGTACCTCGAATCGTAGGGTCAATCATGCCCGTGATAATAGTCGCGGCGCCCTCAGACTTTGTGGTCCATGGGGGCAGTTCGATGGGCTTACCGTCAGGGTCGACCGCGCCTGTTTGGTGTCATTGTTGTTCAAATATCAGATGTCAGGGGCCGAAAACCTACCGCCAGAAGCTCTGAGCCTTGCAACCATTTCTTGAAATTGCGGCGTGAAATGACGTTGCAGGCCGGAACGGACGGCTAGTGGAGGTCAGTTCCTAGGTATTCGCCCGCTGTGAATGACTGGAATTTCACATACCACCAGGATCAATGCTAAAGACTCGGATTCCCTGATCTCCCAGTTTCTCCGCGAGCGCCTTCACAAACATGACCCGGGCAGCGTTGGATTGGCTATATGCCACCAGAGGATCATACGTCTTGCCCTCCTATTAGAAATTGTTAGATCAGCGCCATAAAGGGAAGTGCGGGGGACGTACACTAAACCCGACATCCCCAAAATCAACCTTCCCACCTCTGGCTGCACTACTTGAAACAATAATGATGGACGATCCAGCCCCGGCAGTCCTCACCTTCGGCAGAAGCAACTTCACCAACAAAAAGTTCGCCAAATAGTTCACCCCGAACTGCGTCTCGAACCCATCCTTGGTCGTTCCATACGGAGGAACCATGACACCTGCAACACAAGCGAGATGGTCGATCTTCGGGATGTCGCAGAGAGTATCCACCGCTTTTCTAATACTGCTCATGTCTCCAAGATCCATATTGAGAAATCGGGTATTGACATTGGGGGCTGTGGATTTGATTTTCTGGATGATGGGGGCGACTTTTTCCTCGGCTCGAGCGCTGAGGATGAGGAGATGGGGACCTGCAGCGCTTAGTTGGACGGCGAGTTCGCCAGCAATGGACTGGCCGGATACGCCGGTTATTAGGACTGGAGGGTTGTTAAGAGGTTATATTGATAATGTACAAGGAGGGGCCGCATACTTGTCTTGCCCGCTAGGGAGCTACCAGATCTTTGGATGATGGTCTCTGAGGGTAGGATCCGCTGGGAAGACATGTTTTCCTTGACGAATGGATTCGAGAGGTTTATTGATGCTCGAGGAAGTATTGAGAGGATTTTAATCTGGAAGGAAGAAAGCAAAAAGCAGAGCAAGTTCTGATGCTTTATATCTTCCAGCGACCCTGACTTGATGCATCTTGCCTCGAAGTATGAAATAGCTGCTATGACGGATACGGTTAGTCTCATGTCAGCATTGCAGAATCCACTTTTCTATCAGCTCTGATTGGACAAATGCCAATAAATCTGGTAACCCAATGGACCTCTTGCACATCTTCACGTGATTCTTTGTTTTGGTGAGATATTTATCCATGTACAGAGTATGTTTGGCGAATCAATCTGGAATTCACTGGCAGTCTTGTGCTGCCCGTGGTTGAGTTGAGGCAGCCAGTGGGCATTAATTCGAAGAGCAGAACGGAGCCAATCACTAATACTGCGACAAGGATAATGATGTTCGTAGTTTGATAGTAATATATGGAGACGGAGTGGAAATAAGAAAAACAAGAAAAAAAAAATTCAATGTATATATATACTTGGATCATGCTCATCGTCATCTAGGTAACAGATCATCCTCTCCATGCTGGAAAGGGGAAATACTTTTTGAGCCTTTGAACGCAAGGTCAATTAGTTTCGATGTAATTGATTTCAAGAGCTGGCAACTCTCGGCCGTTTTGTCGAATTGTTGGAGGTAGAAACCATGAGTCTTGGTAGCCATCAGGAAGTTAGTGTTTGCCATGGAAGATAACGGCTATCAAAAGTCAAAAAGGCCCTTAGTCCTGAACCAAAATAAAACAGTGATGCCAAGGCCTTGTCAACCAAGAATAAACTTGATCTTGGTTCCACTCAAAAGAAGCCCTCCCCTGAAGCTATCTGGCGAAATATAACCGCTGAGAGCCAGATGATAGCTACACAGGCCATTTCTAAAAAAAAATTCCTGTTATAAAGCACACAGTTACCTGGCAACACAGGTCTCATTGAGATACAGACTTGAAGCGCACCCTCCATATCTTGCCAGAAAAGGATTCTTCATGCAGCAAAACCACTAGCGTGCACGTGCTCCCGCATCTATCATCATATCACCTTGCAGGGAGATTTTTCCCTCAACTCGACTTGCCCCATTCCTCCCAACTGCCAGATCCTTTCCGATGGATTCTTCTACGAAAGGCCCATTCTGGGGCCTCCAGACATCCTATCTCAAGTATGTTTTTATCGGTATCAGGTCCTTGCATTCTCTAAACTGACACGCTTTAGCTTCTGTGAAGAGGTACTCCCGGACTCCCGGACTCCCGGAGCAATCCCGCGTCTGCCTTGCTTAATTCTTCCAAACACTAACCCTCAATCTGTTCCCTAAACCAAGGATTATGTGATAACCCGATACATTGCTGAGTTTGCAAACACATTCAGCAGCTTGATATATAGTAAGTTCGGAAACATCCGGGAGCCGTGAGACATTGCCTCACAGCCCGCTAATAACTTCATCTAGTCATTTACGGAATTTACGGTCTGGTGAAGCTCCGCCGAAAGCGCCATGCGAGTCTTGGCCGCTCAATCCCCTACTTTGGTCTGATGGGCGTGGGCGTCTGCTCGGCCGGCTACCATATGACCCTGAAATATCACACCCAAATGTGTATGCGCCCTGTCTGACATCCCTGCCACTGTTGAGCTTATGCTGAATACTATTTGTTTCCAGCGGATGAGTTATCAATGCATCTACTCACCACACCTCTTGTCTACCGCATTTTTACTATCCAGACTAGCCCGCAGCATACTAGACTCATAGGCATCCTCCTCCTCATTGAGTTTACTGTTGTGATGGTTGTTCACATGGTCATGGACGAGTTTATTCTCCATGCTGTGGCCTTCGGCTTGAGCGTCCTTTTGATCGCGACACGGACAATCAAACTGGTCTCCCGGCGGATCCCGGATCCTTTGACTCGGAAGAATATTCGAAATATCGGCCTCTTTGGCTGCTGTATGATCTCCATCCTCTGGAAGCAATTACCGATTAATGAAACTAATTATGAGTTTCAGGTAGCTTTCTCTTCGGTTACCTGGTCTGGCTGATTGACGAGTTGGCTTGCATCCCCCTGATCCGCATCAGACACTCGGTCGGCGTTCCCTTGGCATTTCTGTTCGAACTGCATGGGTGGTAGGTTACCTAACATCTTTCCTATCGTCTCGGTGCGATCTAGACCTGGAAATATCAGATGCTGATCAGAGGAAATAAATCCAGGTGGCATGTCTTCACCGCAATTGGTGGGTATATCGCGGTGGAGGTTGTGGACATGATCACATCGGGTGAGGTTCACAAGGATCCGACGGAAGAGCTTGCTTGGCCGATTGCCCTTGTGGCAAGATCTCTTGGGGGAGCACCAGGGACCACGAAATCGATATGAAAACAGACTATCGGTGGAAGAGCAGCTGCTGTCTAGTCTCAGTGTGCTATGTCATAGCACTGCTCACCGCGGGATCCTTCCCATACTGAAGGGTGCTCATGATTTCTTCACGGACTAAGCCACCACCTTTGAATGCATACTTGCTCATGATAGGGTATCAGTATTATCATGTACATCATACATGATCCCAAAGTTCAGCCTAGCTTACGCAAGAGCCTTGCTTGGGAGACGTTTTCTTTAGCACAGAGTGAGGCTACTAGCCTACAAATAAACAACAGATCCTCTGCTGTAATGAGGTGAACTATTATATGCAAGCTCTTCATGAGAACGATGGCGATGCTGTTGTATTGGCCAGGAAGAAGTCTCATTTAACAGCCTCTTTGCAATGCACGCTATCTAGGCTGCAGGTTGCGGAAAGAAGACCACTTAGTTGATACTCGGCCTGAAGGATTTTATGGCTCATGGCCCGGCATAATTCACGCGGCCCATTTTTCAAACTAGATTCTCATCATTCTCTCTATGCTCTGTGCTTCACAGTGGTGAGGTCAAGACTGACAGCAGCAGCCTTAACTAAAGTATGATCAGTTTGCAAATTACAGGCGGTCAACCGCCACTATCTCAGCTTTTGGTCCTCAAGGATTTTGACGCTTTCAGCGCCGCTGCAAAGCTTCCCAGCATGTCTAGTGGACATGTGTGCATGGTTAGCAGCAAAGTAACTACATATTCTCCAACTTATTTTAGTCATACCACATACAGTCACCAGTCTTGATTGGTCTTGGTTGGGTTTGGAATTACACTGTTTACACATAGGTTTTGGGTTAACCCATGACATGTTTAATTTGCCCTGAAATCCATGTAGGTTAGATTATAGATGGCTCTTAATCTTTCACCTATATCATGTATGTGATTCCAGTCTATACTACTAGTAGGCAGTGAGATTAATAAATAGTCTTAAAATAAGAAGTAATCTAGCTAGATAGTAGATATAGAGTATAATAGATAATGTCTTATCTTTCTTTGAATTAGTAGTAGACTCTAAGAAGAGTTATTAACCATACTTGATAGATGGGGGTAACAAACTGACCACTAATAAGTTCACTTTTTCATTAGATGAGATGTATACTTGTTCAACACCTACACTCCCCATCCTCTCTTCATTTACGCCAAATCTTTAGCTGCTTCACTAAAAAGTCAAGAAGTAATAGATAGCAGGCCTCTATGAGAAGCTAACCCACAGCTGCCCCTGACAAATGGGGTCAGGTAGCCCTTTCCCCCTCTCCCGCCCATAAACTCTGAATGTAGCTACGTGGGCACATCTTATGTCTACTTCGTTTTAAATGTGGAATTACGTGAAATAATCAGAGCTGAAAATACTACACCCCTCTTGTACAAGCTGCAACCAATGTTTGCTGAAAATAAAGCATTGAGACTGAAACCATACAAGAATAGCCGAATCCATTTTTGTAGCCTACTAAGCTCTGACCTATGAATACGAGTTGCGTTGGCGGCGGCCTTACGGCCGCCGCTGTGCACGTGTTGCCAGTCAGTAAACTTTCATGTTCTTGCTACATGATGTATCTATCTATTTATGCTTCAGTATGATGCGCCGGCTGTTTTTGCGTACGACGGAGTCGCTGGTCTCATAGCTCATGGTGCAAGGCCGGATTCAGTGGATATCTATGAGCGCACACCCATCTCCCATGCGGAGAAAAAACGCGATGAGGATATTCTGGCATTACTCGCCTCTTCCTGGGTGTGAATTGCTGGCCCGCAGGGTCTTGAAAGATACCTGGGCAAATAGTAAGGTCATAGAGCAAAAATGAAGCAGACTCACCAACATGCCGGCTAACAAAGCCACAACATTTTGAGGTCTCCGGTCATTTCGCTGCTTCTGTTACTTTTGACTCTTACAGAGCACTCCTGCAACACTACCGGACAGCTATTCCAGAGACTTCATCATGACTTCGGCTCGGAACCCAATGGGCAGTTGACTCTAAGCCTGACCGATATGTGTATAGCACGAAATTGACTCGTCAAAAGATGAGGCACACAGACAGTGGGAAAACGCCTTGAGGAGACTTTCAATAGAAATGGTATGAGTTTGCCTCGGTACTGAGTTCGTTTGTACCTCCATCAAAAGATTTCAGTACTGAATTGACAAAAAGCATCAAAAACATACAACAGCGGGGATTCGCTGGTGGTCACCCACCCAACTACTAACCGGCCGGCGTGTGGCTTAAGTACGGCTGAGCGGACGGGAAGCCCTGTTTTCCACACCCTGTGGTCGTATGTGCTAGTCCTCAGCATGGAATGGTTAATGTAGGCTTTGCAGTAGCAAGGCCGAAGATGGATCAAGCGGATGGAGCATTTGTATAAGTGATGTGGATTGTAAGACAGGCAAGGGCGAATCAGCGGACGTAGAGCAAGTCACGTTACTGCAAACTTGCAGACGAATCAGGGGCGGTCACATGGTGCAGGACCTGTTCTACTATTCTCTTATATTCTCTTACTATTCTCTTATTGACAGTATCACGACAAGCATCTGGCAAACTATAAAACCGCGATGCATTCCATCTCAACATCTGTGTTGAAAGGCAAAGTCTTCACTGACACACAACTAAGGTTAAGGTAAGTCAGACGGAATTCCAGAAGGCGGTGCTCGAGGCAGACTTACGTTCGGCAAGGCTTCACTGCATCCACAAAATATTGCTCATATACCGCATTCATTGCTGCGAAATCATCCATATTGGCCAAGTAGACGTTCACTTTGACGGCATTATTCAGGCTACTACCCGCAGCTTCGAGGGTGTGGGCAAGACTTTGAAGGACTCGGTGCTATTCAGAGGATAGAGCCAGAAGAAATCAGTCCTGCTCAAAGTCCATCAGACGAATGGTGTGGGGAATTATAGCGCACTGTGTGAGCCGTGATGTCTCCATCCATCAAACTTCCGGTCTCAGGGTCGATGGCCACGATTCCCGAACAGTATACAACGCCATTTCGCCACGACTGCTTGAGAGTAAAGGCCCCCGTAAGGTTGCGGAGCCTTTTCGGTATGGACTGGTCGCCTTTGAGTGGACATGTGGGCTGGAGTTGCAGGATATACGAGCAAAAAGAAAAAAGAAAAAAAAAAAAAAAAATGTTTTGCACTGCAGTGAGTGCTGAAGAGTAGAAATCACTAGAGTACTGAGGCAGGACGCATTTAGTCGCATAGCACAGGCAAAAGCCACTCATGCCTTTTATACTTTGCTCCATTCCCATATACCTCGAGCAATAAAAGCTCTCTCCAGTAGCGATGGCCCAAAACTAGGATTTGTAATCAGAATTCCGCTGGGTGGTTACAATGACTTAACCATTTGGTAGTTACTAATTGGTCTGTTACTAACTTGAAGTTATTTAATAACTACAGTAAGTCTTTGCTTCAAGCTGATTAATAATGTATGATGTACGAATTACATTTGATCCACTACTACCAACTATTCAGCAAACTCTACCCTACCGTTGAATAACTTCTGCATGACTAACTTGGTAGCTATTGATTAGTTTGTTTGATTGGACCCTTTGACCACTCCCAGCAGTGTCTGCACAGGTAAGATAATCCCCTGAATGCAGATACAAAAAGAAGACCCCCCCCATAACTGCATTCTAGTACCCTTCTGGACTGAGGGGTGTTGGCACATCAGAGTCACAGATAAGCAGCAATCCGTCCCTAACAATGCCAAAAGAGCTGCATTTCGTGACGCTTGACGTCTTTACATCCGACATTTTTGCAGGGAATCCACTTCCAGACGATGACCAACAAGCTATTTGCCAGAGACAAAAGCAGGCGATTGCTCGAGAGTTCAATTACTCCGAGACAATCTTCATCCACCCTGTCGCTTCGGAGGCGTCTTCCAAACGCAAGATTGATATTTTCATGACAACGAAGGAGCTTCCTTTTGCGGGCCATCCGACCATAGGTGCTGCGTTCTGGCTTCTTTGTCTCTCACCACATGAAACTGAACGAAATGCCACGAAGATGCTTACCACTAAAGCTGGTGACATCGCTATCTCCCGCTCTCTGGACTCCGCAGTGGTTTCCGTCACTATTCCGCACAATGTACATCTTCATAAGGAGCGATTCCCGGTAGCGGAGGTCTTACGACTACATCCATCTCTCCGGCCCTTTCTAGAAGCCGACGGACTTGGCTCGAATGGATACAGTGTTCTGTCTGTTGTCAAGGGCATGACCGTGATTCCCGTAGAGCTTCCAAGTGTGGCGGCGTCGGCTGCTATAAGTTTGCCCACAGCCGGAGAGACGATCGCAACGACATCAACTGTGGACGGGGGATATCTTGACCCGGGCTGAGAAGGACCAGGGTTAATTAATCTTTACTTCTTCGTCCGTAATGTGCCTGATGGCGGGAGAGCCGTCATTCGCACGCGGATGCTTCTGGGAACATTTGAAGATGCAGCTACTGGCAGTTCTGCAGTTGGGCTAGGACTATACCTCTCGTTGTATGACCAGGGACGCGGAACGGGAACGCGCCATGAGTATGATATTGTCCAGGGTGTTGAAATGGGGCGCAAGAGCAACATCGGCGTGCAAGTTGTGCTTACAGATGATAGCAAAAGGGTGGAAACTGTGAAACTTTCTGGAGGTGCAGTTAAGGTGTCCGAGGGACAGATTCGGTTGAATTGATTTTCACTGCCTATCAATGACAAAAAGTGTGACTGATTCCTGAATATCCAAGTAGTCCGACAAAAGTTTTGGCTTCTCTCTTACTACAGTAGCTTGGCTGCGTACCTAGGGAGTCGTCCTAGGCTAGCCTGATATATTTCTTTCCATGGTGAACTGATGATTAGGTCAGAGATAAATCCTGTGCATAGAGGCTAAAATAGTTCCTTACGGCAGTATCCGAGGGGGTTTTGGCAAATGCTAATAGTATACTTAATACTGGAGACATGGCCTTGCCCACTTGATTTTATCCAACGGCACCCTACCTTATTAACTACTAGTATTGTGTGTTTGGGTGTGATTTCTTTTACTGTGATGCCTCTTTTGGGGTAACCCTGACTATCCTGTATATACATTCCACAGTGACCCATTCCATGTAATTGGACTCAGAGCCTTATTATGGCCTGCGGTGGCCTTGTGTGTTCTGTTTTCCTGCTCCCTAGGACGGTAGTTGCAGAATTTCCTTGGATCTCTCCCGAAGAGAAGAGAGACAAAAGCAGGAATTCTCCAGTAAGATAACTACTCTTCAGTCTCTCGTGCTTCATTATCCTCTTCCTGGGCTATTTGCTTGAAGTCATTTAGCTCGTCCGATTTGATGAGATAGGTATGTTTGAAATCTGGAAATTCCCGGCTCTTGACTTCCGCTCGGAAGCGTCTAATAGCATCTCGCGTTTCTTCCCAGACATTGCCGTACTGCTTGACAAACCTCGGAATATGTCTGTCTGGTGGTGAGTTTCCGATCATGTCACTCTGAACAAGTACCTGCCCCGAGCACCCATTACCAGAACCGATCCCAATTGTAGGGATCCGCAGCTTCTGAGTGATGATGGACGCGATTTCGGCGGGGACCGCCTCCAGAACAACTGCCACGGCCCCGGCTTTCTCTACCGCCAGAGCATCTTGGAGAATCTTGAGAGCACTGGAGGAGGACCGGCCCTGTGCCCGAAATCCTCCAATGGCATGTTGACGCTGCGGAGTGAGTCCAATATGTGCGAACACTGGAATACCGGCCTGGCTCACGCGGGCAATCGCGGAGGCCATTTCCTCTCCTCCCTCTAGCTTAATTCCGTGGGATCGGCCCTCCTTCATCATCCGAATGGCTGAAACGGCTGCCTGGGATGGAGAGGCTTCGTAGGACCCAAAGGGGAGATCACCGATCTGTTTCACCGTCATTATCAGCGTTATGCTTCGTTTCAATTCATCTGTCAATCGTACAATGAAGGATGATCTGGCCGCGCGAGAGACGCTGCGACAGTGTAGGATCATAGTGTCCAGTGTCACTCCAATGGTACTTTCCAAGCCGAGGGAGACCATCGAGAGACTATCGCCAACTAGGATCAACTCAATCCCTGCAGTATCAGCGGCCAAGGCACTTGTAGCATCGTGAGCAGTGAGCATAGTCAGAGGCTCATTTCGCCTATAGAGTGAGCGTAGCTCATTGATAGTAAATCGCTCGCGTGCAGTGGTCTGTGAGCTGCATCCTCGAGTCTGTGAGCTATTCCGAGAGAGTCCTATAGATAGAACCGACGCCGTTTTGTCCGAGCTTTCAAATACCGGAGAACGCATTCGTATGATTTGTTTCCCGAGATTCATGGCTGACTCTTTGATCGATAGAGGCCACATTTCGACTCTGGTGAAGGCCACGAGGTTCAAACTTGCAGCGTCGGTTTGCGCCTGAACACTCTTAATTCTTCCCACAACATACTTAACGCCGCAATGTGTAGGGCCCAGGGGCGATATGGAAGTCAAAAAGCGGGTCTATTCAAGGTATCCACCCTAGACTGGACCGGCCCCTGGCGGAGACGGATCCACTTGTGTGCTTCTGCTTGAGGTTGTCGGTGCAATTACTAAATATCTGGTTAGTCAACGACGAACGACAGGAAAGCAAACGAAAAAAAAAGGAAATGTAAGAAACAGAACGAGCCAAAATGGGAGCCAATCATGGACAGTGTTCAATTGAAATTGCCGCAAGCAATCAAAAGCGACAACCCAGTGGACGTGCTACTCGGAACGAACTCCGAGTACATACAAGGTCCCTATGTGACTATGAGGGATGGCGCCATCATTACCAGCGCAGCCTCGGGCATTGGTATACGTAGAGTTCTCATTTCATCAAAAAAGGTGCTGAAGTTGTCCCCGCCGACCTCTTAGTAGAGATCTTGACACTACGTCTACAAGATTGACCAGAATATAAGAGTCGTTCAGGATACTTGTCCGAAATAACAAGGTGAAACCATCCACATTGCTGTAGAGAACGGAATCCATAATGAAAGCTAGCTGTCAGGGTGTTTTAGACTTTAGCAGTATCATCTTTGGCACTCTGACGGCTTTTTACTAGTACCATTTGAGTCAGGCAAGTGTTTGTCACGCAGTCAATCCCTAACTCTTTACCGCGCCGGACAATCCAACCATTAATGAATTCGATTTCGGTAGCCCTACCCTTCCGAATATCCTCGCGCATGCTGCTAGAATTAGGTGCAGTCTTCTCAACAGTATCCAACACGGCCGCTTCAAGAGAGGCGACTGAAAAGCGAGTCTGATCACGCGGAAGGTTGCTGAGCTCCGGGAGGTTTTCAAAAACCATCGAGATCTCTTTGAGGATGAGACGCTGTATGGATAAGAGCTCAGGGGAATCTATGAGAGCGCCGTTCCGGATATCCAGTAATGCTGTTAAGGGGTTGATGATGCAGTTCGCAGCTAGCTTCAAGAGCTGGACCTGCAGGAGATCTGCCCACATCAATTCTGTGCAACGAAGGGTAGGCGATCGGAGTAGAGCATCCAGGAGGAATTGACAATGTGACCGTGCTGGGGTTTGATTCCCGTGGTCAACAATACCAACTGTAGCACAGCCATTGGAGCTGGAGAGCACAGCTTCAGCTGGGGACTTCAAATAAACGCCGTGCTGCATTATGCCGAGCACATATAGGGGCCGAGTTGACGGATCAGTGAAAACCCGCTCGTTCATGTCCTCGATTTGCCCTAGGCCGTTCTGAAAAAGGCAAATCGTAGAATGTCGTCCGAGTCGATGCTTAATTGGTTCAAGGGCGGACGTGGTCGCTGATGCTTTGACTGTGACAATCAGATAATGGATCGGATCAGTAGACACTGGTGCCGACTTGCTTGCGAGCAGCTCGACGTCGAACCCGGTCCGTTCTTCCAAAACACCATATTCTCCGAGCTGGAGGCCTAATTTCCAGCCTTTGGACGCAAATTCCTGGTAGAGATCTTCTCGGTGAAGCAACAGTGTGACGGGGGGCGGCTCGGGAAGAGATCGAAGCGAGTGTGCAATAAATGATCCAACACTGCCCACTCCTAAAATATAGATCGGATGGGCAGAACTTGTCATGGCGGAGAAATTTTCAGCAGTAGCAAGTGAGACAGTGAGAAACATGCACTGTATCACAGTATCATCTAGGGGGGATGCAGCATATTTCAATTTCCTGAAGCCAGGCTTTGCCCTAAAGAGGCGGATACGGAGTTCTTTGCGGGGCCGGTCCAGGGAGAGAGAAATGAGAATAAAAAGCAGAATATAGCCGCACAGTACTCCGACAGTCGCCTGGGTGGAGCAGTAGCTTGCTAAGCATGTTGGTGCTTTCGCCTTGTCTACGCCTTCAAATTCAAATCTTATGAAGGGCGCCAAGAAGCTGAAGGTGAGTCCAAACTTGCCACTTCAATTGACAAGGTCCACCCGATCACGTGACGTCTACGGATTATCCCGGACTTTTTACTCTTCTGCCATTTCTCTCACACTGTAACTTCAGAACAAAATGGGATCATCACGAAAGCGCCAGGCTGCGGAACTCGACTCTGTAGCTGCTGAACACAAAAAGTACGTCTCTCATACTCTGGATAGGGTAGACTTTATCTGACCATGTAAGATTGCGAAATCGGCTCTCACAGCAAGCGTTTCGCAGACGACAAAATGACCGTATCCTTGAGCTGGAAGACAGCTCAGAAACGTCAGCAAGACGGAGAATGAGAGAATCTCACAGCTCGAGACGGAGAACCTGTTTCTTCGCAAACAGCTTACGATGTTTGTCGGTAAGCTCGAACTGGCACAGACGTCTTTAAGAGGACTCTGCAACATGATGCACGCCGCTCTGGAAGCCGATGTATGGGCCCTCTGACCCGTATGTGGGAACCTGCTTTGACTTATGCCGGACCAATATGCAGGATGACATTTCCAGCCAGAAGCTACCTTCGGCGGATGAGCCGTCAGCCGAAGTTTCAGCGAGAAAGCATCCCGGATCCGCCTCGGATTCCCTCGACTATAATCACTATCTACCCTCTACATCACCAACTCACGCAAGTAATTCTCACGAAGACATTGCTCTTGAAGAGTTGCTATCTAGTGCTGAGAATTGCTTCTCCGGCGCCTGCCAGCATCCCTGTCAGGGCGTAATTTCGAATGCTGCGGTTGATCTGCAAGTCAACCCGTCCATGAATGACGCAATCCCTCCAGGGCAAATAGTATCACCGTGCATAGAGGCCCACGAGTCCACCTTTATGGGTAGCCCTTCGCAAGGAATCCCCGGGGTATGGTCGTATCACTATCAGATGGGTCCTTCGAATTATCAATCCGCCATGGCCAATATCTGCAGTATCAGAACAGGTCTGCCTATCTCAAACTCTGCTTTCTCGGACCATATCGCCGCCTTACATAGGTGTATCAGAAGGGAGTGGCAGTGTCTCACCGCTTCGGAACCCTTTGCCTCCAAACTGCAAGTTTGAGCCTGAATGTAAAACGAAAGTGTACTAATCTCTCATTGCAGTTCCAAACTTCATCTTTCTGTTTCCCTCATGCTATCTTTGTTCAACAGTCTCAATCGACCCCTTGCTCTATCGTGGTACACGCCGACCAAGTTTTACTACCACATCACCAACCTCACGACGTGGCAGCTCAACCCCACGCGGGAAATGTATATGCGGCTCCCTGCGCGATACCGGCCCTCTGCCCTGCAACTATCAGAAGCATATCCTCCGATCATCGATTGGTGTCCATTTCCTTCAATCCGCGACAAGCTCATCCTTCTGCACTCTGCGAATTCCAATATTGATCAGATCATATGCGACATTGCCATGGCTTATGTTGTCGAGGCTGATATCTCAACGATTGTACATCTTGAGGGGCCGACAACGGGCTATATTCGTGTTTGGGATCTTATCCAGGCAATGGGGAAGCCTGGCCATGAGCAGATTTGTTCTAGTCAAAACCTGTGCGCTGAAACGTCAATCGGACTGGGTTCTCACCTTGACGCCGGGAAACAGGCAGATTTTGGGGGCTACGCGCTGCCTGCGCCTAGTACGGAGGCTTTGTTTCGGACCAAAGAATATGCTCGTCTAGCTTTCAAGGAGCTCCATATGGATGACGGTATCAGTCGGTATAAACTGGACGCCGCATTGTTCGAGAAATATCCAGAATTGTACGAGCCTGATGATAATATTGTTGCGAAGGGTGTCGCTGTCAGGGCACCGCGGCAGACCGCCATCCCGGTTCCAAAGGCACTTGATAGATTTACACTCGATATATATCGTCATTTTGCTGACTGGTCACTGAATGTCATCTTTTCCACTAAATTTTGAATATTTTACTTTGTTCACCATGTGTCCCGTCATACAAGTACATGAAAGGCATGTTTCATTCGCAGTCGAAATCCCAATCACACCTTTTATGTGATGAGTGATTGTTGTTACTTGCACACGTTAAATAGGAGGGTCACTACTAGCTACATGACAGATATAGGGTATGCTGGAAGAGAATCCCTATCTGTGAGAATAAATCACATAACAGTATCTTGCTCCGGCTGGCGTTCAATAGCTATGAGTAGTAGGTGAGTATTTGCGAAGGTAGAAAAGCTATGACATGAAATTATCATTTTGTAGGCGCATAAAGCGTCAACATCCATCACGCGCCCATTGACACTCATCTTCTTGTAATCCCTCAGTCGGTACAGGCCAATCTTCCCCTCCAATATCCTCAACTGTCCCTCATCAACCTAGTCTCCCTAACCAATCTAACATCATCGGTCACAGTCACAGTCCTTCGCATCCCTGAGACATAAGGCTGATCTGTTTCTTATAGTTAAATTCCTGGTTCATCATCCTTCTCAGGATTTGTTTGCGGTAATATAGGTTGTTGGTGACTGCTAATATCAATGATGTCGGGTTGGACACATAATAACCCTTCGCTGTGCCGCCAACACACCCATAGATCCTTACGCTATATCCACTGGCTGGCGTCCGGCTTCCCGCAATATTCGGAAGACGGCCGCTTCAGTTGTGTCCGTCTTCACCATACTCTGTCTGCCTCCGTTGCTAGTGGTTGTGGAAGCTATACTGTTTGGCGTTGATGGTGATGGTTGAGGGTGATGGAAGTGTATTGTAGTGGACTCTGGATCCAATGCAATCAGACAGAGGCAGCGTCCCCAACTTGAAGAGATTGGGGTGAATTGTTAGCTCTATGTGAGAATAATGTCCTGCACGATGAGAGATTTGAGTGCTAGAGAGGGTCATACTCGACGGAGATTGGAGACAAGGACTGTCCGCCTCCTGCCCTGTCTGTAGCACAGCGGGCCCTCTAAAGCGATCCACGACTATCAATCCCTTTTGCACGAACTCTCCAGACAGTAATTAAGGAGTACGAGTTTAGAGCCGTAAGACGCAGTGCCTAAGAAATTATGAGCAGTCACGGTTCGTCAAACTGTATAGAGATATTGGAACCATCTGCAGTAGGTACCGCTTCCACAACTGACTGAAGAAGCTGTACAGTGACATCCTATATTCTAAGTGTTACAAGCCTGAGCCAATGCACCGTAGCCAGCTGTAGGCATTCCTCTCCTGCTAACACTCCTCTTAAAAAGGAAGGGATGGTAGCCCGTCATCAGGAGGATATTAGGATAGTGCGAATGACTATTGATATCTGCTGAATAGTTTCGTCTCTAGACTTGTCTAGCACATACGACCATAGGGTGTGGAGAACAGGGCTTCCCGTCCGCTCAGCCGTACTTAAGCCACACGCCGGCCGGTTAGTAGTTGGGTGGGTGACCACCAGCGAATCCCCGCTGTTGTATGTTTTTGATGCTTTTTTATCAATTCAGTACTGAAATTCTTTGATGCCAGAGGTACTCAGCGGAGTAGGTGAGTAAGGCGTCGTTCCCACACAGGGTGTTTGCGCCTTTAACGGAATGCTTTCCTTTACCGTCGGGTGGAAAATTTCTGACACCCAAGGGAACTGCCTGGACTTCCTAAGCGCAGCAACTTAGAGGATCTGGATAGTTATTTGGTCCCGTATACGAGTCTATGGATAGGGGGGCCCGCCCATGGGTGGGCTCTACCGAGGTCTATGGATGGATATTGGGATATAGCACTGCAGCAATGGTGCCAGGCTCTATGAAAAAGCTGATATGGAAGGATCCTCCGATTCGAAGACTGCTCTTTACCACGTACTACCAATATACCAGATAATGACATGCTGTCAAAATGATAGAACAACACTAAAAGGTGTTCTCTTGACATATGTTGTAGTTGAGCAGGTTGGAGTAGAGCAGTTGTGTTTTCTCCACACATGGTCAGTACATGATACTATCAAGGCTTATAAAGAATCCGAAGATCGAGATCACCGATATCCATTTTGTCTTCAGTATATTCTCCATATCCCGGGAAACGCAGTTTAAGTAGTTCAATCCCTTCGCCCGGTACAGCATCAATAGCATGTCGCATCTTGCACTTTGCGTCAACGAGGGTCTGAAGATCAGCAGCTTCAAGAAAGACCTTGTATGGAGACTCTTCACCACTGCCGAGCCTTCGTATGGTGTAGATTAACCCATTAGACAGTGAGTACTGGCTGACGAAAACATGATCTTTGCGGTCGTAGCCGTAATATTTTGCGCGATGCATGTAGTTGTCGAAGGTATCCTGCTGCAGCTTAATCTGGGTTTGAGCATGGTTTGATTGATTCACTAATGTTACTGAAGCAAATAAAATCCCACACTTACAGATTGAATGGTAAGCCTCAGGTCGCGTTTCCCCAGGTGGATGTCTTCGTCACCACATGCTGGGAATACGTACTCAGTCCCAACTTGGATCGCGCCACCGAAAATCAATTCGTGGACCATAATCATCTCCCGGTTGTCCTGGTAAACCCGCTGTTCCACATAGATCCTGGGGTCGGGGTGGGTTTTCTCTCTCTCGGGAATGAAAGCAGTCAATCTAACGTACCGGCCCCTGTCGTAAGTCGCATCCGGGTTAAGAATTTCTGTCTCGTCTGGTATGTGCAGTATGGTCAGTCCCCGCTGCTTAACCACTCACGGCGCGATGACCGAGTTAATAGGCCTTAGGACTTTCCCACCAGTAAAGAATACTTTCCTGAAACGGTACCCCGGAATCTCGTTGCGCTCACGGCTTTGATCCTGGCTTCGGGTGAATATTGTGAGGGGATGATTCAGATTAAGACTGTATTCCTTCACCATCTTTCCAATAGGGCCTCTGCAGACAGACTTGCCAAAAATGCATTTCTGCGGCGTCCTCGAGTTGATCCTGCTGTGGCTTCTGGGAGGCGACTTTGATGTCCCCTTCATCACTCGGATTGCTGATCTTTTGCTATGCAAGATGATATTGTCGTCCTCGTCCACATCATGGATAGTCGCTGGTTGCGGTGCAGATTTCATGCCGGATTCCGAGTTGCAGAGGGGTTCACTTGTCCAGTGGCAGCAATACATCTGGAATTTACAAGTGTGCATGGGAAAGTCACGGAATATATGTTCTCAGGGGTAGTCTCCAACTTTGGTCCGAGTCAGGATACCCTGTGGTTGTGATGGTGGTGGCAGTGCCAGACTAAGTGCTGCAAGTGACTGCGCCGCAGAAATAGCCATTGACCCACACAGACCAAGTCGCCAGAAGTAGCGAAAATGATGAAGAGCGACGGTGCAATGTGCCAGTATGATCAGAGCAAACGACTGCCGCATCTCCATTGCCTGAATAAACTCCTCTGGTGTGCTCAAGATCCACAGGAAGATGGTCACCGTTGCCTCGCCGCTATTCTGTACTATTAAGTAGGAAGAGGTAAGATAGTCAATACCAACATTGTATGTCTCTTCAGGCGCTGTTCTGCCCACCTTTCGCTATGAAAGAGGAATTGATGTCCCGCAATGACCGAACAGCTTCAGTATATCGTCCTGAAAGGCTTTTTGCGACATCCTTCCTCCGTGTCAGCGGCCTAAGGCCCCCGCGAAAAAATGGCCGAAGAACTCCAGCAAAACAGACACGGAGCCACGCGAAATGCGGAAGATGTGATACTGGTTTTCAAGGCTGGTGTTGAGCTGTGGTGTTTGCACAACGAGCGGGAAGGACAAAAAATAATACAATAATGAGGTTCGAGGCTGCAAAGACAGCATTGCCGTCAGTCCAGTTTGTTATCTTGCTGAAAGCTTTACTAATTATTGTAGGAATGACATTAATGTGACAGATTTTGAAAACTAGAGCAAAGGGCAAGGAAAGAGGCAAAGTCAAAGACAAAAAGAAAATAAGACTGCTCAGCTATGTAACAATAAAAAGAGCGCTGAGTAGTTTCATAGTGGCCAGATAAGTTCATGATAATATGCAACATAATCATAAACACTAATACCACACTCATTGAGCTTCTCTACAGCAGACTTTCTCTCAGCTTTCGTCCTCTCTCGCACTTCTTGCACCTTTTCTGAGGTCATGAAAGTTCCAACATTGTTCTCTGTTGAGTGCACAGAAGGAGTTGCAGCCCAGTCGCGTTGCTGTGGAGGAACATTCCTCGTGGAACAGATCCAGCAATGGGGGTCAACCAACCACAGAGTAACGAAGCGTAGATATCCTGGGTGAGAAAGATCTTCTAAGCTGAACAGTTCAGCTTTAGACCTCAAGATATTTTGTCACGCCAGGAATTATCCGGATGAGATTGAGATGGCACCCAGAGTCTGCAGTGCCTGTGGAAACCGCCAGGGTTCCTCAGATACCCCTAACCTCATTAAAGAGAATTTCATTATCGACATTGAAAGAATTATCATCAATGAATGCTTCCTGCTCGAAGGATATATTGCACCGCTGATGTTATAGCTTTCCAGTCGGAGTAGGTAAAAGAAATACCTGACTCTGGATAGTGGAAGACGTACCACCAAATCCACTTATCCAGCACGAGGTTAATTACTTTATCTGGGGATTACCGGTCTTCCAGTGCCATACTGGTCAGAAGGTCGTAATCAGGCTCATCATGGAATCGATATTCCCTGGGGTATTCAGGAAGACTTAGGTATTCTTTGACCTTGGAACAAATCTCGTTCCATTCCTCATCGCCGACTGCATTTTGACTGAGGTCGCCTGATTTCAGTATCAGGTGCGAGCAAACCAGCTCAGCTTCTCTTTATTTTCTTCCACATAGTTGTACGTGCGAATCAGAATCAGCATTCGCCTTTGGCTTCCCAGGATACACATTTCATTCCATGGCGCAATGGTGGTCCCTATCAATCCTTTAATTGCTCTGTATGCCTCTCTGTTCTTTAGGTGTATATTATTAGAGTATAAAGTGATGTGAAGTGTCATCATATCACCTTCAAACAATATCTCACATGGCAGCCACTGAAATTCAGTCGACCAGCAATCTTCAGTCATCCGACTTCCGCACCATCTCTTTCTAGTTAATCTCACATAGCTCCCCAGTTAGTTTGATAGGTTTAGTAATGGTCGTTTCCTTCCCAATTCTCTAATTCCAGGTCAACCGCTCCTCCATTCATGAGCACTCGAGTTGAGCCGTACACGAGTGGGTACATGGAAGGATCCACCAGCTGTTGAATAGGCTTCTGGTTACTGCCAGTCGGTGTAGAGCATAACAAGGGCTCAAATCCTTCTTGTATATCCTTGAGTAAGTCGGAGGCGACCAGGATATTCGATTTGCAGACTCCTGAATCCGCATCAAAGACCATCACATAACCGGCGCGCTGGAAATGCGACACCTTGTCCTACAACTGGGGCTGGCACCAGGCCCATGCCTGTCGGCTGAGATTGTACTGGGAGAATGCTTTGGCGCGCCAATTATCCAGTGCCGCTGAATTGGTGACTTCGTTTTCCCATCCCGGTTCCCTGGTCACAGCTTCCATGAAACGCAGCATAGCGACTTCGCGAGCCGCCAATCCTGGATTTTGCGACCAATCTGCGAACCCGTGCGCAAATCGATATTCTCTGGGGTATCCAAAATATAGAAGAACATCGTTAAAGCCAGGAACCTGGAGCGGGCCTTTGCCGGTATGATTCATCATGACTGATGCAAGAGGATCTGCTGATTGGGTTGGAAGAAGTGCAGCGTGTTGATGTTGTAACATAATCCTGCCTAAGAAGGACTTAGATAATAGAGTAATAAGAGGGGGCCTATATTAAGACAGTTGTCCTTAAGACTAAATGTGGATTGATTATCCATCACAGACTTGCTTTGAAGAAATTGGGGTAATTCTTTAGGTAATACTAGGTCTTAAAGCCATACCTGAACAGCTGAACTACATAAAATTAGAGGAAGATTAGAATGCAGTGACTTGGGGGAGAGTTTAGTCTTTTTAACCAGGAGTGATTTTTTCTGGAACAGTCACCTAACTCTCCGGAATCACTACTACCTAGCACAATGCTATTATTCTAGAGCCTGTTCACGCCAAAGACCAGCTAAACTGCGTGTCAGAAGTTGTATTGGGAGAATCCACAGGTGACAAGACCAATAGGCCAGTGAAAGCTCATGTGTTACCGCCGAGATGCTTGGCAGGAGCTGGCTGCGGCACTTTAATAAGAATAACTACCACCTATAAATGCAGTCCTTTAACCGCTGTCCAATCGCTCCCCAAAATATTATAGGTTGGGAAGGCATCGTTCACTTGCACCCCTAGGTACCCTTGACCACTTGGAAGGAGGCCCAATCAATATTAACCTCCATCGACCTCCCTTACCTTGCTTGACGAATCAATACATACCGCGCGCACGCTAACCGCGGCCCTAACCTAGCATATAAGAGAACACCCATGAGGTGAGAAGGGGTGATCAGTCATGCTGCCAACAGTCGCAATGACCCTCATCCTTGACTTGCATGAGGACTCAGCCTCACTCTTCGCCATGATAAAGGGCCGATTTGCCGATGGTGTGCAGTGTGCAGTGGTTCCAGCCTCTACCGTAATAATCCTTTTGTCCAACAGCTCTGCTCAACCTGTCAGCGCGCTGACATTTGTGTTACATACTACTAGGTATGCTACCAGTCCGCTGATGGTACATGATAGGACATGGAGCGCAGAAAGTCGGCACGTAAGGACTCATCCCATCGTCTACCCGCAACCCATGACCTAACTGGTTCTTGTCTTGATAGTTACACCTGAAAATTACACCCGAGCAATCATCTCGCTCTCAAGGAGATATTCGAGCACCTCTGCCTTCCCGGGAAACAATTACGTCGACATTGCAGAATGGATGCTACAAGATCGCAGTCTTCTCAACCCGGCGAAACCGGAAGACCATGCCATCCGTTTCGCTTCCAGAGCCGAACAGCCCCACGATTTGGTAGTAGTATACAATAGCGGGGAGAGGAAGTGGGATGTGCAACAATACAGTCAAGAGCAACATGAAGCCTTTTCCGCTGCCACCTCTGTTCCAGCAGGAGGACCGGGCCAACTAGTCTTCATACGAGGCTTCATATCACCATCATGGGTGTCGGTCATTGGGAGCAAATACAACATCGACCCAGAATTCTTCAGGCGACATATGGATTTCCTTTCTGCGAGCATTGACAGGCATTCATACAGTTTCCCATCACTTGCCAGTTCCTCAAATAACATATTTCGACTTTGTGTGAGCACTCTTCTTCATCGCGATGATTTCGGCGGACAAGATCTCCAGTCGCAGCGGTCAGAGCAATCAACTGAGCTCGGGACATACAAGATACAACTCTGGGGTCCAGTAGAGTCCGCTGCGGAGACTCCCTCGTGCGAGAGTACTCCACTGTGTGCTCGTGCTTCTCTGTGATCGAACAATGGATTTCACTCTGTATCACGAAAACAGATAGAGGCTGGGCTGGTAAGAGTCAATGCTACATACCACGAGAAAAATTATCTGCTGACATGCGCATTCAGTCATTGCCTGGATGGACCAAGGTAGACCCTTGGAAGAATCTCCTCCGGGGCCATGGACAAGTCACATCGAATCCAAGGCTACACCACTACCCATCCTCCAACATCATCCCAAGATGGCGTTTCGAACCACCACCAATCGTCTAGATCCAGATTCGAATGCTTCAGCAGAGATTCAGCAAAGCACGGCCGTTCTTCCCTTGCAGTACGATTCATTGATCGCGCTTGTCGATCTGGCCCGTCGCGCGCCTCAGGATCCGCTTTTCATGTGCATCCCGTTGTTTGCGCATGCGGCTTTCTCCGAAGTTCAGTTCTTGAATCTCATGGAGTCCAGAATCCAAATCCAGATAAACACCATAGCCGAAGGAGTTCCAGCTGACGCGTTGGGGACTCTTCAATACTTCTCCAACATTCTCAACCGACATGCCCAGCAGCTGAAGGATAGTACTCGTGCACTCTGCAAGTTGGCCGAGCGAAGCACTCAAGGACTGAATGCGGTCAAAGCGGAAAGCCCGCTGCCAAAAAGTGCTGGGCCGTCGGGTCGCGGCATGGGCGCACGCCCGCAGACCTCAGAAACTGAGACGGTCAGAAACGTTGGATATAATAGTTTCGACAGTGCCTTTACAACAAAAGGCCTTTTGGAAGACTATGCAGAACTCCACGTGCGTTGCATCGACTTGTCAAAAATGTGCACTCGGGGCATAACTCTGGCAATGAACAAGGCCACGATCGAGGAATCGCGCAAAGCCATTGAGCAGTCTGATTTATATTACAGTATCTAACTTATGCATACGTCTATTTTAGTCCATCCACAGGTTTCCTCAAAAGAAGGATGTCGCATTACGTTAACTACTCCAAACAGCTAGCGAAATGATCTACATTGAGGGGCAGTACATACGTAGTACGTGATTTTTCGCGATTTGAAGCAAAATCGTGCATCAGGTGGGGTCGTGCATTGGGCGGTGAAAGCCAGTAAGACGAAGAGGAGCTACCCCGCCCACGATCCATCTTTCTCCATAAGGCAGACACCCATCCACCAATTTCCTTCTGATTGAACTAAACTCCACAGAAGTTATAATCCCTTCGAAATGCCTGCACCGCCTCAGGCAGAAATCATTGATGGCATTAAGACCTTCATCCCACTCGGTACAAATTTATCCTCCTTTATGTAAAGAGCACGACTGATAAATGTCTCAGAGAACAATCCTGATGTCCTGAAACTTCTCTGTGAGAATCTCCAGATCTCATGGGATCTCGACTTTCATGACGTTATCTCAACCTCTCCAGCATTCCTTCAAGAGTGCTATTTCCGACCTTGTCACGCCCTTATTGTCCTCGCGGACCGGCCTATATATCAAGCTGCCCGCTCAGCAGTTAAGCCAACCATATCAGAGTACAAAGGTTCAGGTCCCAATGAACCAGTTATATGGATGAAACAGACTATCGGCCATGCTTGTGGGCTGATGGCTCTCCTGCACGTAGTCTTCAACCTGGAAGGTGGTCGATATGTGCGCCCCGGCACGGCAATAGACGCACTCCGTCAACAAGCTATTCTTCTTGGGCCCACAGAGCGAGCGCAGTTGCTGTATGACTCCAGTTTTCTTGAAGAGGCGCACATGGATGCGGCATCGCGTGGATCTTCGAATGTCCCCTCACCTCGAGAGGATAATCAACACCATTTCTTGGCCTTCGTGCAGAAGGATGGGAAAGTCTGGGAGTTGAATGGAGGGATGAATGGACCCTTATTCCGAGGAGTACTCGGTGAAGGGGAGGATCTCTTAAGTGAGCGAGGGCTGGAGCTCACTGCTCAAGACTTCTTGATTGCTGCTGAACAGACTGGATGCGATGAGATGAGTATCGTCGCAATCACTGGGGCTGACGCTGTGGTACAAGGTTGACCATGAGAAACATAGCTTCGAGAGGCTGGCAGTTACATTATCATGATTGCATCTGGGTTGTGGAGCAATGTCCAATAAAAAGGGGCAGTGAAAACCGTTGATGGTCTGTCCACCGCTCGAGGAAACGTTCAAGTCACAGCAGTTATGTGGAGACTTGATACAGAAGCTTCTGAAAATCTACCGACTCTAAATGTAGATTATTTTACTAACTGTTTGTAGCAGTTCAATGCGATCTTCTTCTAAGAAGATCTCCTGACACGGTAAAATAAAAATACATAGTTATATTACTGAGTAGGATAAAAAGTTACATACTGTAATACATATACAATACTATGTATATTTCATGGTCTATAACCTGGCAACTTACAGCAGCCCTCGTTTAAAAGTAGGCGACTCAAGAAAAATTTCAGACTAAGGCCTTGGCAGTGGGGCAAGAAAAGAGTCATCAATGTTTGTTGGTCAAACCGATTTCGAGAATGACTATATTTGGAAAGGCATCCTTATGTTGCGCCCCCGTCTGACAACGAATTACTAAACGGGCCTGTAATGGAGCAACAAATGTACTGGAGCCCGAAGTTAGTGCGTGACGTGATTGAGACAATTTCGCAGGCGAGGCACAATGAATAATACCTAGATCATAATCATAATAAATCCTCCTGTGGCGTCGGAGGCTTGACGACAGTCAGCACCGTCGCTTTGTGCACTGGGTTATAAATTGGTCCCCTGCTCATTTGTAGCTAAGCCTTATAATGATCAGACAAATAGTGGGGAATAACCACTACTAGGTCCGCAGAAAAATGAAAATCAAAGAGGGCCTTCTTGGACTGGGGATCTAATCTGGGAGATAACTGGCGACAAGACTGGTCTCTTGAACCTTCATCGGTGTAGCCAAGCCCACAACAGGGAGTCATGGCGCCGAGGAGCTGGTTTAACAGGTTACAATGTGATGATATGGCTAATTTGGGATAGAGATTGGCGTGCAAGTTTGCCATTGTCGAGATTGTCATTCCAAGAATGGAGTCTGCGGAGAAAAAAAGGCAAATAATGCCCACTGGCGGCGGACAGTCAATCTGGGGGGTGAAATGTCCTTCTTGAACAGTGCCATAGGCCACATACAGAAAGGTCTGTAGTTACTGACGCCCCTGTATAAAAGGCCAGTTATGTATCAGCGAGTCATCCGGTTCCATTACGCCACAGGAAGTGGGAATGTCGAGATGTGCACCGGTTCAAGACACGACTGGTTACGGCTTGTCCAGCGCTCTGCAGGGACTTTCGCGCATCATGGCAGATGCCTAAGTCATATGAGGGAGCACCTGGTCTCCCCACGGACGCAGTTACCTTCACCATTTGCGGGCACCAAGCCTTCGTGGGAGTCAATGTTGATGCTAGGTTACGACTTTCTCGAACATTTAAGTGACACACGATCAAAATTAGACCCAGATCTGGTGGGTGAAGTGGTCTAGATTCGTTGCCTTGGAGCTATCGGCATGCTTGCTGATGTACTTTTTCTAGACCACCAACAGGCCAATGTTGATAGTCTGCCACAGCTTAGGGGGCATTGTAGTCAAACAGGCTTTGTGCGTCGCTAACAAACAGTTTCCTCGGTATGGACCAATTGCCAACGCCGTAGCTGGCGTTATGTTCCTAAGCACCCCACATCGCTATGGCGACAAGACCACGAGCTGGAATAGGTTTCGAGACATCTTGGATGCAACGACTGGTAGGAACCTCAAGATTCCAAGCGCTACTATCGAGCAAGAAGGCTCCATTTTGCTCGACCTCGCAGATAGATTCGAAGGAATCTCGTTCCGTACCCCCATACTATCCGTCTATGAACTAAGAGAATCGAAAAACAGTTCAACACCATTGCGCCCGAAATACCAACAAGTCAGTCTCAAGCCCCTGGTCGAGCTATGAGCGCTAACTCGGATTCTAGTTGGTCAACTGTGAAGCTTGTTCGACTCATGCTCCAATGGAAACAGTCATTGGCCTCAATCTCAATCATCATGATACATGTCTTTTCACCAGGAGCGTTGGCGGCGAAGGCTTACCTGAACTCAACAAGTTTATCTACGAGACTTTGCACAACGCTGCGCAACTTGTTACACTTCGATTCGCGGACCGTAGGTTACGAAGGTATCGGAAAGCTGCAAAATGGTGCTAATGGTTTCAGAGGAATATCAATACGCAACGATGAGCGCTTACTCGCCCACGATGAGCGAACTACCACTCAAAGGTAAGCCTAAGATCCGTGTTTCAAAAAGTCACCATACTGAGGTTAATTAGCTGAGCAAATGGAGCTTACCGAATGGCCTTCGAACAAGGCAACCGAATGGCCTTCGAACAGAGCAACAGAAGGAACATCTCTTTCAGGGTTTGAGTTGGTATATCCTACAACACCAAAACCTGAGATTCGGAGAACCCTTCATCTACCCTGCTACCTTCTCAACATGCATTCGGCAAATGGGGATTTCTGCGGCCGCGAAGATATCTTGGAGCGTCTTGCGGCCGAGCTCTTGCCTTCGCAGAACATAGTGACAGCGTCGGGCACCGCTCTACGACAATTTGCGCTTTGCGGATTCGGTGGGATAGGAAAGACGGAAATAGCCCGCGAGTTCTCCCGACGTCACAAAGCTTGCTTTGATGCAGTATTCTGGGTCGTGGCGGATGAGATTGCGAAACTTGACCACCATTACCAGCAAATCTCGTTAGCACTAGGACTCGAAAATTCATCCGAGTGCAAGAGTCAGGTTGTCAGCAGGGAAATTGTGAAAGGATGGCTCTCCAATCCCCGAAAGCATCTATCGGGGTCGGATGAGCTTTCTCAACCTGGTCAAACTAGGTCAGAAGCGACCTGGCTACTTATATTCGACAACGCAGACGACCCAATGATCCTGGCGGACTACTGGCCCCAGGGCAGTGGATCAATTCTTATCACTAGCCGCGATCCATTGGCTAAAAGCATGTTTACGCGAAGACCTTCAGGCCTGGATCTTGGTCCACTTTCACAGCAAGACAGCCTATGTCTCTTCAACCATCTCACTAGCATTTCCAACGAACCAGAAGACACTACAGCGCGGCAAATCTCCGATGCACTTGGTGGCGTCCCTCTGGCTATCTCCCAGATGGCTGGTATCATCCGTCGCCAGGACCTCACCTTGTCAGAGTTCTTCGAGCTGTATACCGATCATGAAGAACATGCCAGTCTTTACGAGACAAAATTCGATACCAGTTTGGTCACATACCGTCACTCTCTCTCCACTGTTTGGGCATTTGAGAAGTTGAAGCCCCAAGCTCGACAGTTGTTGGAGCTGATTTCATTTCTTGATCCAGATGTCATTCGAGAAGACTTGTTGATGGAAGCATCGGTGGAACTGCTTTCCGACGGCGCACAGTTCAAAAAGAGTAGCTATATCGAGGCCCGATCTGATCTTTTGCAGTCATCTCTGGTCCAAAGAGATAAACAAAAGCAGCAGATATCGGTCCACCGTGTTGTGCAAGATGTAATCTTGGCAACAATGGATGTTGCGAAGAGACGGTTCATGTTTGACAAAGTCGTCCGAATTCTTTGGGCTGACTGGCCATCGGCTATGCCCAAGCCATCCAAGGAGCCAGAGCTACCCCAGCCCAAATCAAGCGGCGGCAGGCTATATGTTGGAAGGTGGCCTGTTTGTGCGGCGATTTAACCCCACGTTCTAAGGATACATCAGCTCTGGTCAGCCATTTCAGATCCCTCCGAGGCTACCAGGTTGCTTTTTGCAAAGCTACTGAATGAGGCTGCATGGTGCGTATACGATATTCAGTCCTTTTCCTTGCTAGATTGTCTAATATTACCAGGTATCAAAAAGAGCGTGGACGAACAAAGCAATTTGACGGTTTCTTCTCAATTGCTCGCAGTATCTGCGACTCCTCCACACACCCAGATCGGGATTCCCTACTTGCAGATATTCATTTCTGCTTAGGAGCTATCGCCATGGATGCGAGCGATTTCGAAACAAGCCGCATTCACAAGGAACGTTCTCTCGATCTAGTTTCCAACATCTGCAAACAACTGGGCACTGCAGACGAGAGACTATACCTCGCCTACGCAGAGCGAGGGATCTCACGCATTCAGGATAGACGATACGAGGAAGGTGAAGCCGACCTCAAGGAGGCGCTGCGGATTCGAAAAGCCCTCGGCAACTACATTCCCCGGTCGGGCGAGGCCAATCTGAGCTGGGCTCTTCTTGCGCAGGGCAAGCTTGAAGAGTGCAACACGCTTCTTCTGGACAGTTTGGCGGGCAGAGAAAAGGCTTTGGGCAAGGATGATAGGGAATCCGTCCGGACTGGGTTGATACTTTATGCGCTTGGCAACCTCCGCGCTGCGCAAAATCAATGGGATGAGAGTTTTGAATACCACCAGAGAGCGTGGCACCACATGCGCGCAACGGTGGGTGAGAGAGATTTCTACACTGCAAATGTCGCCCATAAGCTTGCCGAGCATCTTATCCGCTCAGGCCGGAGCGAAGAGGCGATGTAAGTGCTGCCATTTTTACCTCAGGAGCTAGACATTTCTCTGACTTCTCTTAGTGCTATGATCAACGGGGCGCTGGACATCTGGTCTGTTGATCCGAGCGCACACAAGAACGAGATTGCTCGCACCACTTTCCTCAAGGGCAAATTGTTCGAGGCGACGGGCAAGATGCAAAAAGCTTCCATTGCTCTTCGAGTTGCCTGTCGCCTGAGGAAGGAGATTACCAAGGAGGATCGAGATGTGAAGAGCTTGACGGCAGAAGACTTTGACGAAATTGTTGCTTTTTGGGCTCGTTGATGAGGCCCCTTTTTCCTTTGTATGCTACCAGTATGCGAGTAAGATGATCATGACTGATGTGGTTTCAGTTTGTCCTTCGAGTCACGACTACCAGGACCAAGTTGCAATCCGAGGAAGTAGATCCACAGACTAGAAGCTTTCCTACAATAATACAATATCTCTATATATCGCTCGTTAGCATTAAACAATGGCAAGGAGCCCAACCACAAAAGACTTCAACTGAACGAGTATCTTGCACATTAGTAGGTTGTTTTTGGAACTGTCATTGTAATGCTCTCGGCGCTATCGCACAGTCACTGCATGGTTACATGGGACGGATATGTACTCAGAAGGCTTGGGATAAGACCGTGCCATGCCACCTTCTGCTGACGGTGATATACCATCCCCGACCGGGCATGGCCAGGCTAGGCCGAACTGGGGGACGGACGCTAAATAAAGCTATTGCCCATTTAAGCAATACAAGTTGGATTCCGCGACCCGAATCCCAACTCAGATCTCATCCCTCATTTCGGATCAAAGTTGGCCTTCATCCAGTACCCATGGCTCCCCTTAAGACAGAGTAAGTGCCTTCCAACCGAGACATCGGTGTATGCCCTTTAGCACGGCATGATAATCATCAACATGAGAGTAGGACCATAAAACCCAAAGCTAACGAGACTGCCACCAGCTTCCCCGCAATCCGCGCCTGCATTTTCGACATGGACGGGCTTCTCATCAACTCCGAAGACATAATCACTCTATGCACGAACCGACTTCTGGAAAAGTACGGCAGGCCTGCCTTTACTCCATCGATTCGAGCCCAGCTCATGGGGGTCCCAAACTCGACCAACGGCGACGTGTTCCACAACTGGGCCAAGTTGCCCATCTCGCGCGAGCAATTCGCCCGTGAAACTGAGTGAACAAATGCGACTGCATTTCCCGAGCTGTACACCGCTGCCTGGCGCGGAGAAGCTTCTGTCGAACCTCAGCCGTGCACGCAGTGCTTCTTCCGGGGACAGGATCGAGCTGGCCCTGGCATCCAGCACCAAGAGCCATAGCTACGAATTGAAAACTTCGAGGCCGGAAACGAAACGGCTGCTTGGCTTTTTCCGGCCTGACAGGCGGGTCCTGGGTGATGACCCACGAGTGCGACAGGGTCGAGGGAAGCCAGCGCCGGATATATATCTGGTCGCGTTGCAGGCGTTGAACTCTGGGGAGAATTCTGGCGGAAAAGCCATCTTGCCCAACGAATGTTTGGTCTTTGAAGATAGCGTGGCTGGGGTAGAGGCTGGACGACGGGCTGGGATGAGGGTTGTTTGGGTACCGCATCCAGATGTGGCGGCCGAGTATCAAGCGCGGCAGAAGGATGTGTTGGCTGGGAGGACGGGAATGATTGAAATTTATGACGGCTGGACTGAAAGCATACCGAATCTGGAACACTTCGATTACGAGAAGTACGGCATTGATGTATAGTTCTAAGTAAGTTTATATCCGATCCAAATTGGTCCTTTCCACGGAACGACGGGAATCTGCTCCCACGGCGCAGGATGCAGGGTGGAGAATCTATCTATTAATATGAACGAAATGCAGATGTAGCTAGAGACAGACCGCATCTATCTATCTACTGTGTGGCCGGTGGATTATCTGTCTATCTATTTGACGCTCTTGTGGTAGATAGAATGTAGGTATGCGCTATTTAGATTGGCACCAATACAGCTACCTCTACACCCTAAGATATGCTTCGTTTGCAAAGGTACCAGTGACGCCTCCTTAAACATTCCTTTCGTTCTCGCAATTCTTTCTTTCTTACCGTCCATCTGAGCTACACCAAAGACCGCCTCAATAACAGGGTCTGGCTGCCGTCTCGAAGCATACACCTAGCAAGCCATCACTAGATATAACTGGTAAAACACGAGACGTACGTCCTTGTATTCTGAGGACGCTAGCCAGTGTTATGTTGCTTTCTTCTGGGATGTTACAGCCTTGTTCCCCTGGCCCATTGGGGTCTAGAAACACTTGCTTTTCATAGTAGCGTGCAACAGGGCAAGAATCCAAGAAGTGAACCTGATGACGTCTTCCATTTATTTACCTTCATCCCCTGAGTAACAGACTTCGCATTCCCCTGGCATCAGCCCTAGAGAGTGGTGTTTGCCCGGCCTTATCAGAAGCCCGAATGTCAGCGCCCCAGCCAACCAATAACTTGGCCACTGGCCTGTGTCCATTCTCAACCGCCCAAGCTAATGGTGTGAGGCCAAACTTATCCTTGGCTTCAATATCTCCACCTTTGTCGTGCAACAATTCCACAAGCATCTCATGTCCATTCCTTGCAGCCCACCATAGTGGTGTCTCCCCGTGAACAGTTCTCGCGTGGATATCGGCACCATGGTCAACCAACAGCCGAGTGATTGTGATGTGGCCTCCCCGGACGGCCCACAGAAGTGCTGTATTGCCAAAGGGATCCTTGGCCTCAAGGTCTGTGCCCTGCTTGAGTAGCAGCTTGGCTGCAAGCGCATGGCCATTCTTCGCGGCCCATAGGAGGGACCGGTTCGACTGATCGGTGGATTAGACATCTTTGCTCCTTCCAAGGAGCAGCTCAAGTAGGGCCTTTTGCCCATACCCTGTAGACCACATAAAAGCTACCTGTCTGAGAAGGCCTTCCTGATTGATAGTGGTGTCGCGCTCTATGAATCGCTGAGCTAGCCCCTCGTAGCTTTCTCTTACAGCCCACAGTAACGGCGTCGGCATCGGTGGAGTTTGGTCCTTAAGGTCTTTATCTTTGCCTGGGAATAGGTTCACCGTGTCGTCAGTCTGTGTTCGTGCAGCCCATGAGAGAATATCCTCAATGAACTTTTCCTTTCCCGTGTGATCGCCGCTCCAGTCCAGCAGTAACCTGACCATTCCTTCGTGGTTATTCTCCACAGCCCAGAAAAATGCTGTTCTTTCGTACTTATCTCTAGCATCAATAACCGCACCTTTCTCAAGCAGTATTCTAGTCAGTCCCTCGTGCATATTCCTCACTGCCCACATTAAAGGCGTCTGGCTGGCAGCATCTCGGACCTCCGGATTTGCCCCCCGCTCGAGAAGAATCTTCGCGATCACCAAATTTTGATTCCCGACAGCCCACCATAAAGGAGTTAGCCCCTCGTCATCGGTAGCGTTGAGGTTCGTCTTGGGATTTGCGGCCAGCAAGCCTGTGATCGCAGCATGTCCAGTCTGGGCCGCCCATAACAGCAATTGTTCCTTGCTTGCATCTTTACAATCAGGGTTAGCGCCTTTTTCAAGTAACAGCTCAACCATGTCCGGATGGCAATTCTGGACGGCCCAAGATAACGGTGTTCGACCCCCGGCGTCCTTTGACTCTAGCTTCGCTCCCCTGTCCACGAGAAGCTCGACAACAGCGTGGTGCCCGTTACCAGCAGCCTGTGAAAGCGGCGTTCGTCGTGTTGAACTCTCTCTGGCCTCCAGATAGGCTTGCTTCTCGGCCAGGATCCGCAGGACGTGCCGGTGGCCATGACAGGCAGCCAGCCAGAGGGGTGTAACTTGGGTCTTGGACGGGAGATCCACTCTCGCGCTCTCTGAAAGTAGAAGCACGGTCACAACGTCTCGATGCCCCTTGCTAGCTGCATGGTGTAACGCAGTATATCCCTCTTCGTTCTGTAGGTTCAATTGGCAGATGGGTAGGAGGAGCCTGACGACGTCGGCCAGCCCAAGTTTTGATGCAACGTGAAGCGCAGGAAGCCGCTCATCGATCAATGGGAGGTTACAGACCTCCCGTATGTCTCGGCCGGAAGCGAGCGCCCATCTCCAACAACGGGATGTGTCCTTCCTTGACGGCCCAGCCGAAGAGGCCATGTAGACGTGAGGATTGTGAGCGGCCGCCGACCACCCAGGGGTGGAAATTCCAGGTTTCGTTGAAACACAACGAGATCTGCTTAAATCTCTCCCAAAGTGGAGATAAGAAAGTGATCTTCTTGGTCTGCAAGGTCCAGTGGGCGGCTGCGTAGTCCAGAAATTTGTATTGCGAACGATCTGCAATAGTGGCTGACCGGATCTGTCGAAATTGTAATTGTGTGGGACGTTTGGGATCTGGCCCTCGTCCCCAGAATAATCTAGCCAAGGGAGATGCCAATGCCTCGCCGGCGAGCAGCTTAGGATCCGGGACTGTTACCGCTGCGGTCTCGTTGGCTGGCTTCACCAGTTGGAGGTTGAAGTTGGAGAATGACAGATACACCACACAGAATTCTCCGCATTGGAGCTCGCCTTGCTTATCGGATTTCGGGTATCCTGGAATAAAGCTTGCTGAATCCTTCTGCAAGTACGTCTTGACGGAGGGATGCGCAAAGCGAACACAATAATCAGAGGGATCGACCGCCACGAGATTTGCACAGCACCCAATCACCACATCCGCTCGGGGGATCTTTCCGGCGTCCCATACCACGTCCTGCAGATCAAAGGCTACGGCCTCTTTTAATTAGTCGATATGGAGTGGTCTCGCGGCAAAACTCACCCACTGGAGGACTCGCAGCGCATAAGGATTGGTAAAGTTGATTCTTCGGACACAGCGACGGTAGGTCTCCTCCAGATCTCTCGGAAGATCTCGCAACGCTGACCGGATATCATTGTCCGTGAAACAGTCTTGCCACAGAATCTCCAACTGCAGATAGACCCAAAGGAACCTGATTCAATTAGCTTTCGGTGGGATACAAAATGAGTCATCTCTGAGAGCCGTGGAAGGTTTGATTCATACATTCCTGATGATTCCATCAGAAGGATCTGCTTCACCTCATCCAACAAGGGTAAATTGTCAGTAAGCTTCCGACTCATCGATTTATCGGTGACACTCGTATCAATGTAGGTCTGAAGATCTGGCATCACGTTAGACGTAGTCGAAATTTGATGAATGCCTGCCATGAACATGGGGATGCCTGTGTATCCAGGCAGTTGTTCCCTGCTGAGAACGAGTATTCGTGACCCTGGTCGCGTTCCTGGACCGCAGAACAAGACCTTAAAGACCTCGAAAAGGTCTTTACTATGATCCGGGTTCAATGCATCGAGTCCGTCAATGATATACACTACGTCGGGGACGTGGTAGAATAACTGGATGAAAACGTCCTTCAAATCGTCAAAGTCGGGAACCACTCGCTTCTTCCCGAAAAAGTGGTTCAGCGCGTCTGCCACATCATTGGGGCAGCTTCTGTTCTTTACAAGGAGGTGCTCGCATAGTTGTTTGATAAGACTGGAAAGGATATAGGATCCATTGAGCTCATCAGGCCGGTCACTCTCACAGTAGAAGAAGACAGTTGGAGCAGAGTGTTCCGCCAATCAATATTTGGCTGCATCGATGGCTGCCGTCCTATGGTACGATTAGTCTATCTATCAGGAGGTGAAGAGCGAAGGCATTCTGACGCTATCATCATTTTACCCGAGCCAACTAAACAAGAGTGATGGTCAGTGGTGATCGCCATCAAGTCCTCTCAGGGGATGCTCACTTTGCCCAGAACACCACAGAATCGAGAATTTCTTCTCCACCAGCCATACCTTGAAGTCGCAATGATCCAAGAACCACTGCGCTGTCCCCATGAGTCGTTTGCGAGAAAGTCGCCGGTGAACTTTCCCATGCTCGTAGGTTGAAATCCGCCTGAATAGCGTTTCATCATCGAGATCATCTGCAATGGATTAGTATGTGTGAGATGCAGAAAGTAGGATCCTGCCCACTCACCGTTTTGCCAGGTCAACCAAGTTGATGACCCTCGCGGTTTGGACAGGGTCTTGCTGCTATGGACGACTGGCATCCTTTTAGTCAGATACGACGAGTTCACAATCTGGTGGGCACAGCCCACATACCGTCAGTGACCGACACAGCTGAAGGTGTCTCTGCGACGTGGACGGCATGTACCACGGAGAGAAGCTCCTTGGCGTATGCAGCTGCGGTCGCAGCTGCATACTCCTGCCATTGGTTATTCTTATGAGAATCGGCATAGTCACAGATGCCTCGAATCACTAGGCATGGGAACGTGTCCATCAGGCCGGCCGCCTCCATCTCAAAGCACAGGATCCCCAGTTCCCGGGCCAGTCGGTCTCTGGTCCGACCATCCTTGATGACCTGGTTACCAGATGCGATCAGTCCGTAGTGGATAACAGGGTCGTTTCCATTCCGTGGTGCCCGGGTAACTAGCTGGTGCCTATCACAGTGATCGCATGTTGTCGCAGAGTGGGTATGATCGTACTTGACCTTAAACAAGAGATCGGCTCTGCCCCTGTCATGCGTGAACTTTTCCCTCATGTGTGGATGTCGCATCGCCATGTCTGCGATGAGGTCAGGAATACGACTTTTCTCCGTGATGTGTGCAGCTTGTAGCCTTGACATGGCTGTCAGGAGCACTGGTGGGGGCTTGTTCAACACCCCCGTCCGTTTAAAGTGGCCGCCGCTCACGGTCTTTCCATAATCATATTGGATCACTCCCCCTGAATCCCGCGTTGGTTTGCTGACTACGACATCTCCGAGTCGAATATCATTGTCTGCACTAGGGACTCCCCCTCCAATTCCAACCATGAGTCCAAAACAGATGCACTTGAAGGTAAGCCGCATCTGAGCCGCTACGGTGGCAGCGGAAGTCGTCCCGTAAACCCCCGCCGGAATTGTCGTCGCCTGGGCGGGTGGGTAAGTCAGAATGCCTCTCGTCCAGCATCGCCTCGGCGGCTGCCATCTCTAAGGGAAGGGCGCAGATCCATGCCACTGTATAATCGTGGGATTGGTGTAAGGGCGTTGATACTGCGGCCATTTGTATCTCCACCATGCATTACTCCTTGCATGGCCCCAACATTGGCTATGATGAATAGATTCGACGGTTGGAAGTCTGCGGGATCTTGATGGCCAGGTTGAACAGATGGAGACCCCTCAGCCTCGCCCCGCTCCGTTCGAGACTTTGCATGTATCGAGTTATCACGTCGACACCACATCCCTGCCGCGTGTGGTGGAAAAGACCAATCATTTTCACTCAACGACGGATGACATGTCAATGGCGACCAGAAGCGGCCTGAGTCGCCAGCAGAATTTGCAGCTCATCTCTATCCCATGCTCCTCTTGGTAAGAACATCAACGCATTACAAAGCTTCATATACATCATTACTATCTGCCATAATTTCGATAGTCACTTGGATTTTGCTTGCCATCTCTGTTTAGCAATGGAAGATGAGTAACTTCTGGCTAGTTAGAGGGCGTCGCGCAACAGGACTTTTATAATTCCACATCTTTTCTGAATTCCCGTCAGAATGATTGACCTATTAGTGTCTGAAGAGGGATATATGATACGAAAGGAGGATACCCTAATACAGTGGGGTGCAAAAAGTATTCGACCACCCCTACCTTACCGCCTACCTTCTCCTGGCAGAAAACCACCAAACGCGTAGATATCCATTACTTACCTAGAATATCAACAACTTCAAAAGCTATCAAGGACCATGCCTAACCCGGTGAAGGCAGTTATTGAGGCAGATGGTTGGTTTACGAAATACCTTAGTTATAACGGAATCAAACTCGTTCCTAGTTAGGTTTAGCTAATAATAGGCGGTAAGGTAAGGTGGTCGAATACTTTTTGCACCCCACTGTATCGTCCAATCACATATACTGAAGCCTATAGTAATACTTCCTTGAAGAGCTCCACTAGTTACTATTTACTCATGGGTAGTCAATACTCTAGCTCCAACCACAGACATTTAAACACAGTGTAAGACTACTCTAGATCACGCAGTCCTGATATATTTGTGCCACCAGTATACTGGCCTATCTGAGAAAGACCCTCCTGAGTATTGGCCTGTTTGCTTTTGTCCATCCAGGACATCCCTAGACCTCGTAAGGAGTCGCGACTCGTCAGGTTCGATTCGACTCGGAACCGCCAAGACTCGGGTCAGGTTCTAAGATCTGGAAGTCGCGATCCGACTCCAGGATTCTTAGAGTCGAACCTGACAGGTTCGACTCGAACCTCAGGTTCCACAAACAGTGCAAATATAGGAAATCTCATGATATGCATATTTTGTGCAGTTTTTGTCTGTATTTTTATGTATTTGGTTTACAATTTAGGCGAGAAGGTTAGATTAAAACGATTTTAGTATAGAATCACATGAGAGCTGTTTCATTCCAATGGAGGCCGTTGAAATATATTCAAAGAAATGCTGATCAGGATGGTGGTGTAGTACTCACTGGAAAATATATTTTCTCGCTTCATACACCACATCAACCACAACTTCTACTAGAATTAACTACTAAGGACCCTAAGGCCACTAAATCTCATCAGATATAACCTTTTCTATGCTATATATTCTATATACAGACAAATTTCATATAATTTCACAAGGGATATGGCGACATCGCGTGGTTTATAGACGTTGTGACCAGAACAGCGGTAAATTACAGTACAAAATCTAGATGAATCATCATTTTATCCATCCGAAATAGGAAAATCTTGGTAAAATTATGTAAACCAGGTTCCGTCAGGTTCGAACCTGAGCCGAACCTGATGGAACCGCGACCCGACTCAGGCTCCAAGATTTGGAACCTGAAAACCTCAGGTTCAGGTTCGAGGTTCCGACTTTTGGAACCTGAGTCGGACCATTTCGAGGCCTAGACATCCCAGAGAATCTTCCAGACCAGAAGGATCACGTGGATTTCTAGGATCTATTACCGACATCCCACCTCTGCCTTGTTAGACGCTGTGGACCAGAAGGGGAAGAAGTGGGAGGCAGGCACAGTATGACAAGACTTACTGCCATAGATGGACTAAAACATGGTCCTAAGCAAGTCCTGCAGCGTTAGCGCTAGCAAGAAGTAGATTATCGAGCCATTTTCTGATGAGATGAGTAACAGGGTCAACAAGGTCAGAAGAGCATCCACCTTAAGTCCATTTATACTGTCTGACGGGCTGACTGTCAGATCCATTAGGTTTATAGGAGTGCCCAAGAACGGCACCTTTAGTTCTAAGGAGATCATGCTTAAATCCAGGCCGACCAATCATAGCCTGGAACAGCACCATCATTTCTATCCATATCCTGTCAGATCCACTGCCTAGCCTAGGTAGTTCTGGGTCTGCAGAGGATCTCTCTCTTCTTGCCAACATGTTTCACCATGTAAATAGTTCACAGAAGGTCATGAGGGAACATATCTATTTAAACCAACACATCTCTCTTATTGTCTTGCTTCACCATCGTCCATCCTCCATTTTCCATCCTCAAAATGCCTTTCTATAACACGTATCCCGGCTTTCTTTATCGCCAGTTCCTGGTCTGCCCTTCCAAGGCCCCGTCCACCACCTCTCTTCGCGGCAAAGCCGGTCTGGCGACAGGCTCCAACACTGGGCTGGGCTATCAGGCCTCCGCTCAATTGCTCGCGCTCGGACTGTCCCATCTAATTCTGGCCGTCCGCAGCGCCTCCAAGGGTGAAGCTGCCCGGAAATCCCTTCTCGCCTCGCTTCCCGCTTCTCCTAAACCTCCCGTGGTCGAGGTCTGGGAGTTAGATCTAGGCAGTTACGCCAGTGTGATGGCCTTTGTGGAGCGCCTGAAGCAGTCCGACATTCAGATCGACTTTGCTCTTCTCAACGCCGGTGTTGCCAACTTCCACTACACCGTGAACCAATCTACGTCCCATGAGACGAGTATTCAGATCAACTGGCTGAGCACTGCTCTACTTACTTTGCTGTTGCTGCCCGTTCTCGATAGCCAGGCCTCCCAGAATCTTAACCGGGCTCGTCCGGTGATTTCTATTGTCGGCAGTGAAACCGCTGCCTGGGCCAAATTCAAGGAAGCCCATGTCTCTACCAAGCAGGGAATCCCACTAATCGACGTGTTGGACGACCCGAGCCACTTCAACATGGGCGATCGATACTATACCTCGAAGCTGCTGTACCAGCTCTTCTTCCTCGAGCTGTTCAAGCACCGATCCAGCGCCAAACGCTCCACGGGCGCCATTCTCAACCTGGTCAATCCCGGTTTCTGCTATGGCTCCGAGCTGCACCGCACGGCCGAGGGGGCCTTTGGAAAGGTCCTCAGCGGCATGAAAAGAGTGATTGGTCGATCGGTCTCTATGGGAGCCCGTACCCTGGTTCACTCATCAGTGTTGGCCGGCGACCCCTCCAATGCCAGTGTTTGAGCGACTGCAAGTTAGCCCCATTTGCGGGATATGGCGATAGTGACGCTGGTAGAATCACGCAGGGCCAGGTTTGGGATGAGACAATCTCGGAGGTGCGGCAGGTGATGAACGTTAGCCAGCTTTTGTCGGAGATTTAATTTTCTTCTTCCTTGATATGTATGTTTAGATTTAAGTGATTACTCTTCAAATGAGAAATATTCCACAATATTCCAATCAAAGAGTACCCCAGACAATGTGCTGACTAACAATCCCTGTTCCTCGGCCATCTTACAATGAATAGGGAGTCGGGACAACCCCCCGCTAAGATGACTGTGATTCTCCTTTGTCCTTTTTATCATGGCTTCAACTTCAGTGGATGCGGTCCCCCCATCTCAACTGTTACATTATTTGCCTACTTACCAGGTTCTGATCTGCCTACGCTGCCGCTACGCCATCCAGCCTGGGGCAGTCGCGCGCCATCTCAAGGAAATCCATCATGTTCATCGGTCAGCTCGTCAAGCCTTTGTCGACTATGCCTCCGAGTTTGAGTTATCTCAGCCCAATGATGTTGTCTTGCCCGATGAAGCCCAGTTTCCAGTGCCTGTTCTACCGGTCCAAAATGGAATAGCCTGTTCTTTTGAGGGTTGCGCTCATCTTTGTGCCACCACCAAACATATGAAGCAGCACTGGAGGCTTGTGCACCATATATCTGCCTCGGATGGGAGCGGTTTCTGGAAACCAGTGCCGTTGCAGACCTTCTTCCGGGGAAATGCCCTCCGGTACTTTACCATAGGCCTGCGGTGCGACTTCCTTCCAGTGGGTCTGAGCCTGGGCAGCTGCTGATGATTTGGTATGTCGCTTAAGGGCTGCATATGACCATAAGTAAAGGGGAGACAGGGTTTGGTTCGCGCCTTCTTTGGCGGCCTGGTCTGCTGCTTCATTGCCGGGGATGCTCGCATGTCCAGGGACCCAGCGGATCCGGATTGGGCCATTCTCAGTTAATGGGTGTGTTTGGCGGGATATCCAGGTGGCAGCGAGTGTGCGGAAGTCCTCGAAGACTTCCTGTGACGAGCCGGTGGTTGAGGATAGAAGCTGGATTGCTACTTCCAGGTTGTCCAGACATATCCATATGTTAGGTGCTGCATGGGAGCCTAGGTGCTTTATAGCGGCTTTTAGTCCTAAGAGAGCTGCTATCGCTTCTGCGTCGAAGACCTCTTTATTAGGACCCAGGGGGAATGAGCCGCGTAAGACCTGACAGCCAGCTATGAATCCAACAAACCCTGCGCCTGTTTGTCCATTATCTTCTTTAGATCCATCAGAGTAGATGACGATGTCGTTTTCAGGGATAGATTGGAGGAGTGTTCGGAAGTTGTCTGCGGCTTGCTCTTTTGTGAGGCCTTCTAGGGCCCTAACCCGCGCTAAGGCTGCTTCCCTCGGTTCATGCTCAAGCCAGGGTGGGTGGATCAGTGGGTTAACCTGTTCTGAGTGGGGTAACATTAGTACCCGGCGTGCGAATCAGCTGGTTGGATGGCCTTTCTGTATAATAGCTTTGGCCCGTTTCTGAAGCAGGTGATCCGGATCTAATCAGGAGAGACGCATAGACGCTGTAAGGACGATCTGATCCAACTCGATTTCTGGGGGGTAGAAACCAGATTCACGGTGTAGAATAGGTATTGGGGTGGTGCGGAACACTGGGAGAACTGCTCTTGCTCCTGGATATGTCTCGATCAGTTCACGTCCCATGGCGTACCACTGGGCCCCCTGCCCAGTGAACACGAAGCCAAGTCTTGGTGGTCCCGTTGCGTGTTGGAGGGCAGCTGGGTCCTGCTCAAGTCTTTCGATCAGCTCTGTCGTACTCGATGCCTGGTATGCTGCCGTAAACGGAAATACAGAACGACGCTGACCCAACGTAAATGCCAGATCTCTCAGAAGGCTGCCTTCGTTATTTTTTTTTTTGACACCGCGCAGGTACTCTGCCAGCCGGGATGCCATTCTGCGAGCCGAGCCCTCTTCTTTCGCGCTGAGGACAAAGACTCTAGATGGGATCTCGCTGCTTTGGGATACAGCAGCTGGAAGAGGCTCTCCAAGCACTTCTGGTGACTCCAAGATGACATGTGCATTGGTTCCACCGTACCCAAAGTTGTTTACCGACGCTCGACGATGGTGAAGTGGCCAAGGGGTCAGTGACGTGGGAACCTAAAACTTCGTTAGCAGATACAACGAACAGCTTTACGGTGTCCCTTTCACCTTAATCTTCCATTCCTCTAGATTTATTTGTTTGTTCGGCTTCTCGAAGTTTACACTGGGCGGAATAAAGCCATGCTCAAGAGCCATGGTCACTTTAATAATGCTGGCCAGACCGCTGGTTGCTTCCGTATGACCAATGTTCGCTTTCACTGAGCCTACAATTAGGGGCTCATGAGACGGTCTGTTGGCATTCAGGGCAGCACTGAGTGCGGCAGCTTCCACAGGGTCGCCAGCTTGTGTACCAGTACCATGGGCCTCAGCATAAGTTGTATGCCGTGGATCAAGGCCCGCCCTCGCATAGCATTCTTCGATCAGCTCCTGCTGTGCTTTTTGGCTTGGTAATGTCAAGGTTGGAGTGCGGCCGTCTTGGTTCAACGCTGTCTCTCTGATTACAGCTCGTACAGGGTCTCCATCTCGCAGTGCGTCCTGCAATGGCTTTAAAATCAAAGTCGCGATGCCCTCACCACGGCCGTACCCCGATGCTCGGTGATCGAAGGCATATGATCTCCCTGGAGCTGATAGAAACCTTGGATGACCTGTTAGTCAGAACTTATGCAAGGGGGAGATAGGAACTTCCCACCCTAGACCAGCCATTGACTCGAACATGTCGGGGTTCAGCAGAATGTTCGATCCAGCAACAATGGAGACGTCCGATTCCCTGGCCCTGAGACTTTGACATGCCAGATGCAGCGTGGTCAGCGTGGTGGAACAGCCAGTGTCCACTGTCATGCTCGGCCCACGTAAATCGTAGAAGTGGGAAATGCGATTCGCCGCCATGGCCGCGCCGTTCCCTGTCATGAAGTAACGGGGCATGGTCGCTGGGTCTCGCATCAGACTATCATGATAGTCATGGAAAAAGGCGCCCGCATACACAGAAGTGCGTGAACCTGCAATATTCTCCAGCGGGATGCCAGCTGGTGGGATATATATATCAGTTTTAAAACTTTCTCAGGGCTAGATGATGACCACTCACCGCTCTCGAGGGCTTCGTACACAGTCTCCAATTGGAGACGGAACTGAGGGTCCATTGTCTGGTGGTGTCCATCTCATCAATACTTGATATGTATGCGGTCCCTGTTGGGGAGTTACTTACGCTGGCCACTTCGGATGAAAAGTTGAAGAATGCGGCATCGAAGAGGGCAATATCTTCTTCTAAGAAATGCCCTCCTTTGACGTTTGTCTGAACCGGAAAGCAATCAGATATGTCATTTGCGACCCGTACAGGAGCCCTACATACCGCCCCTTGCCTTTGGCCATCTGGGTGGTAAAATGCCTCGAGGTCAAATCGTGAACGCGGAATCGGCGTCCAGGCACTATTCCCACCCGCACACAACTGCCATAATTTCTCAGGGCTCGAGGCACCTCCTGCAAATTGGCAGGCCATCCCAATGATGGCAATTGGTAGAGTTTCGGTCTCCATGATGGGTTCAAGTGGCGGTAGATAGCAATAGAGGAGTCTGTAGGGGCGGAGAGATGTGTTCGGATCAGCAACTTAGTGACTTGGCCTCCTATATGGAGACTTTGATATACCGCGAACCGGGCCTTGCTTTTCAGGGAACTATCCACTGCTCCCCGGTACTTTTCATGGGAGGGCGGACACAAGACACGACAAGGGATGGGAGTTGCCTAATGAGGTAACTCCCACTGCCTTTTTTTCACCCTAAATGCGGACTCTGCTGTTCTGTAAACTGCCACAAATCTTGGTCACCCTTTGCTGGCCCAGGAGATAGACGCATTGCTTCGTTCCAACTCAAAATGCATTCCACCACAACGTTGTTGATCACCTCCCTGGTCGCGCTGTTCTTGTATAAGACAATTCGCCTCTTCTACTATCTGAGGCTCGCGCGGGCGACAACCCTGCCATATGCGATTACGCCATTTCTTGAAACGGAGGCGGTGTCGCTCCTCATGAACCCTGTCCTTCGCTATATCTACCGGTCGCATTTGGACAGGAGTGAAGGCTGGCCGCGATGGTGTCGTTTCTTCATCAAAGACTGGTCGTGGGAGGACAAACGACGGGCCCACGACGAGTATGGCGATGTGTTCCTCTGCGTTTCGCCAGAGGGAATCATCTGTTACTCAGCCGATGCCACTTTGGGTTGGGATGTGATGAACCGACGCAATGACTTCACCAAGCCTCGAGATAAGTACAGTACGAGCTCGTAGTCAGCGTTTATGCTCTTTAAGAAAAGAACCAAATTGCTCGAAGGTTGCTAACAAAGCGACGCGCCCAGAAATTCTCGAGCCCTATGGTCCGAATGTTGCAACCGCCGAGGGGAAAACCTACCAATTTTATGTCCGGATTACGGCGCCCCCATTCAGTGACCTCTCCGGCGTAAACAGTCTGGTGTGGAAAGAGACTATGTACCAGACAAATCTCTTGACCGAAGCTTGGTCACAATCTCCCCCGCAGGAGATCCAGTTGGATGTGAACCCTAACGCTGGCGGTCATCTCCCTAGCCGGGTTTGGGAAGCGCCTGGACTGGAGGAGTACCACTAGCAAGGGAGATATTCCTGCTGGGTATAGCGCTCAATGATACGGTGCGCTATATGGTACCGATCCTGCTCATTCCACGGTGGCTATTGAATATCACACTGTGGAAGAAAGCGGCTGTGGCGCATGCGCAGCTGGATCGATATCTACGACAGATTATCCGAGATCAAAGAGCGAAGTTGTCGGCGGATATCAATCATGATGATGCTGACTCTCGGGGAAATCTCCTGACCGCTGTAGTTCGAGCCTCGATGATCCTTGACCGGGAAAAAGCGTCCGCAGAGTCTCCTCGACAATCAGAGGAAAGAACCAAGGGTTTCACTGATGATGAGACCATGGGTAATCTCTTTATCTACCTCTTGGCTGGTGGGTCTGATAGACATATACCTTGTGGAGGCTTTTCTAACTCGGATCCCGCACAGGTTACGAGACCACAGCTAACGCCATTATTTACGGGCTCATTGTGCTGGCTCTCTACCTGGAAATCCAGGACAAAAGTTATCGACGAGATTGATCAGGTGTATCAACGAGCGCAAGCAGCCAACCGCTCGGAGCTCACGTATGAGGATGATTTCGAACTCTTGGAATACACCTACGGCTTCATGTATGAAACATTTCGCTTGTTCCCTGGCGTTACCCTCATCACCAAGGTGGCCAGCAAACCCGAACACATCATTACCGATGGTCCGAATGGGAGCCGGAAATCCTACGTTCTGCCAGCTGAAACCCGAGTTTATCTCAGTGCTCCGGGGGTCCATTACCACCCTAAATACTGGCCAGAGCCTTACAAGCTCGACCCGGGTCGCTGGCTTAGTGCACGAGGTGCGTCCAACACCACTGCCACAAACGGCAAGCGCGTTGTCGCGTCCGATAGGACTCGACAGATGAGAGGTAAACTACTAACTTTCTTGGATGGCTCTCGTGCCTGTCTGGGACGTAAATTCGCCCAAGCTGAGTACATTGCTTTCTTCGTAAGCTTACTGCGGCGATATCGCGTGGAGCTGGCACCGGGATCGGATCCAGCTGTCGTGGAAAGGGATCTGTACGGGAAGAGTGGGGGCAAAATCACCCTTACTCCTTTAGATAGTGTTCAGCTACTGATCAGATCGCGATAAGTTAACGGCCCCAGAATTTGCTGAGCAGGATGGTTTGCTCGCCATGACGTTATGTATTTATCTGTGTGAACCTCAACAGCCCCGCAAGGTGTCTGGGCTAAAGTTTCTTGTTTAGTATGCTCCGGAGACTTCCATTAAGCCTGGAGCATGCATGTTGAAGCGGGTCGACTATTGCAGCTCATCTCTACCTGGTGGAGGGCAAAAGTCCCTTGTTCTTTACTGATTTGTCAAATCAGTTGAAAGCCATTAGATTGCTGGCTGAAAGTCTGTTCAGTGGAGTATACTCGTAACAGAGCTTTACACACGACCTACTCTGTACTGGGTGAGTGGTATGTAAACAGCGAATTGATTGACCTCGCCAGTTTTACTGCCTCATTTCTTCGTGATTGACAAAGAGCTCTCCTGATTCTTACTCGAATGAAGGATAGTTCCTGAGCCTGGAAACAGGCCTTCCCTTACCACAAATATACCCTCGAAGAGCCAACTGCACTTATCGCCACGAGTATGATTGCAATGAATTCCTGACACGGCGAGAATGGCAGGAACCACAATGACTGTACGCGGGTTGAGAAAGATGGTTGATCCCAACTAGCCGTTGATGGCAACTTGAATGGTACAGCATGCCTTCTTTTGTACTCGGGCTGCTATCGTCCTGTCATTTAATGCAGTAATCCAGACTACAGGAAAGCGCACTCAATGGATCTGCCATCTGCGAAACGGCGTCCTAACATGTTTGAAGGAATGTCCCATTTGTTTTGATGGAAAAACATTGTGCAAATGTCTGTGGCAGATAGCGCAATTGGAACGGGCGCCATACAAAATACGAAGCGTCCTCACAGAGCCTTTTTTCCTTTGAACCTCAACTCCTCCCTGTTCAATCCCAAGCAGAACGTCAAGAGGATCACTTCCAGAACACAGTCCCCTCTCTATATTTAATTCTGGTCTTCTTGATGGCTCCACCTCCACTTCCCACGGCAAACCCAGATGAACATCCGTACTGGACCGAGCCTGACTATGGACTGAGCCTGACTACAACATTTCGGCGACACAGGATGGCTCCCTCCAACTGCAGCCTAGAACTTGGAACGAAAGTACACAAGTCTTTGCTCGAACTGCTTGAGGGGTGTGGGGCGACGTGAGGGCAACAGGTAGTATGCATACTAGAGGGACCAAGACGACCCCTCAACTGCTACACGTGTGCCTTGCCAATTGGCCGAGCGATCTCTACCAATAGCAGTCCCAGCCAAAGTCAAACATCCCAACCGTTGCAACTTTTATGATGGCTATGAACTACTGGTCAAGGGCTTGGCGCTAAAACCCCTCGCATCCCCCAGGCTCAAACTTCGATCATGCTCTTCTTCAAATCCGCGGCCGATTTCTTCAGTGTGCAGTAGCCGGAGTCTCTCACTTCGAATAGACGGAGGTATCATGGAGTCCCCCGTCCTGTACGTCCTTATATATTCATTTGTTTACACCGTAATCCTGAACAAGGCATCCTCTAACATGGAATATCCACAAGGGAGGACTTCTTCACCAAGCAATGGACGTCGGTGACCAAGTCCTGCTCAGAACGTATGGAACCTCATGATCGCAGAACAATCAGAAGTTTCCGCACGTATGAGGATGTACAAGAGCATGTTTTCGTCGAACAAGATGAAGAGGCGTCCGAGGCTGCCCTGCAAGAGCTGGCTATGCTGCAGCCGCGGCTTGTCGACCTGAAGAATTTCAGCGACTTCTTCGCCAAACAGCTCCGCCCGACCCTTGAAACGAGTATGTTCTGGGGATTGCTTGGCCTGCTTCTTACAGTAAGAAGTGCCACAATGCTATAGATGCTTAAATACCCAGCTACTTCTGACAGATCAAACGCTAGTTAGCCTTACAACACGATGAGACAATGCGACGAGTTGTCCAGATGATTAAGAAGCTAAGCAGGAATTGCCACGATTTCATACTCCACTGCCGACAAAGTCCTACCGTCACTAAGGAGGACAAAGAGTCCTGCTTTGATATATTTCTAAGGATTACCACATTCCTCGCCGATGGTGTGCAATTACTACGCCAAGCAGACGATGATTTTTCAGAACTGACTGACGCTAGTGGTGAGACTTCTACCCCCCAAAATCGGTGTATTGTTATTGCGAACATTTGTGATCTAACACTAGCAAGACAGGCCGGCAGCATCCCGAATGGTCTAAATTGACTGAGAAGTTTACAGCTGCCGTAGATGAGATCGAGGACACGCTTAATCGCATCGAGAGGGTCGCTGCCATGTATCAGAGGCAGTACCAGGGTGACATGGCTTCTTGGTTTTCCTATCTCTCACTTTCACCTCGTGCGTTCCGAGATACGGCTCAGCTACCTTGCTTCGTCCTTCCACCCATACGGACCGCCCGATTCTTCGATAGAGATGATGTGATCGAGAAGGTTGAAAAACATTTCCAGGATGGTGATTCAACCTCCCCACTACGCGCGCTGGCACTCTATGGCATGGGTGGTGTCGGTAAGAGCCACGTTGCCATGAAATATCTGGAAAAGAAACTTGCGAACAAAGACTTTGACGCTATCTTCTGGGTCAATGCTGAAAGTCCGGTTTCTATCCAACAGAGCTTTACAGATATTGCCCTTCGACTGAAACTACCTGATACTGGGCCCGCCACCCATGATGAAAATCGAATGATTCTCAAAGGCTGGATGCAACAGACTGGTACGCCAGAGAGTTCTCTCCAACCTGACCAATTGCTAACCGGAATACTCGATTAGAATGTAAGTGGATGATCATTTACGATAATGCAGAGTCTATCGAACTTCTTCGAGATTACTGGCCTTTGTCCGGCAGTCATGGTCGTGTCTTGATTACAACGAGAAATCATTTGCTCGGTTTCGATCCAGCGGACGCTGGCCTTGAAATACTCCCTTGGGATACAGATACCGGCTCCAAGTTCTTGCTACATCTTCTCGCAGGACACATCAGCGCCGAACTCTTAGCAAATGAAACACAGTCGGCTTACAGCCTGTCTGAGAGGTTAAGTGGCCATGCATTAGCACTGTCCAACATGTGTGGCTTGATCCACCGCCGTTCATGGTCTATATCAGAGCTAGTTGAGGTTTATGATAGATCCAGGGACTTCAAGGACGGGCTTGAAACCGTCTGGCGGCTCTCTTTTGAGAATCTCCGGCCTGATTGTGCTGCACTATTATCGATCTTTACCTTCTGTGCGCCAGACAGCATCCCGCAGTCGTTGTTCGAATCCAGTGAAGAGATGGAAAATCTTACAGATGACATGCTACGGTATCTTGACTCTGATCGGTAAGTAGTTTGTTGTTTTGAATCTAAACCTCTTCTAGCAATTTTGATTGCTAACAATGAACGCCCTAGTCTGAGTACAAATACAGAGGAGCTGTTGGCTCTTGCGTTGATCAAAAGAGATAGATACAATCGTGTATTCTCGATCCACCGACTCATCGCAGCCCAGTTTCGCCGCTTCTTGAGCCCCAAAGACCTCCGAAAGGCATTTTTGGAAGCTTCAATACTAATATATAATGCCTTTCCAAAGAGGCCAAAGAAGCCAGGGGCTACCAGAGCCAACCTCTACAATGTCTGGGACAAGTGTCAACTTTGGCTGCAACATGTGCTGCAGCTCAAAGTTAGCTTCATGCAAGAGCGAAAGCGGGACCCGAGCTTCTCTGCTTGCAGAGAGACTTGCGAGACATGGGTTCAATGTCAACGGTGAGTCAAATTGCGCAAGTATATTAAGAAACCAATTCAATTACAGTCTCATCCCCTTTCCTACAGTCTCTTCCCGTTATGCATACTGATGCACTGTTAGCTACCTTCTTGAAACACAAAACTGGCGCGAGCTCGAAGACCTCGTTATCGTCAACAAGATTGCCATGAAAACACTTCCTGAGCCGGACAAGGAAATATACCTCCTCTCATCAACTGAGATCCACGTTGCCTCGATGTGGGCCTTTCGGGGCCGATTCAAGATGGCCCTCGAGAGCTTGCTGACGGCACACAGTCTCAAGCTGGCCGAGTCCCCCGTCGACCTCCAGAATACCTGCTGGATCGAAGACAACTTGGCATCTATTTATGGGTGCTTGGGGGACTTTGACACTGCGATAGAGTGGATCAAGCGCAGCTATGCGACGTGGGAGCGCTGGTCCGAGTCGACGGGTGTTGACTTCAAGTGTCCCCCGCTTCTGAAGCTGACTCATGGAAGAATTTTGACTCATGGGGGAAGGCTTGATGAAGCAAGGGTGCAATTGACTGAGGCCATAGATGGACTTCTGTCGGCAGAGCCGTTTGTCTGGGCCCCAACAGCTACGTGAGTTGTCTCCTTCTAATACACAGGCGTGTCAGAAATAAATTCATTGTTGCATGGAACTTTGATACTGATAATACACAGTTGCAAGTTTACCATAGGACGGCTCCTAATGTTCGAAGGGAAGTACGAAGCCGCGGAAAGCATGTTGTTGGAATCTCAGTCCATGTGGCTTCAGGGCGACAAGTCTCGCGCTCTAGACTTCAATGGTATCATTGTATACCAGTTGGGTAGCTGCGCCTTCATGCAAGGGAACGTAGACGCTGCACTGTAAGTTTGGACGAGCCGAGAATGACGAGCGCACTGTGAACGCACACCCTGTACTGACTATGATATTACTTTTCATTTTAGCAAGCATCTCCAAGAGGCTAAGGTCATTAGCTCTATTCACAAAGATACTCATCCTGCCAAGTACGCTCGATGTCTGTTCAAGCTATCTGAGGCACTGCGCCAGTTCCCTGGACGGGAGGCAGAAGCTGATGAGCAGCTCAAGAAGGCGAAAGACTTATACTTCCAGATAATCGGCAAGTCGCAGGCGACTACTATTCAGAGACCAAAAGATAATTCTCTCACACAGTCTGAGCAAGTGAAGGAAGAAGACTTTGATACCCTTATACACATTAGTCAACGATAGAACCTAGGACGAGGAATATCATCCCTTGAAGTCTTTGCATTCTCTTCACGCCAGCGCCTCAAGCGACTCTATGCAATACTACCAAAACCGTACGCGAGCCTGTCATCGCGATCGAGTATATCTCTGCCGACGGGGCTGTTAGATCACTATAGTTTATCTTTCAAGGCATGTACTATCTCGGGTAGGATAGGATTTTATCGACAAAGCAATTTTCATAAAATTATCTCTCGAATACGAGAAAAGAGACCCCTAAAAGAAAGTGCTTAGGATACCACCCAATTTAGCCCCGACGTATCATTATTCCACGTCACTATATGTACGGACGAACCAGCATTCACGTCAAAAATGATTGGTACTATAGCTTCATGGCTCTGCAGGCATCTTCAATGCAATAAGAGTGGCACCGACGAGGAGTCGCTCAGAACGCCAAGGTGCTACAATCCGATCTGCTGTCACGGAGAGGGTCTATCTCTTCAGAGGCTGGGGCCAGGGAGGCACAAACCAATAGACAACCTCTTCACAACCGCCTCTCTCAGCCCATCAACACTGTCCACCATTTCAATTCCAAATTTCTTGCACACAATCTGCACATTTCCCCTCTTCCAGTATCCCTCGGGACAGAGAACGATAGCCTTTCCCGGAACCCGCGCACAGATCCCAAACTCTAGCAAAGTGACGGCCGCCTGAGTAGCCGGATGAAAGTAGACGACGACAATGTCGGCCTTGTCCTGCTTGTCGAGCTCCCACTCCACCTGCTCGCGGTAAGGAGCAAAATTGATGTCCTCGCGCCATGAGCTGTCCCAATCAGCGCGGTACGGATTATATATCGTGACAGGCACGTCGAAGAGGGAGGCGGATAGGGCCTCGCGCCAGTCGCTCGTGTCCACTTTGCTGGTGGTGCCGGCGAGAAAGACGGACTTCACGCCACAGGGAGCTTCTTTTGAAGGCGCGTATATGACCTGGTTCCTGGCCTGAGCCATTCGAAAGGAGGAAAACGTGTTCTTGTAGATTTTTGGAAGAAAACGAGCATGAAAGAGAGGGCAGAGAGCGCGAACTCGGAGCATCAGCCTAGTGGCACCGTGGAGATTGTCAGCTCAGGCAGACTCTCGTCCAATTTGGGCATAAAGCGGGGGCCCACTGACCAACTTCAATGATGTCGTCGGGCGCTAATGAGTAAGAGTTTAGTTTGGTACTCTCAGTCCACCTTGATCTCTGCGGTTGCCTATGAATGCCGTACAACAAAAGGGGCGCTCGTCGATTTAGTTTGCGGAAGGAAGCTCAAGAGAAACCGGAAGTCCATCATAGGCGAGGAGGTCAACCCACGAACATCATTGGTGGTACTGTACGTTTGTAGCATTGGTCTTGCTGACCGAGACGCGGAGTATAACTAACCGTCATTGGCCCACAAGACCATCGCATGAGGAAGTGGGACCACCACTGCGGGATGTGGGACATCGTTGGAAACCTGAGACACAATGCAGCCCACTACTATGGGATGCGCAGTCCGTCCCTTATCATTTGGTCAACCGTTCCTTCTGTTGGAAATACGGGCGCCGCATTCGGGTTGAAAAATCTGCAGTCTTTTTTCATCGCGCTGGATATAGGCCGATCTTTTCCCGAGCCATAGCCTCGTATCCCTGACGCATAAATGCACGAGTTCCATCTTCGACATTCGGCGGAAGCTCACTGTATTTTCTCATAAGGCAAAAGGCAAATCAAGTTTTTTCCGCATAGCGTGTGGCTAACGAAGCGGGGCTGACTCAGGGCACAGGTACATTTCCGTGCCTGCCTGCTCATCACCAAGATATACCCCAGCTTTAGCCGCCAGCCTCACAATGCCTGCAGCTTTAATTATTTTTAGTAGGTAACCTCTTCTGTTGTGGATAGGGGAAAGATGGCAAATTAGCCCTACGAGTAATCTTAAATACCCTAGCGGCCCGTCCCGTGCATTGGGCAGGAAACGATGTCCACGCTTCAAAATCGCAGATCAAAAAGCTGAACACGTTCATCAGACAACAAGCCCAAGCTGTCCCGCCAGATAAGCCGTTCGAACCTTGGCGGGCTTTTTGGGTCATTATTTCGCTCGGGGAATAGGTCAAATCGGACCGCACGGCCAACGCGGGTGTCGCTTGAAGACGGACGGCTACACAATGGAACGACTGCTTCAGAGAATGACACTATCTCGCGAGAAATCGGAGGATCTGGAAACACAAGGCCCGTCTGTCAACCAGAAAGTAACCCACAATAAGCGCTTGGAATTCATCCAGTTACTATTCGGGATCAATTCCGAAGCCATTGTAAACTTCCCTGGAATCGAGTCGTACTGCGACTACTTGGAGCATGGCCCTTTCCAGCAGTTGATGGACCCAACTTTTGACTTGATTTGGGACTTGATGTCCCGTACAAATCCCAGAAAAATCGCAGACTGTTGGGACTGGAGCCTTGCAGTGCTGCAGGTGACACAGTCAGAACAACCTTTGGTCAGCATACACGACATATTGCAGCGCATCGAAGAGCGGGTTGGGAACTCCAAACAGAGTCTAGGGCGAGACCAGGATAAAACCTATCTTTACATGGCCATTTTTGGTGTTTTGTGCTGGTCAAGCCTGGTGGTGCGGCCCAGGTTGATCTTCACGGACGACGTAGTACCGAACCTAACATGCCTCCTGCCACAAGGGTTCAAATCGACCAAAAGTTCCACTACTCATAGGCTAAATGACAGGTGTATGCGACCAATCCCGACCACCTTTCGGTCGTTTCAGCTACAGCACTGGGGTGACCAGACAGTTGAACGCACACAGGGTAGATCGAGAGAGACCGACAGCCTGTACGAGGCGAGCCTCAACATCTACTCGCTGTGCTACTTTGGACACGTCACGATTCAATGGGTCGATACCATCAGCGAGCATCTACGGTTCAATCCGGCTAATCGCCGGCTATCCATATTTCGCTTTCCCACATTCTGCGCCTTGCTTGCCGTCCATGGAGACAACGTTTGCTCGGCGATTCGAAGGTATGAGGAACGTCGTGGCAGTGACATTTATTAGCGTCGTTTGTAGCTAACTCTTGATAGTATTGCTGAGCAACTCGACCCCTTGTCCCCAGAAGATAGAGACCATTGTTGCGTTAGTCTAGAACAAGAGATTATCCTCTCCTACCGTCTCCTGTTTGGACAAGATGGCAAGTCCAGAAAGGTCGCACGTGAAGAACTCTTCAGATTGAAGAACTCGAGCGTAAATCAGAGCGTCGACACCATGCTCTTGGATCTCTGCGAGCGCAAGTACGAGCACGGCAGTCTGTGGTGGAAGACGTACGACAAAGTCCTGCAGGGCTATCCGTCCGAGATATGGCCAATCACGTGTCGGACCATGGAAGGGCATCTCCAGCAGAACGACGTGTACAGCGCTCGAGATGACTTCCCGAGACTGGGGCCACGGTTGCTCAAGCTCCAGCAGTTCAATTCACGCCAGAGACCCAGCAAGCTGACCGATCTGTGGCGCGACAGGCGGAATCCTCTGCAATGGTACACGTTCTGGGCTGTGATACTGGTCGGAGGAGTGGCGAACATCCTGGCAGCACTTCAGTTTCTGGTCGCTCTTGTTCAATTGCAAACCTCGTTCTAGAAAGCTGCCTGTCACCGTAAGTGTGTGTCAAGATAAGGCACGGGTCTGCTTTTTTTCTCTGGTGATGTCATACCTCTGCCAACCGATCACGTTCCTTTCTTATCGTGTTCAACGTTGTTGAGCGCATTTCCTGCTCTTGGTGGTGGTTGACAATATCGCTCTCTCACCCAACAATCAATAATATTTGCCGAGGTGGCATTTTCACGGTCCCATTCTCATCTGGTTCGTTACACTGGTGCTTGCTGTGCCAGACACGGCCAGTGCCGGTGGGGCACATACTCTAAGGCTAGAGCTCTTTCTCGATGTGCATCTTAGGCGCGATGCCGACTGCATAACGTTTCTTGTACGTGATCTTACTGTAAAGTGACATTCTGAAAGGAGTGTGGGTACAGGCTGAAGAATGTCATATACAAGCGGCATCAGCTCCGAGTCAAAGGGTAATGTTCCCCCGCACCGACATCGCCACCTGCAGACGAGCTGGAGCGTATTATCCGACGTAAACCTACAAATTGAATACGCTCCGCAATGGTGAGTCTGGCTCTCACAATGTAATCAGATACACTATCGTTTGCAGATTACCACTGAACCTACGAGACTTGTTATTCTACAGGCTTGCATGTGATCTATTGTGAGTCCCCATCTTAGTAGACAGTCATTTCCCAAGACAACTGGTTACTATCTAAGGCCCCACAATTGGTTGCATTGAAGGTATTGAAAGCAGATGCTTCTAAGAACAACAAAGAGCTTGCTATGCTCCTTCGTTCTCAGTCAAGTCTTGTTCGCTCCAAGTTCTTGACGTGAAGGTGGGTCGCATACCGTGGCTAGTCTGGTAGGAATTAGAAACCCGAAGTTCAAGGCAATTGTGGTCAAAAGGGACTCGGCGCAACGCCTTGGCAGTCGAATTCAGATTCAGATCAATTCAACCCCCTGATAAATATGGTAACGCCTGATCAGGAAAATTGTTTACCCGAGCTGACAATCTGTCACCGCCTTATTCTTCTCGGATGATCATGGATTCAGGAGATACACTGATTCAGTCCTATATAGATCTCCCCCATCCTTCAACAAGGCGTCGGTCTCGAATGATGTCTCAAGACCTTGATTCGCTTGCTATGCTGAAACGTCGCTTGCTTCGCGGGGAGATCACATACGCCGCCGCAAAGGAACAAGACGCTAATATCCTCCATCAATTGGGCTACAGGGATCAGAAGATTCGATATTTTACCCATCTCTACCGAAGTCGAAAGCAGAAACTGAGTGGTTAGCTAGGCTTTTCTTGAATAAGTCCTTCAAAAAGAAGGGTCATTGATTTGCCAGGCATAACCAAGATTTCCATCACCAGTCTTCAATCGAACTTCGGATGGTTTAACTTGAACTCCCTGTGTCTTGTCTTTGTTGATCTAGTAGTTGTTTCTGAAAGAGTAGCATAGACTATACTAATGTGTTTTGATAGACAACGGCGACAAACTGATCGCCAATAAAGTACGCTTTTCATTGTGTGAGACATGTGTTGGTTCCGCGTCTAATACTGCAGACTCTTCCTCTTTTCCAAGCATTCCCGAACTTTCCGCTTCCGAAGCAGATAAGTGACTTGTGGGAAGTAAAAGCGGAGAAGTTAGGGCAGCCCGCATCTCTGGGGTACAGCTGCGTGTCATCGGCGGATTCGGTTTAACTGTACGTGGAAAGTCATCACAATTTCTCTTCAGCGGCTCTATATCATTTAATATGCATTTTATCTCCATGTCCTGATAGAGCGTTTTTATGCACTGCGATATCTTTACCAGAAGGACGTGTTTACTATCCAGAGCCTTCAGGCTCATAGGGAAATTAGGGGCTTTGAATTGAGTCAGGCAATGCAAATACGGGGCTGCGCTAGGTTTATTTGAGCATTTTCCAAAATAAGGAAAGATGGTGGCTATGCGCTGATGGTGGAACATTCAGTGTTTCGTAGTTCACTCAATCCTTCAATCAAGGCAACTGACTTAGCGCCTGGTGGATCCATCATAGGGCGAGGCCCACTGGATGTGAAGTACGCTCCAGGTCACTGATGTATGCTCCACGCCACTGATGCATGCTCCAGACCTCTCTAAAATGCACTCACGCTAATCACCACCTCGTCCAAGCGGCATCACCCCCCATCACCCACGAGGGCACTCACCCGGGTATTGACCGCGTTCAAGCCACACGCCGGCCGGTTAGTAGTTGGGTGGGTGACCACCAGCGAATCCCCGCTGTTGTATATCGGAGTTCACTCATTCTTTTTGATTCGTTGGGTTTAGCGCCCTCGCCGCCTTGTCTTCAGGGTGTCACCTGAAGCTCCCTGAAGCCCTGGCACAGGCAAATGTTAAAGTCTGGTCAGGAGGCACATTTGGTTGCTTCCTATTTGTGGTCATCTCGAAGTGCTTCATGTTTTTCAGACCTGTCATAGGAAGACGTTACAGTTTGGTCCGACAGCATGTTTTCTTTGCTTCCTATTTGTCATGTTCACCTCAAAAATGCCTCACTGCATACTGATTGTTTGTGCATCGTATTCATGCTGTATAGTTAGGATGAACTGCGATACTCCCCACTTAAATGGCCTTAAGTCTGCACTTCAGACACAATATACTCTCTTTTTCACACACTCTCAAAATCTGACATATACTATAATTAAACTACGCTGATAAGGCTGCAGTCAAGCAGAGAGAGGTTTGGGTTGTATGTATATAGGTAGCGGAACTGTTTGCTCCTTTGCAGGGATACACAAAAACGCATCCAAGGAAGAGGGAGGTTGGCTAAAGGACGGGGCTTTGCGCCCCCTTACCACAAAGTCCAATTATCTGTTCACACAAAAAGCAAACCTGTGCTACTTACGAGTCAGCCCTATTTTAATTGGAAGAAATTGATTGTCATGTATCAGGTAGTTCAAAAATTAGACCGAGACAACTCTGGGTTACCCTGCATCTTACATGCACCAAAGGCCACATGGCACTGGAGGGCGAAGTGATATAAACTGGAGGGTTGAGTGGTGAAAACTTTTGAGTCTTCGTCATCTCTAATCCTGAACGTTGCACCAGCACAAGTTGTTGACCCCATGATGTACTCTCAGATCCCATCAGAAACGTCCAAGTCGCTTGGAGTGCCAGAAAGACGATGGTACTGTGACCAGAGTCATGTACTCGCTCTTTTGGGCTGCATGATATGCTTTGTGGTTTCGATCCTTGCTATCCAACCTACGATCGGACCCGCGTGGAGCCTGTCTTGGACTCTGGGGTTGACTAACCAGCTGGTCGTCATCGGATTGTTGCTAAGTCTGATGAATGAATGTACCGGCATTCTTGCGCCGACATTCTTCCTCATTCTCGAGACCCGACGAACGAGCCCGACGTTGCAGAACTACGAGGCCATTATCAAGAAGAGCGTGTTTCTGGATAAAGCAGACGTACGCTGGCGTGCATGCATCCTCCTCCTCACCCTCCTCCCTCTGGGACTCAGTGTGGCATACAAGAAGCTCATTGGAGGAAGCAGCACGATAGAGATCCAGAGCAACTTTCCACGGTTCTACGGCCTCGTGCCGCTTCCTCTGGGCACATTTAACGTGATGAACAATTCGATCTATTACATGATCAATGCAAGCGTTCCGTACATAGCGGCATCTTCAAGCGCTCGTTCGATTCCGCAGTTCCCAGCCGTGTACGGATTTAACACGGTCATCCTGGACAATACGTCCACGGCCTTGCTGGACTTACCTTCGCCAGACTTTCTCTCTTCTATTCAGCAGAACCTGACCGATGGTGAATCTTGGGGCATGTCAGCGGCTGTGGATGGAACAGTCGCCCGATACAATTCATCGACATCGTCCTATAAAGACAATGATGCCTTTTGGACCACTGCTTTCAACCACTCCTATAACCCCACCGGTCTGTCGACGATCTCCCTCTACAATGGCTATCAGATGGGGATGATTAATGGCTTGGACAGCTTGCATAGTGAGAACCCGGGCCCGTATTGTCTGATTGGCTTCTTCAAGGGAGACGCATACGGGCTGAACATCTACAGCAACACAACTGAATCCACCAGTCTCGCTTTCAGAAAGAACGCCTACAAGTTCGACATCCAGCGAGAAAAGTGTCAAGCACAGTGGACAGTGACCCACAGTAGCATCCAACTGACCAGTGGCCACTGTACTGGAGAGAGGACAAAGCAAGTCGTTTTCAACAGCACCACGCCGTATTACGCCGACACGCTGCCTCTTTTGGCGACATGGTTGATTCGGTACTCCCCAGCACAATCCCAGAGCCAGTCGCCGTGGCTGCTCCCATCATTGACGACCTCCGTTGCAAGCATGTTCTGGGCTCGCATCATCTACATGGATCCGACAAACAACGTGTATCCCGAAATGTACTATCCCCCAACTAGCGAAACTATCCATTCAACACGGTTAACCCTTAAGGCGAATTGGGGTCTGTACCTCACACTATGCATCCACCCGGCCCTCTGCACGGTGATGCTGCTTTCGATCTGCTTCTGCTACAAAACCCCCATCGGAAAGGGATTCGGTTTGATCTCAGTTTTGTCGGGCGTCCGAGGAGATAATCTTGACCAGCTGCGGGGCGCCGGTTTGTCAGGAATTCTGACAAGGACAGTTCCGATAAGAATCATTGTCCAGGATTCATCTCGTTCCCATCCGAGGATTCGATATTCATTGGGAGACGGGCTTGAGGCCACGGGCGAGTTAGATATAAAGGAGACGTACTGTTAGACCTGTTTCTTAGAATTGGATGTAACTCTCTTTTTTTTTGTGTGTGTTTTCAAATGCGCTACTAAGCAATGAGAATGTTATTACTATAGAAAACCTATGTGGTATTACACATGGAAATAGGACCTATTCTGTACTTTTTGTCTGTGTACCCTAAACTACTCTGGGAGACTACAGTGCCCTATCCTATTATTATGACCTACTTCCTCTACTCTCTTATACAGTACTCCAAGGTGTCCTGTCCTACTATTCTAACCTATTAATTATACCTGCCCTCTAAACCTGACTGGTATTGTCTTAATGATTTATGGCAGTATAGTGCCTAGAACAGATTACTAAGGAATAGGATTCAAGGTAAATAAAATCAGCAGGATTTCAGAAGCCATTTTTTAGGAATTTTCTATAGTTTAGAGTAGGGAACAATTGATAAGATGAATTGGATGGTAAACAGACAATAATTAGAGACAATTTCAAGAGTAAAAAAAGAATGACTAAATACCTTAAACCGACCATCACAGGCAATTTCAAAATACAGATATGATAAGAAGAGATTTGCTGTATGTAGGATGTTACAAGTTGTTAAAGTTTAGCCTTCTTACAGTAGAAATATACAACATGCTCGCCACCAAAGAAACTTGAACCACTGGTTTCATGTATCTGTTTGAGAGGATCAAATCCGGCATAACAAAACAGAACAAATATAACAAGCAGATAGGGCCCCATACTTAGATTTGCTACGACTTCTTAATGTGTCCAAGTGGCTGATCACTTATATTCAAGTCTGGCCCGTATCAGGATGATGCAGCGCCTGAGGAAAAAACTCCACCAAATAGTGTGTCATCTTATTACAAACAAAATTACAGACCTCCTACTTCCTCTCGTTGACCACGCTCCACCAATCTTTCAGTTCCTTACCTTCTATTTCTATCGTAACCTCAATGTCAATACCTTTACTCAGCTCAGAAGGATATGCTCTGACAGAGCTGGACTCAGAATTTGAGCCAGAGCAACCTAGTTCCCCGCCAGCTCAACCCGCTGGACCTGTTCGGCGAAGGAGGCAAACGCCTGAGGAAAAGATTCAGAGACATCTCCATAACCTGCGTGCTGATAACCTAAGCGTTGCAGATTTCTTACAGCTCCTGCTTCGGCTGGACGTCCTGAATGGCGCAATTGCATGACCAAGTTGCATTCATCTAAGTATGAGGACGTTTTAGACAGTCTGTTAGATTTCCGTCCCATTGGCATCCTAGAGAAATTGCACTGGGGCATTCCAGTTTTGCGGGAGGAAGTTAAACAGTTATACACCTGTGGCCATGCGTTTGGACAATGGAGTGAGAGAGACATGAAAGACCTCAACAGAAACCTGAATCTGGACCGGGTAGACTGCCTGAACGAGGCCGAGGGACTGAGTCCACATCTTACTCATTTAGTGAGGCAGCTATTGACTGAATATGACACCAAAGTAGAACAGAAGGAAATCCGAACTGTCGAGATCTTGTCTCAATTCTGTTATACTCGGGCTGTCAAACAGAGCAACAATCTCCCCATGCAGCTTGGTCTCCATCTGCATGCGAGTGGGGTGCAAAGGCGGATTATCGATCTACTCTCACAGCTTGGGATCTGTTGTGGCTATAAGACAGTGCTGGAAGCTAGCAAAAAGATTTCCCGGATTGGCGCGGAGGAGGTTGCAACTCTGGGCTTCCGCCCTGATTCAGTAACGGCATACGACAATTTCGAACAGACCATGGGCGGTAAGGGAGAGCGAAGAGACGACCACAGTGAGTTCTACTCCGTTACCACTGGGGAAGTGTTGCTGGGTCGTGAGATCCCAGCTAATGGCCTGTCTCAGGACATGCTGCGTCCTTCAGTGGCTCTAATGTATCCACAGCTGGTGAATGCGCCTGGAATGAGAATGGATGAGACTGAGGTACATGTAAGTGACCATTTGATGTCCTATCAACGCATCCAGCTTAGCCATGTTGAAGTGGACAATCTATAGATCCAGAGGCATTAAACGCCGCATATCCTGAGCAGATCAGTGCTATATATGCGAGTCAACCTCAAGATATACCAGCAATAGTCACGCAGTCTTGTCTGGAACCATCTGTGACTCTGCACCACTCTCTTGGGCCGGTGAAGATTAATGAGAGTACCAACGCGGGTAATATCAGAATCTTGGAGAACATTTTCCGGCAGCAGTATAGGCTCGCATCAGAGGAGGCTTTTCAAACTCGTCTGTGTCTAGTTTATGGAGAAAGCGGCATGACCATCAGACAGATTCCTTTAGCCGGGAGAAGTAAAGGAACTGACTGGAAGATTATGCTCTTTCCCCAGCCCGTTTTTGCAATCAGAATCAGATCCTCTCGATTGTTGATCAGATGGTGGAGGGCTTCGACCTGCTCTCCATGCGGCTGCAAGTTGAAAAGCTCGACAATTCTCTCCCGGATACGTGACCTGCTGATTTCAGAAACCTCTTCCCTTTCATCATCAAATGGAAAGCCTTTATTTGAGCGTATTTGCTCCCTGCGATCGCTCATTCTTCTCACCAACGATGCCCCTAAGCTTGAGCTCCGCCGGTAAAAGGAATGCTCAGAGCACCCCCAATCACGGTATCTCAGCAATGCAACGCTCGATCCCCTCACAACTCAACTAGGTGGTTTAGCTTGGATAGTATAACATCCGAGTAAAGGGTTTTGTATCCAATAACGACTATCTTCTCGTCGCTGAAGTCTGGTATTTTTGGAAAGTCATTTTACCGATATTACCAGTCGTATTGCAGGCCTGAGAATGAATGACGAACAAAAAGATTATAACAGTATTATAAGCTCTATATTCTAGTTTCTGACGGTTGTTTTTTTAGGGCGTATATATCGTGATATGGTGGATATATTTTCGATGGAAGTGATAGAGTTGCTTTCAAGCGAGATAAAAAATGGAATTGGCGCTGTTCCCAGCAAAGATAAAAAATGGCTCACCAAAAGGTCGAGTTTTTTCCCCAGGCCCTCCACCGGGGGGGTCACGCCCAGCTAACCCGAAGGGTATTAGCTCCGGAACGGAGGAGCCTGGGTTCCGAGGTAACAATGCGGTGCGTGTCATGGGGTCAACCCATGACAGATAAGGCTGAATTAGGGCAACGCTGCAATAACTAATGGTGATCGCCTAGTGCTTATTCATTACTCTAGCTAACTAGTTAATGGCGGCACATAGTAACTTTGTTAGCTTTGCTTATTCTCTCCCTACACAGATTACTCTGCATGGAATAATCCGCATGGAGTAATGTTTAAGCAGAAGCTGCTTAGTAGCCCCTGCTGTCCTTTTCCAGTCCTGTTGCCCTAACCCAGGTCGGACGTAGCTTATCTTCCCGAATGTGACGAAATGTCATGCTGTTGCCTGCCTACTAGGTCATATGTAATTTCTATTGCCTATAATATCAGTCTCAGCCTGCATTTACGTCCCGCTTTTTTTCAGAGTCCCCGGTATACCTCGCCAGACCCATGGGCGGCCCACGATGGGCAGTCCCATGGACGTCCATGGGCGGGAAAAAAAGTAAAAGTAGAAGCCCTCGTCCCTTGCACAATTTATGCGGTATTTGGCTGTATTTTATAATATTTGGTTTACACAAGGTACTTAAGGAGAAGTGAAGGTATCCAGGTATACTGTGGTAATTCAAATAAAAGAGCATTATTCTTCAATTACTACTAAGCACAGAACTAATAATAATCAAATCCAACATCCTCACATCTGGAACGCTTCCGAACCCTCCTTGATATACGCATTTAAGTAGTGATTTCTTCAGGTGAGATCATAGGCAAAGGCAGATTAGCCTCATCATCTATTTCCACAGCTAACTCCTGAGCCTTGCCCTCCTCATTTTCTAGCTCAGAAGTAACACTCCTTCGCCTTTTACCAAGAGCATGGTGGCTAGGAGCTTTAGTAAGGAGCTAAGCCTGCTCAGGAACTGAATCATCCTCCTCATCATCACTAATTAGATCTAGACCATTCTCAGGAAGCTGAGCATCTCTTTCTTCATTACCTGCTTGTATCTCCTTATTAGAGAGATACTCATTGACAAATGCAAGCTGTTCCTCCTCAATCTTAAATCTAGATATGCACATAAACATCATAAGATCTTAGATTGTCTTAGCATTTAATGAGCCTTAATAATAGTAACAAATATCACAAGCGGAGTTAAAGAGCCGTTAAACGCCAGCACTAGTAGCAGGAATAGAGAGAACATCCCATGCAAGGCTGCGAGGGCTGGAAATTCATGTTAATGATCTTTCCAGAATATACGCGGAGCCACTGAAAGCGGGCCTATTATGACTATTAACTAAACATAATTAAAAGCGAATTTAGCTCCTTTACTTACCACTCTGAAGATATTGTGAAAGCTCATCATGCTGGCTTGATGTTGATTGATGGGGCTCTGTTGGTGTAAAAAGCATGTTAAGCTCTAATGTCTGTGTTGCTGATAATTAAGCCTTTAATAGTAACTGTGTATCAGAAAGTTGTTATCTGTAGGGCTTAAGGTAGTCCTAGAGGCTTTTACAATATTTTTCATGATAATCAATCACAGGATCCTCCTAATCCTTGCCAGAAAAGAAATAAAGCTTGTTTTGGGGCGTAATAATTGTACTAATTGCATAGAGATCGCCAGGAACTTTGTTCGTCATGCTATAATATTATTAAAGCTTTGCTTCTGCTACATGAAGAGCCTTCAGCATTAACTACTTCCAAGGAACCTTTTTTCTTTAAAGCTGCTGGATTAATGCTTCAAGATGATTGAAAAGCTTGTTATAGATACTAAAGATGATATGGATAGTAACATCTTTAGTCTTTAAGAGGGCAGTCATAAACTTGAAGAATGGTTATATGATCTAAAGAAGATACTCAATCTGTCACCACTCCTCTTGATTAAGCATCAAGTGAGGAAGATCATATTACGAACAGAATTCATCAAATGTTGATTATAGTCATTTTACATGTTAAAGCATAAGAAAAGTTGAATTTCACCAAGTACAGACATCTTAAATTAGAACAAGCTTTGGTGAATCAGTTTGAAGGTTGCAGAATGCTTCCCAGCGCTGAGGGCTAGCATTTATAAAGATAGCCAAGCTTCGAACCTAGGGAGGTAGTCAGTAAAGCAGGATGAAGATATATCTTATATATCTGACCTTGTTAAGGGTATTAACAATTTCCTTTTCTTTCTGTCTTGCATGAAGTGACTGAATACAAGCCTCTGACCATTCCATTTCTGCTGTCTCATTCTTTAGGTTTGCTTTCATTTACCTAAGGAGCTGCTTAAGGCTGAGTTGAATAACATGGGCAATGCAGGGGATCTAAATAATAGTCTTGTTATTATTAAGCTTAAGCGACTAGACAGATTCTTGAATACTTAACATCAAAGTATTATTATTTGATGCGTTATCAGTGGTGATTATAAGCACTTAGTCAACAATCTGATGTTGTTGAAGTATTTGAAGTAGAACACTGCTGAGATTGACCCCAGAGTGGGTCCCATGAAGTGGTTCAAAGCCAAGGAGGATCTCTCAATAGTTCCAATCTTGATCAAGAAAATAACCAGTGACAGCCATAAATGCCTGTTGAAATGGTGATATCTAGCAGTCTAGTGCAACTAAGAGCTTTGCACCAGGAGGCAGCTTCTGGAGAATATTTTGTTGTTGCTCTTTGATAGTACTTTGTAGCCGACGCTGGATGGTTTTGGCAGAGGGGAAGTGTAGAAAGGAGGGCGCGGTTTGGGCTAGTTGAAGTAGCCTTTGTAGCTGTGGATGCTCAATGATTTGAAAGGGAAGTCGTAGCATAGTGACAGTTGTGATAATCTCTTTTTCCCAGTGTTCTTTGGTGAATACTTATGAGGTGTTTGAAGCCTGGTGAGCCTATTTTATATGAATTAGTTAATAAACGTGAAACTATCTCTATAATAGACTTACCGCATCCTTCATAAGCTTCTGTATACTTGGCTGTTTTGCTGCCTTATTAGTAGCTTTTTGACAACCATCACTTTTCCAATGCCTCCTAAGGGAGTTGGTGCCATTTGAGGTATGATTTAGATGGTGAAGGATTTTTCCACAGTTTCGACACATAACCTTTGGTTCCCCTGAGGTATAATGAGCTACCTGGTCAAAATGGGCCCAGATATCCGAATGGTGTTTAACTCCATCCCAGTGGATCTTCTTCCTTTCAGCTCGCGTGCTCCCAAACTGAGTCTCGAGCCACCAGGTAATAAAATCATCTTTACTCATATCAGAGTAAAGAATCCAAGATTTTTTGCGATCTGGACCAACACGCTGGAGGGAGCGGGGAATGGAAAGTGGCTGAATGAAACCAAGGTCTGTGGTCAAGGCAATTATTTGTTGACTACCGGATACGCGTAGATCCGGAGTTTATAGTTGTTGATCATCAGATTGAAGGCAAGAGAGATTGTCTATCGCATCACTTTCATATATAGACGAGGAATAAAGATCAGATAATTGAGACATGGCCAGAGAGTGTATAGCAATGCACTCTCAGAGAGAAATGGAAAGGATAAGAGACTTACAGTCATTCTCGAAATTGGCTTGACCATTGAACATATGATGATTATTTTCCTGCCTCACTGCCAAGACCTTAGTCGAGAAAGTTTATTGAGCCACCGGCCTTTTACTGAGGGCCACTGTAATTTTTCCTTTAGTATACAACGTGGAAGATACAGTACGTTTACAATATTTTTATAATAAATAAACTTGTTTATTCCTACCTATGATCATCTACTATGCAAGCAGACTTATACAAAACCTAGTCATAGAATTGGTCTAAGTTAATGATCTAGTCACTAACAATAGGTCTCCCTTTATCATTGAGAAGATGAGGTCCAATCCGTTCAACTTCCCTGATAGTGTCAAGGTGCAAGCTCGTAAGTAAACGGAAGTAGGTTAATGAGGTAGTTGACACTCAGGCTGGCTACAGTGATCTCTATCTATCTGTTCAGACTGCAGGGCAGGCTGGTACAGGCAGGCTCTATAGACAGGACGTAGGCTACGTAGCTCAAAGAGCTTCAAACAGGTTTCGGAATTGTGCGGTGAAGATATTCCCAAGGTCACGTGATTCCTCATTAGCGATTCCAACTCCTATCCACAGCAGCACCGTGACACTGCCATAGAAATTACTATGTACAGGAAATGTAATTCCAGTGGGCGGAATAAGGAGCGGTGGACATACTTAGAAATTAATTTTCGTTTTTTCGGTTTTCTCCAAATGGCTTGCCGTAAGCAAGGAACCTTAAGAACTCGCCAGAGCTGATAAGGGATTTCCACGCCCGCTACCCGGAGATGCCGGGGCCCCCGTTGCGCCTTCTCGAGTGGCTTAGGGCTGCAGAAGACGACGAACTCTTAGCCGACCACCCAGACGATGACAAACCCCGGATGAGGGCATCCGGAGGCTAAAGGGGGGGTACTGTGACGGTTAAACCGTTAACCGTCACACCTCTCCCTCGACCTTTCTGCCCCTACCGACCGCTTGCCTCTAAATTACTGTTTGGCTTGTTTGCACTGCGCGGTGCCTTGATATCATTCTCATCTTTGTACATACTTCCCTTTTCTCTTCTTTACGCTTAGTATTCTTTATCTAATACTACCATACATTCTGGATATGCCGAGTGCCATGATAAATACAAGATGATTACTTCAAATTTCAGAAGTAATCTGGATAAACCGCGACATGGGCGACTGTAAGAACAGAACAGGTGTAAATAACGGTAACTAAGTAGTTAGTTAGTTAGTTATTTTATTAAGATGAATCATCAATTTATCCAGCCAAAAAAAGGAAGTCTTGGCAAATTTATGTAAATCAGGATCTAAACGGATTGATCCTAATCCGCCCTGCGTAGAACCGCGGTGCGGATCCGGCGGATCAGGATCAGGATCCAAAAGTTGGATCCGGATCCGCCCCATTTCGAGGTCTACACCTGCTGGCGCTCGGAAGCAATTATGCCCACTGTGGCTGATGCCGACTTTGACTTTTTGAATACTGAGAACATCAATTTTGATCTTTCAGACCCGTACTTTCTTCAGCAATGGACAGATCAATGTTGGCCTCAGCATTTGTTTAATTCAGAAGAGGAACCGAGACAAGTGCCACCACACAGCGAGTGAATCTGGGCGGAACAGCAGAGGTACCCGACATGATGGGTCCCAGGACGACCCTCGGTGATTGTAGGTGAAGATGCCGGCTCGAGAACAGCAATGTGCGTATTGGGCCACTTCGCTTTGAGAATTCGCGCGGCCCCATTACCATTCCAGCAGTGCCAACCGCACCACAGAAGGCATCGATTCTCTCAGGAAACTGCTGACGCAGCTCCTGGCCAATGGCTTCAAATCCAATCAACGCATCCCGGTTTTTGAATTGATTGGTGAAATAATAGTTCTTGCCTTCCGCAACGTCTTCTGCGCGGCGTATCATCGAGGGTATGAGATCTGCCGTGATCTTACCAGAGGGACTCTGGACCAGGTCAATATTTGCGCCGAAAGCCTCCATAGTTCGCAGCTTCTCCACAGCAAATGCATTCGACGACACTACGTGGAATTGGTAGCCCTTGACTGCACAGACGAAGGCGAGGGAGGACCCCGTGCTGCCCCCTGTGGCTTCCACGACCGTTATCCCAGGTTTCAGATCTCCCCGGTGTTCAGCCTCCTCGACCATTGACTTGGCCATGCGATCCTTGTATGAGCCGGTGGGGTTGACAGATTCTAGCTTCAGGAAGTTTTGGGCGCAGTCATCGGGAACGACATGGCGCAGTTGTACTACCGGGGTGTTCCCGATCAACTCCAGGGAGCTATGGGCCGGGCGTGGAGGCAGAGGCATGGTATGGTGTATTAGGTAGTCAGACTGTGTTAAATGGGCTTGATAGGAATGTATGCGACTGGGAAAAGGTGGATCATCCGGTCATTAAATCATCCACCGGAAGATTAAGCGGGGTTGAGCTTGGAAAAAGGAGGAGACCCCAGTTCACTGCTGCTCTGACAACGTATACCGGCCCGGTCACGGTGGAAATTTGGCCGATAAACAGACCACGAGCCCGGGTATCAGCGGCAGTGTACGGAGTACCAGGAGTGTGCTCTCTCCAGATGGTCCCAACCGGCTCGAAGCCAGCTAGCCTTACGGTATTTCCAAGGCTGGAGACTGCTGGTCCGAGTAAAAGACGTGTCTATACATGGAGAGTGAACCAAAGCAGGAATACGAGATGCGGCGAGATGAGAACAATTTCATAGTAATTGGAAGCCAACTGTTAAGGATGAACTCATGGCATATATTGTTTAACTCCAGACGTCAGATTTCTAGACCGAAACACTTAATTCCTAAAGTTATCCCCGTCCCAGGCCTCCTGGAGCTTGTTATTTCCCAACAAGAGAAGCTCAGGCAAGTTATAGTATAGATATTGCAACACCACTCTTGCCCACTTTGCAGCTTTAGCTAGAACTGCTCCTTTTGCGCAGCGTCAGGAAGACGAACCAGCCATGTCGCCCTCGCCGCCGCATAGAATTCCATATCAATTTTCTCGTTTAGCTTCGAGGATTCCGACAACGTCCCTGCCTGGACCCGCTTGAATCCCTTAAAGCCACTCCCGCTAGCCTCCTTCCACAATGTATTCCCGCAGTCAGGGCAGAAGAACACCGAGAGTACCATTCCATACTCATGCTCGGTCGAGAAGCGTTTGGGACTTCCTCTAATGAGGGCGAAGCTTCCTTCAGGGACAACAAAGTTGACTGTGTTGGTTCCGCCGGAGATTTTGCGGCAGGGAGGGCAATGGCAGATGGCCTGATGATATGGAGACGTTATATGGTGGTACCCTTAAGAGGGAAAATGGTCCGGCTTACCCTGACAGTTGGCTCTCCGGTGTAGGAGTAGGCACATGCGCCACACAAACAGCTTCCGGTGCTTATACAAGTCATGGTAGGAAGTAACTCTTTTGAGGTGGTTATTGGTCTGATATCTCGATAGGCTCTATTGACTGGACGAGTGCATGTACGATATATTTATAATCTTAACCCCCCGGCCCATTGTGGTCTGGTACTCTAGAGAAAATATCCACCTTGCTAATATGGATGTGAAACTGAAATTTGCCTCAGTTATTGCAGATCAACCCTACTCCGGACAATCCTGAGCCCTTCCTTAAGATTAGCAGATCATATTAAGCGTACTTTCGGTGAGGATATGATCCCCTCTTACTGCCTGTTAGATTCTCCTGTGTATCCGAACCCGGAGAAAATACTTCATTGTCCCGATCACCCCGGCCCGAATTCTGAAGCCGAGACATGAGAGCTGTAGTGAATATGGAAAACCCGTAATGGAGATAAAGTTGCCATCTGCCTGTGTTGTCTGTTCCAAACTGCTCGGTCATACTCTGTCCGAGCCCGGGGCCGACGGCTATTTCTTCCTTAAAAGAGCATGACAAGAGTAGAGGTATTATCTCCGTCAAAAAGCCGACGGAATAATCGGGGATAGAGGGTGTTAAATAGGCGCTTCATAACATCCCCTGTTCCTTCAATCCAACTTAGAGAATTCTTTCTGTTGCTACATACTAAAGTTCGCAGTACCAATAGTCATGGCAAAGTTGAAGGTCCTCATCTGCGGCGCAGGCATTGCCGGCAATGCCCTTGCTTTCTGGCTTTCAAAAATGGGCCACGACATTACGGTTATTGAGCGCTTCCCAGTCTTGCGCGCCACGGGCCTGCAGACCGATCTGCGGGGGCATGGTATCGAGGTCATGCGACGAATGGGTCTCGAGGAATTGTTCCGCGCGAAATCGGTTAAAGAGCAAGGCTTGGAAGTTGTCGACCGCTCCGGCAGGCGAAGGGCCTATTTCCCGGCGAACAGGTCAGGCAAAGGGATACAGAACTTCACCACCGACTTTGAGATAATGAGGGGAGACTTATGTCGGCTTTTGTACGGCGCCACGGTGGATCGTGTCAAGTACATCTTCGGGACGAGTCTCGAAAGTGTCAACGACAACGACGGCTTTGTCGAAGCAGTCTTTTCAGATGGTCGAAAGGAAACTTTCGATTTCATAGTCGGTGCTGACGGCCAGGGATCGCGCACTCGCAGGTTGATCCTCGACCCTGACGCTGCGGACCCTTTCCATCCCCTCGGAGTCTATATAGCGTATTTCACGCTCCCTCGACCCATCGGAGGGGATGACTACCTTGCCTCTGTATATATCGCTTCTCAAAGGCGGTTTGTGGGCATTCGCAGGCATAATACACGCGAGATCCAGGTATACCTCGCCTGCAAGCCGGATTCGTGCAAGCCCAATTCGGACCGCCTGAAGAATGCCCAGAAGGGTGACGTTGTGGAAGAAAAGTCTGGTTTTGCGGAGATATTCCAGAGCGCAGGGTGGCAAGCGGACGACATCATCAAGTCACTGGAGCATGCTGATGACTTTTACTGCGAGCGACTGGGACTAGTCAAGTTGGACTGTTGGTCCCGCGGCCGGGTGGTTCTCCTGGGAGATGCAGCATTTTGCCCGTCGGCAACCACTGGAATGGGCACCACTTGAAGTCTTGTCGGTGCCTATATATTGGCTGGTGAGATAGGTAAACATTGCGGAGGAAGTGATGGTGCTACTAAGGATGCTCTGTCCAGCGCATTCAAGGCTTATGAACAGACTTTCCGGCCCTTCATTGACCAGGTCCAAAAGGGCTTATCTGACGGCTCTAGTCCTTGGGACCAGGTTCCGTCAACATCCTTCGGTATTGCTGTCCTCTATTTTTTCCTAGCTATAGCCTCATTCTTCAGATTGGATGTCTTGGCTAGGTTGGTCCTCCGCGAAGATGTAAAGGGATGGGCACTCCCAGATTACGATATGATGTAGGGTTGAGTTCGAGGATGGTGAGCCGGGACTCGTGGAGAGGAAAGTACATTCGCATGTCGGTGCCGACATTTGATCTACATGTATAATATTTTTTTTCTAGTTAAGCCTCATAAGGTTAAATCTACTCTCATTATCATCAATCTCCATAACCGGTTGCAGTGCAAGCCAACGGTAGTTATAAATATCTATGGAGATATTGTAACGACAGGCGCTTTTTCCTTCCCATCCTTGTTGTATACGCAGAACTGATCCGCTCTAGGGCAGGCTGACCTAGACTGCGAAGCTCTTTGATTGTCCTCTGAGTGATTGTTAGCGAATTAAGCTGCATGTTGAGGTTGCCTCAGGCTTAATTAGATATGTCAACGTTTGTGTGGAAGTGCTGTGGAAATATATGTATAAATCTACGCGACAACCTTCATGGGGTCCTCAAAGCTAATGCATATCAACAGACTGGGTCTTGCTTTGGGCAATTCAATCAGGCAGCGCGTAGCTTGAGAGCAGGGATAACATGTCCGGTAACGACGCCGGCTGTATTCAAAATGGCCGGATGATGGAAACCATCGAGCCCCTTGCGCATATCTGATGATCTGATCTCGAGCTGTTCCAAGATCTCCAGGATTGCTGAATACAAAATTGGAATATTTCCATCCTCAATTTTCACAGAAATGCCCACTGCACCTGTTGCTCCAAGCTTTGCAGTCTGCTTTGATGCTCGAATGCCTATTCCATAGCAGCCGTCTGCCCCAAGCTTGCCAATCAGTCGTCCTTGGAATGCCTGCATGAGCACAGTGCAAAAACGCCCATCCCCGCCGACCAGTTCGGGGTAGTGAGCCATTGCATGGTAGATTCGGCACAACGCTTGCGTCCTTGGTGACGCAGAATCATCTTTTTCCATTTGGTCAGCCGAAGAGGCTATAATGGCATATATTCTTCCAAGATAATGGAGGGGAAAGGCGGGTGCCGGAAGGTTGCAGCCATCAACGCCCCATTTCACATCTTGTGCTTCCAAATCACATAGTTCCTGCACCACTTGTTTCACTCGAGACTGAAGTGGATGCGTTGAATGGTGATACGTCATTATATCCGCACCGATCGCCTTGGAGCCGGCAAGCATGCCAATGTGTTTGCCTGAGCAGTTGTTGCACACGGCGGTGGGATTGTATCCGCGCTTGATCCAGTTGCGATTCACCGAGTCCGACAGGGCTGGGTGGCCCCCGCAGCGAAGATCTGTTTCTTTGCCTTGAACTTTGGTCAACATATTGAGAGCCCGGCCAATATGTCTTTCCTCACTGCTGTGCGACGCGCACATCAAGGCCAGGTCGGCCTCGTCGAATTTGAACTGATCAAAGCCACCTGTTTCGATAACAGCCAGTGCTTGCACAGGCTTTGCTGTGGAGCGAGCTAGTGTCATTCGCAATGGATCACCGATGTAGAATAGAAGCTTTCCAGTTGCATCGACGACCGAAGCATGGACCTTGTGCCGATTTTCAACCACTCCCCCCCTTTCCGAAATAACATGGTCATTTTCCATCCTATTCTTTGTGTTGCCCAAAGAAGTGCAGTGTTAATTTGCAAGTTCAGTGAAGAAAACCTTCATTCAAACTCGAGTTGCCAGAACTGTGCAGATGCATCGCATTGCCTTGCCAGATCCGGACAAGCCTTGCGAATCCTTGGCGAGAGCTCTACTGTATCAGGGCAACAAATGGGTCTAAACCCTCCGCACTATCGGCTATGGTTGCGTACGGCCGTACCCCTTAACACTCTAAGTAAGCTGAGGTGGGCTGGGCCAGGGGTTTGGTACCCAATTCCCACCTATGTTGCTTACTATGCACTGCAGCACTATAGACTAAATAGGCTAGTATCTCGTTATCTATACGTAAGATATCTAATCAAGATATTAGCCTTAACTAATAAGTCATGTCGAGGTTTGAAATATATCAAATCGATATTAAGGCATAGTTTATAATATAATTGCTATATATGTTAAATAGAAACATTGGTTCTCTATAGCATGCTAGATAGGCCGCAAGGGACGGAGTCGGAGGAATACATTGGGTGGTGGGAGAATCAGTCCGACCGAGATTAAGATACGGACAACCAGAATATCTTTAATCGGGCAGACAGATCGTCCGTTATGGATGACAGACTAGATTATTATAGTTCCCGTGGCTGTGAACAAGCCAAGCCACTCATTGCATAGTAAGCCTACGTCAGTAGATTCAGCCTTACCGTAGGACTGTACTCACAAGTATATTAATCCCGGTCTCCTCTTTCAAAGTTTCTGATTCCACGCGTCCTCAATCCTCAGACAAATACTTTGCCTCTCAAAATGAACTCACAGAGAATCGATATTTCGGCGCAACAGACGGTTGCGCAAACGCATGTTTGGCCCTCTCTCTCAAACAAGGGCTCAAAGCTGTCGCCCTGGCGCGAACACCCAAGAAATTGCACGATATGCTGCTGGCCCAAGGAATCAGCGAGGAAACCATCGGCGCAAACCTGATTATTGTCCACGGCGATGTCACCGACGTCGCGGCCGTCAAGAGGACCTTGATGTCCGGAGGCGAAAGAACGCTCGTTGGCAAGATCGTCTCTGGCGTTGGTGCCCGTCCCGTGTTCCAGCTTTCCCTGACAGCTCCCATCAAAATGGATAATCCGCATATCTGCGAGCAAGCCACCGAATCCATCATCAAAGCGCTTGGGGAGATATACGCCGAATATCCGGACGAGCGACTGCGCAAACCTGTCATCACCGTTATCTCATCGACGGGCGTGGATGGTCCGTATGATGTGCCTTTTGGTTACCAGTAGCTGTTTTCTGTCGTCCTTGCGGTGCCACATATAGATAAGAGGAAGCTGGAGGAGCTGGTCAGGGCCGATGCATTGAAGGATGAATCGTCCAGGGTTTTTGGTGGAGGAGTGATTGTTCGTCCGACGGTGCTGGTTGGGGACCATCGTATTGCTTGCATTGGGTCAAAGAAGCTCCGGGTGGGAAGAGAGGAGAGTCCGACAATTGGGTATACAGCCCATCGTGCTTGTGTTGGGCAATGGATTTTTGAAGAAGTTGTCAATAAGACTGAGGTTGACTTGGTGGGCAAGGTTGTGACTTTGACTCATTGATGAGGATTCTGTATGCTCTTTGTTTTGACCTGTTGTCCTTGATGATACTCCTTTTGTCTGCGCGTTAGGTTATGTTATGGTCCATTGCCATGCCGGCTAATAAAAGCATCGCCCTAATATTAATATGATTGGATACTATACTGCCTGGGCTTGAAGTTTATTGTGAATATATGGGAGATAATGAACTAGGAATCTATAAGCTCTATGGTAAGCTTGAGCATGCATTGGATACAGAACGAGCTTACGAGGCAGTAAAGGAAGGATGGAATAATATTAATTTTCAGACCAGAAAAGTTATCTGAACCATGCCTCACTGTGCGAAGCAAATATCTGAGTGAATGGATGGTTTACTAAATATTCATTCTTAGCAGCTACAGGGCTGTTGAATTCGAATAGCTTCAACTTTGTGAATTGAGTATTATTCTAGCGATATCCTAGTCTTGATAAAGATAGGTTTACAATGCTGAGAAAACCACCTTATCTGCCACAGCACCTTTTCCAGCTAGGCCAGTTCTTCCAGTTCCCCATAGTTTCCACTTCTCGAATCGAGGTACAACCCTACCCTCCAGGGACTCGGATGCCAGATCGTTCTTGAAAGAGTGCTTTTCGCCCAAGAATGGACCAATTATACTAAGCGCTACTGGTAGTTACATGTACAGAAATAGGGGGTTAACGGCAATCTAGTACTTCATGTTAATGTTGGACATCGGTCAGGCCTAACCCATTCTAATCTGACTGGCTCAGAAGACGCTCTATTTCATTCCACGGATTCCCTAATTTCTGGGCGATAGAGCATCCTTCCAAGATCCATAGATTGTCATGCCGACTTCATCTTTTCTGTCGCTTGGCCAACCGGTGCGTGTCATCCAAGCATGTTGCGCCACATCTCCTGCACTCTTCGCAGATATCAAATTGGTCACCAGTCGAGGCTCCACATATATCACACATTACGTCGCCATCATCCTCAAATTCATCACCATCATCGGAAGAATCGCAGGCGAGATCTTCCCCGCGGTCTTGTGATAAAAGCTTTGTAATGCGAGGTTGGTTTCTCGACATGGCTTCCATGAGTGCTGTACGACCAAAGAGATCAGTTGCATCTCGGTCAATATCTGGAGCCTCAAGTAGTGCTGCCACAATATTTCCCTTTCCACGGACTGTGGCGCCCATTAGGGGCGTGCGGCCATACTTATCCTTTTTATTCGGATCGCTTCCTGCCTTCAAAAGCAGCTTCACAAGAGATTTTGAGTCATAACGGCATTCCACCAACAAGTTTATAGGTCCTCGCCCCTTTCCGTCAGCGGTGTTTGGGTCTGCGCCATGATGAAGCAATAAGTTCACCACTGCCTCCATGTCACCAATTACATGGCCACGCCGCACTCCATCCCCTTCCCCTCTTGCTATCTTTTGCATTAAGCCCATCTCGCCTTGTCCAAGAGCCCAAAGCAGCAGTGATTGATTCGAATCATCAGAACAATTCACATTTCCACCCTTGTCAATAAGCATTTTCACAATTGGCTCAAATCCTCGCGCAGCCGCCCATAAGATGGGTCTTTCTCCAAATTCGTCTTGGTGGTCTGGTTTGGCACCGTAGTCAAGCAAAAGCTCAACCATGCTCTCATGTCCAGTTCCTGCAGCGAAAAAAAGCGGCGTTTGGCCACCAACTTTCTTCTGGTTATTCCGGAATCTCAGCTCCGGGATCGTCTGAGAACCTAGTCTATCATTATAGAGTATCGGCTTCTTGCAACCACTCTCTGTAGTGTTTGGGTCAGCACCATGTTGAAGCAAAAGCTGTGCGATAGATCCCTGCCCCCGGTGGACCGCATAGAATAATGGCGTCCGACCGTGTTCATCTTTAGCATCGAAGGCAATCTGCTTCTTTAGCAAAAGCCTTACTATGCTCAGGTCTTCCCGGAGCACGGCAACATGAAGAGGTGTCCGAGAAGTTGAATGTTCTGTCACAGTATGTGGGTTGACTCCCTTCTTCAAAAGGAAGTTGACACCTTTAATATGCCCACCGGATATTGCGCGAAAAAATGCTAAGTCTGCGACCTGCCGACTAATGCCCGGCCTCAAAAAAAGCATTTTCATCATTGCAATGTCTCCTGTTGCAGCCGCGTGCAAAACCAGGGATGATACTTGTGAATTCGCAACTGATGGATCGACTAACTCGTCGAGCAGCAGCTCAGCGATATGTGTGTTTCCGGATTTAACAGCTTCTTCGAGAATATCCGTGCCACTCTTAAGGACCTCTCTACTCACTCCAGCTTTGAGCAGCCTCGTGACTAGGTCAAAGTGACCTCCCCTTAGAGCCCAAAGAAATGGGGTTGCTTCCCCTTTTCTCCAGAGATTCCTGAAATGTGTGCTGTGTTCGTATATCAGATGGTCCAGGAAGATAAGCACTTGCTCATCATCATATTCTTGGACACGAGAGCTCCATATGTGGCGCGCAGCCTCGGAACAAGTAATCCAAATACCAGGTTCATTTGAAGCAAAACGTTCCGGAGGGGCGTTTTGCGTTTTCGGGGTTCGGTATCGACGAGGAGAAACTGAAGAAGAGAATAGAACCTCCCATGACTCAAATTGTGACTTTGATTGGAAAGTTGGGTTGTATAGAGGATCGGGATCAGCTCCATTCTCGAGGAAAAGGGCCACCATGGAACTGTGATCCAGTGTATCTTAGTTGGAGAAGGAAGGCGAGTCATTGTAAAAGCTGCTGGCTGCGTATATCAAAGGTGTCTCCATAGTGAGGTTTCTCGGATCTTTAGTGGCACCGGCCTCTATTAAAAGTTTGGCAACTGTGGTCCGCCCATGTTGGGCTGCGAAGAAAAGCGCTGTCTCCTGCAATGCATTTCAATGATTAATTTGTGCACCCTTCTCCAACAACAATTTTATGACCCCTTCACACCCACTTGACGCAGCATAGAGAAGAGGAGTATTCCCAGCAATATTTTGGGAGTGGACATCCAATCCTGCATCAAGTAGAAGATTGACAACAGAAACATGTCCTTCTTTCACAGCAGGAAACAACGCAGTCTCGAAAGCCTCATTGCAGATATGCGGATCTGCTTTATTGCGCAAAAGACTGCTGATTAGCTCTCCATGTCCCTTTTCTGCTGCCCGGAATAGTGCTGTCTCCTCACTCTTATTTAGGATATTTGGGTCGGCTCCATTACTAAGTAAGAGTTTCACTACACCGAGAGATCCATGTTCTGTGGAGATTGAGAGAGGGGTCTCCAAAGAACTGTCCTGTATGTTCGGATTAGCACCATGGTTGAGTAACTGGTAGACGATTTCCTCATAGCTTTCTGCTGAGTAACTGCACGCACTCGTGAGCACGCTGCTCCCATAATCGATTCGCATGTTGACATCAGCGCCAGCCTTGATAAGCTGCTTTGTTATGCCAAGAAACCCTCCCTGTACAGCGTATCCAAGGGCGCTGGTGCCTAAATTGCCTTTGGGGTCAACCTGGACTCCTCTTTTAAGAAGTAGCTTTACTAGCTCTTCATCATTGTTGCGTGCTGCTGCTGATAGAATTATGTTCCCATGTTCATTAGGGAAGTCGGGATCCGCTCCCCTTTCCAGGAGAAATAGAACAGCGTCCTTATTTTCTGAACACTAGGCGTTCATTAGAGGAGTACCCTCCTCTAATGCACCAGACGGGCACTGTTAATTAATTTGAGCACTATGATTAAGTAGAATTTGCATTATCTCAATATCCCCAGACAAAGCAGCAGCACATAATCCATTGAAACCAAATTCATTTTTAGGATTTGGGCATGCCCCGTATTGAATGAGAAGCTGGACTACATCTTTATATCTGCTAAAAGCTGCAAGTAATAGAGGTGTTCGGCCATCCTCATCCTTTGAGTCTGGATTGACACGTTTAGATTTAAGAAGAACTCTAGTAGTCTCAAGATGGCTGGCTTCAGCAGCATAGGCAAGCGGCATTCTGCCTCGGGAGTCTCCAATGTCCAACTCCTGATTTTGACGTATATACTTGGTAATGATGCTTATTAGAGCACCATGAGCTGCGAGATGTACCTTCGTCAACCAACACAGAATAAATTCTAGCCAGTCTAGACAATCGGCCAAAGGCGGTTGTTCACCTAGGACAGAATGGGCCATCATGGCTTGGCCAGCCGCATAGACATGTAATTCTTTATCTAAAAATGCAATGAGAAGTGCCATTAATTCTTTTAATTTATCCAGAGCCGCTAAGGCATGTGCTGCCCAATACTGTGCACAGTAATGATGAAGAGGATAAAGTTCTTATCAGTACTCATAAGCTTTAACGGTTGTAGAGCGTCCGCTGGAGAAAGCCCCGAAGGAAAGATATGTGATGGATGTCTGGGCAATTTCTGCCTCTGAATTGCGAAAGATATAGTGTTCTAAGAGATACTCCTTCATTGTGTAGTGAACCAAGCAGATTAGTCCGGTGTTTTGATTAAAAACAACCAAGCCCGCGCAGACTGAATCAATAATGTCAATATCTGGCAAGAACTTCTGGTCCAAATCACTCTTGCCATACTGAGTCCCAAGCGCATGTTGAAGCTCCTGGGCAAAGAGTGCTTGCTTGCAGTAGGTCAACTAAGACAGAATTTTCACTGCCATTTGGCAGCATGGTTCAGATTAAGATTCAATTCTGTCGATTGCGTGATCATATGCTTTCCCCAGTCTGGTCCTCCCACGGGGCAAGTGATCAAGAGCTTCTTCGAGGTCGCCCACAGTAAGATACCCCTTCAAGTGGTCCATGTGTAATGTGGCGAGTAAGAACCTAGATCAAAGTTTAGTTACGGTCATATCAACAATCTATGGGGCAGGCTTTAGTAGCTTACATTCCGTCCGCGCTCTTCACAACCTCATGACGAACGTTGTCTTAAACATTGGGATACAGCGAGATCTTTGACCGAAGCAAGATAGGTAGCTTTGTGTTTACATATCTTAAGATATCCTCGTCTTGCGCCTAGATCTCCGTTTGGGTGCATCCCTCGAACTGTGACATAATCTCTGAGTTAGGACGAGAAGTTGCGAGAATATTCACCGGTCCCTCTTTCTGAAAGGTGAATAAGGCTGAGAGTAAGTCCCGCAGCTCTTCTAGGTTTGAAGAACAGTACTCATCCAAGGCATCAATCACAACGAAGATCCTCTGAAATGACTGCGCGGTTCGTGATAGCTCAGACTGAATCTCCTTGACACTCGGGCGTGTTTTATTGCCAGTGTGGCTTTTGTACGTCTGTTCAATGTTTGGGAGGACGGTTGAGCCTTTGATTGCAAGTTGTCTGAGAAGACTTAGTAAGAAATCAAGTGTAGTTTGCTGGAAGCTTGGTTGATAACTGCAAAACAGGCACCCAACCTGCACCTCTGGGTCACCCAGGAACTTTGTCCTTAGGTGTTCTACTACAATTGAGGACATGACTGTCTTTCCAGCTCCTGGGATTCCGGGGCAGAACAGTGTTTGCTGAGGTTGGCTGATCCACTGAATGAATTCCTCCGAGTCTAAAAGCCAGAGACCTGTTCCTTCTAACCTTGGCTTTAGGTTGTCGTTGTGCTGACGGTCAAAGTCTAACTTAGTGATCCAATCGAGGATACGTTGAGAATGTTCGGTCATGACAAATTGTTTGATTTCGGCGACATCGTCATGGACTATATTTATCATAATCTTATACGTCAGATATAAGGATTCATCCGTGGAATTCATGGTTTATCTGGGAAGTAATACAGACCTTGATACAGGATATCCTTAACTGCAGGTTCGGCCTCAATAGCCTTGGGCTGTACATGTTCCAGACACTCTTTTGCACAAGCAGCGGCTGTAGCAGCAGCAAATGGCTGCCAGCGGTCATTCTTATGAGAATCAGCGTAATCTGAGATCCCACGGATCACAATACAAGGGAAATTATTCATCAAACCTGCTGCCTCCATGTCTAGGCATATCGCACTATGTCTGTCCCGAATCAAGTCTCGTGTAAGTGCGTCTTTGACCACCATATTACCAGATGCGATGGTTCCATAATGAATCACCGGGCTCTCGTCTAGTCGTGGTTCGCGGCTAATCTCTACTGAGGGATCACATTTAACGCAGGATTTGCCAGCAGCATGGAGATAGCTGGGTTAAAATAAGCGATCAGCCGCATGGCCAGGATGAGAGTATCCCTTGCTGCGCATAAGCGGAAATCTCTCCAGCATCTTCTCGATATAGTACGCTATCTTGTTCTCTTGCATCAGGTGATCTGTTTGGAGCTTTCCAAGAGCAGAGCCCAAGGACCTTAGAGGGCTGTTTAATACACAAAGGCTCTCGAAGGACCCGTCTGCAAGTGCTTTTCCAAAGTCATAGACAACAACTCCTCCAGTTTTGGGGCTGCTGCTTATGACGACGTCCCCCAGGCGGATATCAACATCATTGTCGTAGTCAGGTATCCCTGCGCCAATACCAACAAGCAGCCCGACGCGAATTCTCGGAAACGTAAAGAGCATCTCTTTGGCAACTGCTGTTGCCGAGGAGGAACCGAGTTGGCGTATAGGTAGACGAGCCGCGACGACCTTGAACCTTCCCATGGATCCCAAGATGTATGAGTTGTTGTCCGCCTCAGCTGGTGGAGTCTGCGGCTCTCCATGTACCTCATCCATCATACCCTTTGCCGCCGCTAGCTCGACTGATAGAGCGCAGATCCATCCAACTGTGTATTCTTTGTTGGTGAAGGGAGACCGCGCTGGAGTCGTCATCGCTTCGAGAGTTCGACTGAATAAGCTGCTTTTTGTACAGGGAGTTCACTGATCGCAATAGGGCTGGGTGCACTCCTCCGACAAATCTTTGGAATGAATCTGTCTTTATACTCAGCATTCAGCCGCACCTGCATTTTGAGTCTTTGACTCTTGAGGTGGAGCTCCACACGTGACTGTTTGGCACCTATCACATCCTTGTCATACTTTGTACTACCCAAAACAGAATCTGAGTGGGTTGAGTGGCCACTAGGCTGTCATTGGGGTTACGACTCACGGGCATGAATATGACCTAGTTTGACCTAGCATGCTCAGATCACCAGCGTAATCATATTACTAGATTACCTGCAATCTGACACAATATAAGTGAGCGTAAAATATACAGTCTGATACCAAAGATACAGTGCTTCGACATATTCCTTTAATAGCAGAAATAGGAGAATGACCATAAGCTGGTGCTCTATAGTAGATGATTCATCTGTAGTCAGAATGATTAAGTGTCACATCATGGCCTCCATCTAACATCTTATAGGCAGGCAATAGGTCTTCACCCAAAATTTGCCTCGAATAGCTGCTAACAATTGGTTCAGATATTCCCTCATGTGTTAGAACCAAACAGATGCAGTGGTCTTTGAGATACTGCATCTGCCTACCTTTTCTGGGCCTCCAGTGTTTTAACACACCGTGAACCTGCTGCGCAATCCTCTGGTAACTATTTTCAGGTGTTAAGACTAGTTGTCCCGAGCATTCTATGTACCGTCCTACTAGCAGAATGTGAAGAAAGTGGCTGATATATGTACATTGACCTCTACACATCCTCCACACCCCTTTCCAACAAGCTCCGAACCACATCAACAACACTCTCCCGCAATGATTGGAACCAGGCCCCCAGAATCTGCCTCATGCGCGAATTATCAAACCCATACACACCATCTGGCGGATAATCCCCAGGCACCAGCGCCTCCCCGGTTGGCAAGCAATCATTAAACTGGGGAAACTCCTCACGAATAATCTCTGCGATCTCTTTGTTCGAGAAATGGCTCGATACCGTGAAGAAATGGGGCCGAGGACTAGCAGGGGATTGATGACGGAGAGTGTGAAGGATGGTTTCTCCTGTTCCATGAACGTCCAGGCAGCTCGTTCCTGCGTTTACCCATCAGTTGACTCAATCGGATGCTGAGTATGACAAACGAAGGACCTACAGCGAAGGTCTTGCTGGCTCGATACCCGTTTGCGGGACTCTCATGCGCTTGGGACTCCGTTATGGGACTCCAATCCGCCTGGACGGATGGTTAATAAATAGCACGAAGGAAGGGGCTCCATCAAAATCACCTCTGAGGAGATTTTTCCTTTTGCCTGTGACAAAACATCGTTGATAGCGGCAAAGGAAGAGGTGATGATGACGCGTGTTTCACGTGTGGAGCGTACAACTGGACAGACTTGAGGATGCCCGTCGTACCCAAGATCGCTATCAAATTAGTATTTGGCCATCTGGATAAGCCCTGAGAATCATACCTGGTTCCAAAAGTTCCTTCTGCGCATCTTCTGTGTGAAAGTGATAGGGACTGGCGGTGTGAATGACAGCTTCAAACGGGGGATCAGAGACAACAGCATGATCGAATGCTAGACATCGAGGTCAGCCAAAGTTCCAGGAGAATGCAACAATGGGAGGCGACTACCTCTTGGCTGCTCGATGTCTTCGACAATGGCAAAGTCGAGCCGATCCTTGGGACCTGCGGATGAGCCTGCTGGATAGCGATGGCTTTCTGCTGGGATCGCACTGTCGTCACGACGGAGTGGCCGTGGGCGAGCAAAGTGTCGAGGATGTGGGCGGCAATGAAGCCGCTTCCTTTTAGAAATCGATTAGAATGACCTCTCTGTTTCTGACCTCGAAAGGTGAAAGACATACCCGTGAGGAGAACGCGGGTCATGATGCTGTGGATAACGGATGAATCAACTAAAACCTGGGAAGACTGACAGTCGACTTTTAGATGTGTTCCGCATATAGAGTTATTAATAGATGATGCTTTCAATGTTCTTTTGATTCCAAGAGTGAGTCGGAGTTCTATTTATGCTAATAATGATTGTTAATGGGAGATTGCCAAATGGAGTTTCGGAGTACATGGCTACTCCAACACTTACTCTGCTCATAAATTCCTCAAACTATATGTAATACAACATCAGAAGAAAAAGATTACGGGAAACTAGGCTTGTAGAAAGTTGATATAGCACAAATTTAAATCTACTGAGAGCAGTATGAATCCTTGCAGGACATAGGCACCGAATGGTGAATATCCTTACTACAGCTTAACCGCTTGGCGGTACTGAAATGGTCAAGCAAGATGTCGACTGCTTCCTACCTGTTCGCGGCAGGCAGTGATCTCGCCTCCGGAGGCTTCGTGTTCGCGCAATGTCCTCTTCGATTTCGACAATTCTGACATGGCTGATGGTCATCACATTTGATCCGGTTTAAACGACACCAGTCGCAGGCTCGAGCAACCTGACTCCGTTTTGGTCGCGGAGCGCTGACAGGCGTTGCAGGTCTTTTCCGGGAGCCGTCCGTGCTATCTACATTGACGGAGAAGGTGGAAAACATGATGGGGCACCGGATGTGGATTAGAGGCATGCAGATCGGTTGTCATTAAGGACCGCGACGCGACATTGGCGTTAGTCGAACGACACTCGACGCTTTAAATAGCGTTATCTCCGGGATGGAAAAGCGAGAGGGGCGTAGCTGGGACATTGCGGCCAGTCAGACAAGATAGCATGGTTCAGTACATTGCTTACGCTCAAGGTACTGCCGAGGACACAACAGGAATTGTGGCTAATTAGCGTCGTCTGTTACATCCGACAGAGCTATTATGGTAAAAGCTTTTTGATATATCATCCCACCTTGCCAAATGACCACTACCACCATGCATCGTTGGCCTGTGGATACTCTCTGCGCTACATGCTATTCTATTGCATTGTGGATATGGGAACGCATTGACTTTCCTTACAAGAAGGGACAGATTACCATTGGCAATATGAACACAACGGATGTACAGTAGAGAATGAGAGACTGTCAATCATTTTGTATATTTCAGCCGTGCAGCACAGAGGAATAGCACTAAAAGTCGCGCACTCAGTGTCCTAGTTGCGGTAGTTCTACCTCCCCCCTCGACATTTAAAAAGACGGGTTAGCGTTGGTCAAGAGCTGCTCAAAGTAGGCCTAGGTCTGTCAGTCACTCGTCCCCCTGAAAAATCGGATCAACATACCTGGAACCAAGTACCAGCCTCAGGAGCAGGCTGCAGAGCATCACTGTATCCGCAGTGCGCATCGTACCGGGACGAAGAGGAGTTGGACGTGCCATCACTCTCTCCACCGGGCTTGATCCACACGAATGCATCCTCAAGCGCATCGCCAGTGTTGGTCGTGGGGCGAACACCAAAGCCGGTGCCGATGACATTGCACCAGTCACCCCAGGCGTTTTGCTTGGTGGGCTGGACGCCGTTGCGGGCTAAGACATGCATTAGACGATACATCCCACAAGGAAGTTGGATAAATCGACTTACAAGTATCCGTGATGAAATGGGCATCGAAACCGGCGCTCTTGAGGAGAGGCGCCATGGCGTTGATGTACTTCTTCTCGTCGCAGTTGGAGTCTCCCTGGGTATAGGAGGGGCAGGTGCTCAGCGACCAGCCGTTGTAGTTGGCTACGTTTGTGGCCAGACCACGAACGGCCGCGGGAGAACCGGCGTCAGTGTAGACCTTGGCGAAAAGCGTAGCGGCAGGGCTCAAGTTGGCAGGCCATCCGAGCCAGCCAGCGTGACCTGATGAGTTAGTGTCTGAGATAGGATGCACGGAACAGAGAGGGTCATACCTGCATCGAGGTACATGGCGACGTTGGGCAGGTTGAGCTGCTTCAGAGCGTAGTTGACACACTCGAGGTAGGCGCTCTGGGCATTGGCGCATTTGGCGACGTTGAGATTGGTCACCAGGTTGGCCAAGCTGTCAGGTTCTACAACATGTCAGAGAAGGACTGATCGCAACCGAGGGGTATGGCCTACCAATAACGAGGATGGTGTGGACGTCAGAGTACTTCACCAGCTGAGAACGGATGGAATCAATGTACGCCTTGTAGTTAGCCACGCCGTTGTTGGCAATCGAGTACTCGCCATTACTGGCCAAAGCAGCGCAGTCACGGTCCGGCAAATCGTAGACCACGAAGATACCGGCAATAGGAGGGTTGGCGCCGGCCTTGTTCTTGGCTTGAATGTCGGCCAGGTAGGTTCCCATCGTGGGCACCTTGGCAGCAACGTCGCTACAACTGTCAGGTATTGCTGATCGTATAGGGGTGTGAAGACGACTTACAGCCAAACAAACGAGGGCACATCAGCGACAGCACTGGCCTTGGCCTGGAGCGAGCTGGACAGGGAAGGCATGGCCAAAGTATGGACCTCGGAGGAGTAGTAGGGGTTGGCATAGAGCTGGTATCCGCTGAAGGGGTTACCGGATGCGGTCACGGTGGGTGCGGACGTAGTAGGACCAGTCGTTGTCGACGTTGTCGATGTTTTGGTAGTAGTCGGAGCTGTGGTGGTGGTCTTGGTCGTCGTCGAGAGCGTGCTGGAGGTCGTTGTGGCCCCAGGGAGACACTGAGCGTAGTCTGAGGAGATCAGTATAACTCTCTACGGAGCATGACATCTAACGTACAGGCATTCTGGGTGCTACAGACCGCACCAGCAACACAGATTGTCGGGCCAGACCAGCCTTGACCGCCACCTAGAAGCATATCAGCATTGGATCAGATCTTCTTGCCGTGATAAAGAAAACGTACATTGCCCCCACATGGTCTGCTGGGCCTGCACAGCAGGCAGCAGCAGGGATAATGCGATGGAAGATGCAATGTGCTTCATCTTGACGACGTATCTGAGTAGAATCCTCAAGATTGAATGAGTGAATGGCTATCAGAAAAGGAATCGACTTCGATGAGATCTGGAGGACAATTTATACCCCTCTCTCATCCATCTTAATCGGAGCCATCCCCGGCTTTCCGAAGCTGTATCAAGTACACACAGTCCCGGGGCCAATCGCATATCATCCGTTCAAGAAATCCATTTAGCCCCAGGAATGCCATGGGGTAGTATTTAGACTGAAGCGAACAAGACTAATGCCCGTGATGAAATTGTAGTACGCCCAAAGTCAGTATGCACTCCTATGCAACCGAAAAGGGTAAGCGAAAATATATGGCATCATTCAACCAAAGTCGCGCATAATCGTATTTCTTCAGTCAACTTTCCAAGACCCTGATCCTTTCATTTCCTGCAGTGAAACACTCCTGTTCCTGCTTTTTGCCGGTAGTTGATGACCCCTTAGAGGCGCCAATCACCACTCCCGACTGCAGCCACATGGGCTCTCGCTGGCTGCAATTTGCGGGGGACATCTTAACGATATTAACCTTGTGCCCAAACCAGACACGGGGTTTGAGATTCGCCTGTGAAAATGCTTAGCGTCGTTTCTTCCCCGCGTCTGCAACATTTTGCTGCATGGCTGTCTCTAGGCAAGGATATTAGACACTCCTTGGGCTTCAATTGCCGATTTGGGGGTGTGGTTCTGCAGGTGCCGGTTCTGCGGCCCGGTATGCCATGCTAGACATATCCTGCAACTTCCAACATGGAAGGATCCTTGTTTGCTATGATTGCCGTATTGCGATGCACATCATCCAACTTCACAGAGTCCGTGGAATATTTAGGCTAGTTTAACCAAAAGAAGGGTTGTCGACCCTGTCTACTCGAATAGCACGGATATTAGTCCTCATCAACAAGCAGGCAGAGCCATCAAAGTGGAAAATTATGTAATTCCCCGCACCACCCGGCAGACTATCTGCATACAGAAGATATTGCAGTGAATATTTGCCGGCTGCAGAACTCCGTGTTGGAAGGACGCTAGCGCAGGGAATGTCAACTACTGTGTGGCCACGGTGTCCATTTCTGGACTACTTCCATGGTCAATCAAGAACAGGACAGCTGATCACGGGCAGTCAGCTTATATCATACCTTGATGCTTTGCCCTTTTACGCGAAGGTAAGGCTTGCTAATAGTTAATCACCTCCAGTTCAATATGGAGTCCTGCTTTTTTCCTGTCGTCCGTGTCACCTATTATGCCGTACAATAATGGGATCCAGCGATATATCTCACGAACAAGAGTCGTACATGTTTCAAATTCTGCCGCAAGGGAAATGCTACTGAGTGGATTTGCGGATCGAGTAGCACTGAGAGTGAAAATGATACTCGGCAGTTAGGAAATTCTCGGCCAGGCTCAGGATCGACAGTTTAAAGCTGAACAAGATGGCATGCAATCGGCGACCTTTTATCCCCTGAAAAATGATCGCTGCATGTGTGTCAGGTTCTAAACTTGCAGGCTCCTACATTTTGGCATCCAGCCAAAACCACGAATGCGGATATGCAAGCAGAGACGGTCGTCCGTTTGTATGTATTCCGCAGCCCGACGTGTTTTTCTTTCGTAACGGGCCATTCGGATATTTTTTTCTGAATCGAATTGGGCTGATCCGAGTCTTCCTGAATTCGTCCAGCTTTGTTGGTCCACACATGGCAGTCGAAGCCCCAGAACCTAAGACGCTCAATGAGAGAGATGGGTTCAATAACTGCCATGCCTCACTGAAGAATCGCTATGACTCGTTCTCGTGTCAGCGACCTTGGACATTTCTGGTCCCATTAAGATGGGCAGGAAAAGCTCCATTGATCACAATAGTGGTGTTTAGCTTTCCTTTGAGCTTGAACAGGTTCTGAAGGTGCATGCCTTGCAGTGGTATGGGCGAGCAAAGGCCCATCCTATTCATAGGCAGGAAAAGGAATTGGTATGTATATGTATACATGCCAGACAATTCTGGCAGTAATCGCTATGCTGACAAGTCAATGATACCTCGCAAGGACAACATTTGGTGGTGATACCCCTCAACCGGATATTGTAGTTTGACGCTTTGAGTGCGACGTTCTTTCTTGGAGGATCCAGGAAAAGCGAAATTGTCTCATAATCTTCCGACAGATGGTTGCTATATCGAGTCTCTCCTCAGTGCAATAGAAGAGCAACCATCAATATCGACCGCAGCATGTTTCTGGCCAACCTTGCCACGATGAAGGTGCAAACGACCCAAAAGAAGACTGATTGAGATGGTTGAAAGTACACATTTTATCAATTAAGCAGGCTGCAACTCTTGCAATATACACATACAGGCCTCAACCAAGCATTGCTAGCTCGGCAATAATGTAAGTACTGTAAGAGGCAGTCATGGATCACTTTACTAGAGGTGAGATTGTAGAGATAGTTAAATAGGAGTCCATGGCTGGGTGCACATGGGCTGAGGCCAGCCTTTGCATCTCAAACATCCAGGAGAACAGTCATGTCTACTCAAGTTACATGTCATAGTACCATATCTTTGGTACCAGATTGTATATTTTACGCTCACCTATATTACTATTTATAGTTAGTCTAGTTTAACCAGAACATATATAACTTCTAGTCTTATTACTTATTATATAGAAAAATATATATATTCTTAGATATAGTAAGAATATATCCTAGTTTAACCTTTGCATACTCTAATTCCACCTATATAAGTATTACTAGATTATATAGAATCTAATAGTTATAAGCCTAGCCTGCTACAGATATTAGAATTGTTACGGGCTAGACCGTAGGAAAACCTATGACTAGGTATGTACAATAAGAACTCGCTGAAGAACTAGAATAGGAGGTGCGCGCGGTCTGGATAGAAATATCCGATTGCGCGCCGCAGCTAGCAAGGTGTCACGTGACCCAGAGCTGTACGGCTTCGCGAGTGCCTGCTAGGCGGCACGAGCATATCGCGGGCCTTGCTCGCAACATTACCCCCCTCCCCCTCTGGTGCGCGCCTCCCAAGCCTCCAGCACGGCTGTATCTGCGAGGTTGCTGGCTGGTTCCCACGTAGGTTGCTGGTATCCGACCCACTTGACGAGCAGTTCTCGCCGCTGACCTCTGCCTATCTTCTTAGTGCGCTCATCCAGCACGCGTTCCACCTGATATTCTTCTTCTCCATCCACGAGCACCGCAGGGGGTTGGTAATCGTCGCGGCGTTGGCTCGGGAAGGGGTCGTTACCTGCGGGGCGCAGTAGCGATACGTGGAACACATTATGGATTCCTGGCGGCGTATCTAGTCGATATGCGTGCGATCCAATGGCTTCAAGAACTGTAAACTTCCCGTGCTGCGCGTCAAGCTTCTTGCTCGGCCGATCCGTCCGGATATTGCGCAGGTCCAACCAGACCTTTGAACCAATTGCGTACCTCGGGGCGGCGTTCCGGTGACGATTCGCATACTCCTCAGCCCGTTGCTGCGCCGCAGCCAACTCTGCAGTTGCTATTTCCAGGGCTTCCCGCATCTTAGCAACAATCTGCTCGCCTTGTTCCCTTGGGTTTCGCGCTACTTCCATGTGCGCGCAGGCATCTAACTGCTCGATTTCTAACGGCTCCATGTTGTATCCATGGTCCAAGAAGAAGGGGCTGACACCAGTGCTCGCGGCATCGCGGCTGTTCACTGCGAGCTGCGCCATGGGAAGGAGCTTCGCCCAGTTCGACTGCGAGCGGTTGCAGAAAGCACGTAGGTATAGCTCAATTGTTGCGTTCATCCGTTCTATTTGCCCATCGGTCTGCGGGTGGTATGCCGTAGAAAGCCTTCGCTTAATGCCGAGCAGTTCGCAAAACCGTTGCCATAGTTCGCTGACGAACTGCGGTCCCCTGTCTGATATGATAGCACTTGGTATGCCATGGTAGCCAATGAAATACTGTATCAGCAGCTGCGCGACAGTGGCAGCATCAGTGCGTTCGCACGGTATGAGTATGACACCCTTGCTCAGCCTGTCGCCGATAACCATGAGGTCCTCGCACCCATCAGATGTCGGTAGCTTCGTGACGAAGTCAATCGCTATCTCGCGCCATTTGCGATCTGGAATCGGCAGTGGTTTCAGCAGCCCTTGACGCCTTTCTCTCCATACACGATTTGCGCCGCACTTATCGCAGTTGCGCACGAACCTCTTGACATCTGCGGAGATCTCTGGCCAGTAGAAATTGCGTGCCAACATTGCGTACATGGTATTCTGACCTGGGTGACCTGTCAGCGTCGAATTATGAGTTTCCTGCATCAGCCTGGTTCGCAGTGGCTCTGAGTCGGGAACCCAACGTCGCCCTCGGTATAGCAGATGCCCTGCGGGGGAGACTTCGCATTCTGTAATAGACACTCGTACACGCAGCTCTGGCGGGAACCGGGTCGCACCAGCTCGCACTGTGGTCGTCAGCTCCTGTAGATGCTCGTCGGCCTGTGCCGCGGCAGCCCAATGCTCTTCCAATGGTAGTTGGCTAGGGTCGTCGGGTGCTACCCTAGCGAGCATCAGTCGGC